CAGATTATACAGATTATACAGATTATACAGATTATACAGATTATACAGATTATACAGATTATACAGATTATACAGATTATACAGATTATACAGATGATACAGATTATACAGATGATACAGATTATACAGATTATACAGATTATACAGATTATACAGATTATACAGATTATACAGATTATATAGATCGTAATTCCCCTAGTGATAAATCGATTGTATCCCAGGCCCCGTTGATCCCCATCGCGGAACGGCAGCGGCAGCGGGTCCAGGCGCAACGGCAGGCAGCCCCCGATATCCAGCAGCGGATGCAGGATACCGATCAGTGGCTGGACGAGGAGCTGATCGAGCAGAATACCCCCCAGTGACGGCGGATATATTATATTTACACAATCCAGAGCTATAACTGGAACAAGTACAATTTATATTTATACCGGGATCCAGCCAGCTAGGCAGCGCGGTAATAGATATTGGTAATATGATCCTCCCGGATCCAGTACACCCTATACTGTGTATACTGGGGGTGTGGAATACCGCAGAGTATATGCCTGCAGTAGGAGACACGGGACTGGCGGAACTGTAAATATCGCGATATGATAATCCCGATAACAGCCGCGATGCTGTACGGGCCGTGGGCGTCACAGGTGCAGCCACTGTGGGCGTGCCGACTGCAGGGATTTGGGGTCGACTGGCAGGATTTGCCGCAGGTGAAACGGTTTTTGGGCCAGGCCACCGCCGGGGCCAAGGGCCAGCACAGTCAGTTATTTATATTGTTTTGCTGGTTGCGCCGGATATATATCGAGATTGAGCGGTGCCAGCGGCATTCCCAATAGATAGAAATATATATCGTCGTATATATAGATATACAATGTCGAGATGGAGTACATATATATATATATATATATATACACAGGGTATAAGATTGCAGATATATAAAATATATAATATAGAAAGAATCGATAAGTCAAATCTATTATAAATACAGAACAGATATATATAGTAAGATTGTACAGGCCACAGACCAGCCAGTTCGCAGAGACCAGTTCGCAGAGACCAAAGACCAAAGACCAGAGACCAATCGGCTGGCGGAGAGCAGTCAGCTTGCGGAGACCAGATATTTCGCGGAGACCAGAGAGTATTTAGCGGAGACCAGTGAGCTTGCGGAGACCGGGACCAAAGGCCAATATAGTCAGGTATTTATACTGTTTATAGGGTGCGGTGGATATATACAAAGATTAGACTGTATCCGCAAGATTCCAAATTGGCTGGAAATATATATATTCCATTGTACAGACAGATTATATATTCCATAAATATAGAACTATATACAGTATATATATATATATATATATATATGCCCTCCCACGTAACCAAATTAAAGATATGGCTTGATCCAAAATGAGCCATAGAACCCCATACCGGCTCATCGTACATTGGCCAAAGAAAAACTGCCTTTCCTTTGTCATCATAACAATACTCTATATTCTAAATAAGTTAGCATGGATACCACCATCAATACATACCCACCTACGATCTCACGATCAACCAACTTCCCACCGAAGTTCAACCGACGCGAGTAGCCCTCACTCCGAAGATAGGCATCCCATGTCTGATAGCACTTTCCATCTACAGCCTTCCAGTGTAAAAAGAAATCAAGCTTACTGACTCCACCCTCGAACACGACGCCAAAACCCTGTACACTAAGTTGCGAAAACGGTGTCCGGGTGTTGTACACTCTTGTTTTAATATTATAGGTCTTCTAGTCTATAAATGGATGGAATTATCCTTAGTCATTGATAAGAAGTGGTCTGAATGGTGTAAATTAATATGCTCAATCATATATGAATTTGCGAAACCACAGAATTATAGAGTGTGCAACACCCGGACACCGTTTTTGCAACTTAGTGTAAAACAGCGTTCCCTGACAGGAACACTGAATACGTTTTTATCAAACGCAGACAACTATCTACATCATTAAAAAAAAATGCCAAACAGTCTCTGTTCGGCCGCCTGCATCATTTTGCTCACCTCCAGTTATCCTGGATAACACCACGTCCAGAACAAAATATGTAAATCTTAATTTCCAACCACTGACTCTAGCGTAGACTCTCGCTACTTATATACCTCACGGTGCGTATCCGTTGCTACTTTAAGCCTAGCCCTCCTCCGGCTTATATCACGTGCAAATCATCACCTGATAATTTGCTACCACGTATATCTCACGTGAAAGCAGATGCTTTCCGGTCATTCGTGGCTAGCCACCTACGCCCAAAAATATGGCTTTCAAGAAGACGACAAATGCGAATGCGGGGCCAAAGAGACAGTAGTACACGTGCTGATCGACGGCCCAAAACTGCGCGCTCTAAGACAGAATTTGCGCAGGGACATAGGTGAAGCAATGGACAACGTCACGGTCATGCTAGGGGGAAAGGGCTGTCGGAGGACGGCAGACGACTCCGGGGAATCTACACAAAAAAGCACTCTTCGAGCTGTGCTGGCTTTTGCAGAAGCATCCGGTAGGTACTGTAGTCACCTGGCTCCCACTGGAAAGCAACCACAACAGAAAGGTAAGTCCTCTGTAAACAGGGTGCATATGTACGATCGCTCAGGAATAATACATTGATCCGCAGGTAAACAAATCCCTATAGTCATGCTGTTCCGATTATTGTACAGAGACTCACAGCAACTGTAGATAGCCGTGTCTTTGTGTATTTTCCCGATGTAATATGTATATGTCCGTCTATTATATTCTAGTTTGGTATTTCTCCCCTTGAGACTATTTTAATTTGTTTTTTACTTATTTATTCTCTTAATTCATCTCAATCCGCCCATTTCCCTTGATAACCTTGCACGCCTGAGATCGTAAAAGGTCATCTTTCCTCGTAAGTTGAAACGAGGGTCTAGTTCAACTCACGCGGTATTTCAACTGGCAAAGAATTCATAATACAATCAATCTAGAAAATTGAATTCCTGAACACCCGGCGAGGTGAAGATTAATATTGGCCGCGTAATTATTGATTGAAAAATCAAATAACCGGGGGTTATGAAACGTTGTAGGGGGAACCAAAAAAAAAAAAAAAGAAAAGAAAAGAAGAAAAATACCGTAGCAGTTATCAACGTGCCCGGTATTTCGACTCACAGGGTTTCTTTCTGCGGGGAATATAGTACGTACCCACAAATGGAGTTATGTGACTTTTGCACACTCTTATTTCAAGGAGAAGAACGGTCTGCCAAACTTCAATTGTGGAAAATGAGCTCACCACAGGGAGTTGCTAGATCTCACGGTCGCAAAGCTCTAGAATGGGCTAAAAAATTTCGACGATCATTCCCTTCCCAGACATCGACCTCGTCATCGTCGAGCCTTCCGATAGCCCCGAATTCAGGATTTAATGGCAGGGCCCCTATTGTAGGCATGAAAGGCTAGCTAGAGTGTCTTAAATATGATGTGATACATGTTTCCCTTTTTTTTTTTTTTTTTTATTTTTTTTTTAAAAAAATCACTAACGGAGGTCAGTCTAAGATTATTAATGGTTTGAACGTCATTCATGTAGCCGAAACAAAAGGTAAAAGCAGTACGTGCGCCTATGTGGACAGCTTGCTGCGGGCAAATGAGAGACAGAAAGGAGTCGACCTGAAAGTCGGGATGTACACGTCGCCATGGCTGCAGCCACAAATAGAATCCGAATCAATTCAGAACCGATATCAGAAGAGCTCTTCTTCGAACGCGGCCGTGAGGTAGAGCGGAAACTAGGTCTCGACAATCCGTCTCCAGGTATCAAGCTCCCTGTCTTCCTTCAAATGATAGCTCTCACGGCATTCCACACTTTCATTGAAGCAAAAGTTGATGTCGTCATTTGCGAGGTTCACCATGGTGGCGAGTTTGACGCGACCAACTTCATTGAACGTCCTGTCATCACTGCCATCACAAAGATTGGTATAGATCATGTTGATAATTTAGGTGGATCTCTCGAACACATTGCTTGGCATAAAAGCGGGATATTTAAGGAGAAAGTTCCCGCATTTTCGGTTCAACAAGCTCCGGCGGCGGAAAATAAGTTGAGGGACCGGGCAAAAGAAAAAAATGTCCCACTTCACTTCGTCAAAGCTGCTACCCAAGCTGCTACCCTTAAGTCCATCCCAGTCGAACAGCAAGAAAATTGTGCCCTGGCTATACAGATCGTCCGTGGATTCCTCCAAAGGGATAAAGACTCGCTTGAAAACCAGGACATTAAGGCCGGTGTTGAAGCCTGCTACTTCCCTGGGCGCTATGAAATCATCAACTCACGTGGCTGCACTTGGTATGTGGATGGAGCACACAATGAAACGAGCCTGGAGGAAGCTACAAAGTGGTACAAAAGGGTAGCCGACGCTAGGTATGTCCACCGTACATTTACCAGCGAGTAATCTGACACATCCGCAGCGCTACCCGAGTTCTTGTTTTTGCAAATTTTTCAGACAAACGAACGCGTGACTGGGCCAAATTACTGGACAAATTGGGCCACTGCTTGGAATCTTTGCAGATGAGTGCCCACCATGTTATATTTGTCCGTGAAATTGAATTCGACAACCATTTTTCCATCACGGAGGAACAACTGGACGAGTACGCAGACCACTGGGCGAACAAGTGGCCCTCGAGCACAGTACAAAAAGTCGGCCGTGTCAAGGAGGTCCTCAATATGGCCGAGGTTATTAGTAACGGAGCGCAAATCTTGGTCACAGGAAGCTTATATTTGGGAGAAGAAGCCTTAGGGATTCTCAAGGACAAATGTACTTAGTATCTTCCTAGGGAAAGGAGCTTTAGGTCTTCCAAGTCACGATCCGTCTGAGCCTCCCGCCGCAATACCAGGCCTTCCATGTTCTCTTACAAGCTCGTTAAGTTTGTCAAGCCAGGCTGCCCCTTGACCCAAAAAAAAAAGTATTGCCTGCCCCCGCATTGTCGGAAATGTTTTTTTGCATCAGCAGCTTTGACCAGAGCTTCTGAATGTTGGCCCATCCTGTGCAATATCTCAGTTTGAGCGTATCGGATGACCATCTCTGCGTGGCCGACCCTTGAAAAGCAGTCCCGGGCAGCTGTATAAGCTTTGTCCCAATATGTCATAGACATGTCCCACTCGGCCCGGAGAAGATAAATCATGCCAAGACTAGCATTAGTAACGTAATCGTTATGCTTCGTCACTATGCTTGGTTCCGTCACCCATTGCACACTCTCAAAGAGCTCCCTGGCTTTCTCTCGCGAGTCATGGTCATGGTCAACAAGAGCCTTGAACAGATAAGCACCTCCCAATGCCACCGTCAACCTCCTGCCATAGCCAGTTTGTCCCATTTCCTTCGCTAATAGCTCTTCATATTCGGCTTTCAACAGCTTTATAGCTCCAGACGGATTGCCAGCCTCGCAAAGAGTTTCATAATAATGAATCATGGTCTTGTTGTTGCGGTTTTTCAGGGCTTCCATAGATCTCGTAAGGGCTTCCTTGGCGCGTTCGAAGCTCCCGCGATATCTGTGAAGCTTGGCCCGTAGGAAATCTATCTCAAGTTGAACCGACCTTTCTTAGGAAGATGTAGGCTCACTGGGGCAGAATTGATCGAAAGTTTGGTAGACGGCCCCAAAAAAGTCTATGTTTTCCATCTGTGTTCGCGCTTGCAATAGAATCAGTTTTCCAAGCTCTGCGTTTGAACGGTTATCTACCGTAGGCATCTCGAGATCTTGCAGACTTGAAACGGCTCTACCGGGGTACAACCTTGCCAGGGTGGCCTTTCGCAGCTGAACTCTTGCTGTAATGAAGGAGCACTTCAACTGGTTTGCCATTTTTTCTGCATGGGCAATTGCAACTCTTCTCCGGGATATGTCACCAAAGTTTGACGCAGAGATACAGGTATCTATTCCAACCTCTAAGGTATCTTCATCTAGGCGGTCCAGCCTTATTTCGTCCAGAATTCGTTCGAGAAACGGTAAGAACGAGGTGCTTATCACAGTATACCTGGATTTATGTCAGTCATGGACAGTACGTTATGTGTGTGTTAGAGCATACGCTGCTGGTAGTAACTGTGGGTCCTTAGGGTAAGCGTATACAATGGCTTTCATGGCGAGATATTTCTATCTCTCCGAGTCAACCTGGCTAAACCGGGATAACGCGGCCTGGACTTCCGGACGGACCCTCAATGTAGCCCCGTCTGGCGAAGGCTGAATGTATTCATCCTCTGTGAGAATGCGAACGGTGTGTTCATGGCCTTCAAAGATTATAGTTCCAGGGGGAGGGGGAACCGGTTCTCCATCTTTTCCCCACGTCAAACTCTTATACGTACGTTGGAATATTTGTATTGGAAAGTCATCACCAATGTACCGGACCATGCCCAAAAACTGTCTAGTGTGTTCATCCAACTCACTTATTTTGAAAGAAATACCACGGAAGCTCGGGCTGTTGAAGTCATCCGCTGTTGACAGAGACTGGCTACGTTTTCTCTTGTTTGTGGCCGATTGAGCTTCTGGCTGTAGTCGGTCGTCGCACACCGACAGGGAGCGAGATCTCTTACTAGAAGAAAGCCGTGTGGCTTCTCCCTTGAGGGCATCACAGGCCAGAGTGTCTTTGTGGCGGGCAACATACCCAATGATGTATACAATTATTTCAAATGAATAGTTGCCGAGGTCACCCGCTTTGAAACTGTAAAGTACAAGTAGTGCGTGTGAGGGACTGATGTGCGTGTATATTAGCCAGAGCATCGTCAGGTTTCTGCTGGCGACCCATTCTGACCCCCGCATTCGACTCAGTGGTTTCAGGTCAGCCACTCCGCTTCGTACATATTCTTCGAAAGCTGCCTCGACGGAGTTTTTGGCCAATTGAGAAATTTGTCAGGACATTTCTCAAGCCAATTAGCCAATGTAGGGCCAATCCCCTTTATCTCGCTAGCTGTTGCTGAAAGTGAACTTTGTACATGCTTCCTAATTTCCTCGTTTTGTGTTGCTTCCTTGGTATTCTCTTTCCTGAAACGCTTCCCCTCTGAAATTTGAATGACAAACCGCAAGTAGAAATCACCGCTGGTAATAGCCAGATATAGGGTATTTATCCCAATCACCAGCACTTACCCTAAGTTGATAGTCACTGTTGTTTCAGCTTTTTAAAGGGCTAAAGGTCATTATACTTACTGACCACGTGTAATATATGGCTTAAGTACGGCTGAGCGGACGGGAAGCCCTATTTTCCACACCCTGTGGTCATATGTACTCATTTCCTACTTCCAGATACTTATAAGCGTTGTCAGCCAGACAAATTTCAGCATATATTTAGGGATTTTATAGATCTTGGCCGATATCCTGGCTAGGAGTTTGATGACCATTGGCATCCCGGAATATATTATTAAGAACGCCGCCTCATGTCAACACGTTGAAACAGAGGAACATCATCAGTCAGATACTATTTGAGTACGATTACGAACAGAGCTGTTGTCAAGAGAAATGGTAATAACCGGGCCGGCAGAGGCCCTCCAGGAATGAGAGACCCAAATCCAAACTATCGGCAAGAAGTCGTGCCGCAACCCACGGCTGTCTAGACAGTCTCAAAATATTGCACTAGTAAGATGGAGAGAATAAAAAGAATTAATTAATAACTCCTCGTATTTCTTATGGTCTAATCTATAACCTCAGCAGCTAAATACTTTTGTATACTATCTTGTTACATGAGAAGTATAACTCTATATTAAAGTGAACTTACTGAATTGAACAGCCATTAAAAGCGACCATACAAAAATTACAATTTCACAAATATATCTCCCCGAAAAAGAATATACATTGGGCTACAGGAGACTCTTAATATTGTTGAAAGCTTATATATGGAAAGCCCTACTATAACTATAGAAGCCTTGTAATTAACGCGCCCTGTATATTATCTGGATGGTACTTAGAAGTTGTAACTTAGTATACGAGCTGCGTGGAGGTTGGATAATAAGGTTTACAAAGAAAGCGATAGAACAGGATACTCTGCCCCTTGCGCATAGAGGACTCGGCCGAACCGGACTTCGGAGTCAATATCCGCTGCCTCTTCAATAATGTACAGTAGCCTATGTGACTACCTGATCCCATACAGAGGATCTGAGGCCCATTTGGTTATGAATTAGGTCTTTGTTAGTAGTGGGGAAAAGCAAGAATCAGTGTTCTGTCTGTGTAGTACCTACTGCCTGCCTTTTTGCCTACGTATCCTTACCCAGTTGACGGGACTTTTACCCTGATTAGTAAATATTCTTTGTTAAAGAATATTGAAAGTAGTAGCGCCGTGGCAAGACACACAGACAGATCAAGGAAAACAGGGATTGAATGAGGCGTAGAAAAAGTATAAGAGACTAGCGATGTAAGTCAGCCTAAGAAGGCAATGAGTTGAAGTATAGCAGTTAGTTCTAAGTGAACACGTGGGGGAACCCAACCAAGAATGATGCCCATTGTAGTTCCTTGCAGAGCAGTTCAAAGCCCGAGATCGACACTATACGGGCATCTGATTTGTCCGACAAAAGTACCCCGCCGTCCGATTCAGACACCAAAATACGCACGGACAATTCCTTGCATAACACTTTTGTGGGTCCAAGCGCAGGAGAACTGCTAGACACGAATCTATGGACGGAGGCTCCTGTCACTCTCGGATGAAGCGCACACCCGAGGGAGCCGCAGATGCCTTGCCAGTGTCCAGACCCACACCTGTGTCACCCACGAACAAGTCCAGACCAGGAGGATTCTGCTGGATTCCCCAAATAGACACAGCCTATGACCACTACTAGCTAGGTTGCCCCAGGTATGTGCATTAATAGGAGGAATGAGATTAAATGCCTTGCAGTGCAGATCGATTCTCTGGACTTGACATCCCCTGTCATAGGCATCTGTCACGGTGGAAGCAGCGGTCAGATGCCTTCAGTCATCAGCTATCTGATCCAAGCAATTTAAAAACAGTCTAGTGGGTCTATCATGGGACAAACCAACCATCCAACAAAAGTACGAACTCTGTAGTCACTAGCGCTATAGTTCATATGTCACGAAGATAAGGTTTGCATTCTATATTTTACCTTCGGAACTAATCCGAATTGTGATATTCTAAATTATAGATCTGAGGGGCTAGAGCCTCTACCTTGACGACATAGATATCAACCACAAGTCTACCGTCAGTGATGTTGTGACCCGGTTAATTTCGATATGGCCATGTTACTCTAAATTCATCCGAAACCCGTCTTTTTTTGGTTGGTGGATCTGAGCATAGTAGACAGTAAACCTCTTGGAACACTCGGGAATCATTTGATAGTGAAAATTTACTATATACTTTGAATGAAACATTGCTATATTACCGCTAAGCCTGCAAGCATCTGTCTTCCTACAGCCTGCTTTTAATCTCAAACACCGTACCCCCACCATAATGTATACTTGGGCCTGTGAGACTGTTCAGCAGGCTCTGCATTGTATCCGTGATTTCTGATTGAAGTTGTATAGCGTTGTCGATGTATTCAAGGGTCGTTGCGCCATCAAGATTTATCTCGCCCCTCACTGCCGCATCGTGCACTCCATGCGAGAGTTGCTCTATTAAATGAGATAGGGCTTCACTAAGCTCGGATAGCTATGATGAAGGTCAGCTTTATGTAGTTGCTAACATATAAACCAGTAGTAACCAAGACTGACAGATGTGAGAAACACTGCCGCAGCTGCGGACTTTCCCTGTCGATCACCAGGGGCAGACAGTCTGTTATATGAGAGAGTATTAGATTTTACAGAACACCATCGATGAGCAGAAGGAAGAGCATACAAGTTTCCGATAGACTGTGACATTGTAAGATGAGGATCTTTCGTTTGGTTTACCAAATGATAAGCAAACGCCAAGTAGCTGTCATAAGAAAGAAGGATAATAATGTAACACAAAATGACAGGAAAGTGATGTTGCCAATATTTAAATAAGAAAGAGTATACGAGTAATGCATGGGCCATGGAATCGGCCGTAGTGATGCGGACGGTACTTTTGGCGCACTATACCTAGTAGTAGTTGGTGCCTCGTAGTGATCTTAGGTATATCAATTGGTACTAGTCTTCACGCCTCATGCAACTTATGAGTCGCATTGCAGCATTGTCAGTGTTATCGATTGTGGCGCTGTGATGAACGAAGAACAATATATTTGTTCGTGACTGCATCTCAATATCTTGGCGTTATGGCTGCCCCACGATTGGCTCACGTGTGTGAGCTAACGAACGCTTCGTAATATAAGAACATACTAGTATTACCGTCCATTGTCTGGACGGACAGTCAATTAATGGCACATGGAGCCTAGAAGGGTGTCAATTATTGGAACCGTCATGATCGTCATTCCGTGGCGTCAGTAACTTTAGTGGCTGCAAGAAGCCAATGACTTCTGTACGTAAAATATTGCTCTCCACACTGAGCCCTTTTAGCCGTAACAGCCCGCAACATATTTGCCTGAACCACTCCGGTGTTTGGAGAAACCGGGATTTGGATTTAGTAACTATTATAGACATAGACATATATATATAAGAATTATAGAAGTTCTATACCTTTGGATAATCTATGTCATACTGTAACGTTGTATGGTGGGGTGCAATAACAAAATACCACGAAAAGGAAATACGAGAAAGGAAGACGTACATACAATAATCAAGCCACATATTTCACCACTACGTACTTTTAACTAACCTAGATGTACCACACAAAATCACGCCCCTGAGCATCTTTTTTACTGATTTCAGTTACTGTAATCAGAAGGGGGCTTGACGCGACGTCCAAAATTAAGGATATTACCAAGTTGGCAAGCATCTAATCATTTAACTAACTCCGTCATAGTCACCCACATAACATATGAACCACTGGAACCAGCCTGAAAACTTATAGGAAGATCATAGGGTGTGACTAAAAAATTGTTCTACCAACCTTCTACTTACACTGCCGATATGGCAGCTTCAATTCATACTAAACCCCGGCCCATTCTATGTGATTCCCCACAAGAATTACAGGGCCTTAACAAAACAGCAACTTACGAGTCTCTGCCAACATGTTATATCTACAGATAGAAAAAGTGGGCGATTGCCTTAAGGCAAATAGCTGCGGCGCTGCACAAAGTTTGCCAAAACATCAGATGATGGAGGGAATGAAAAGCTTATGCCACATACCTGCGGTGGCGGGCCTTGTATTTTTCCTTTGTAGGCAGGTTCCATGGAGTATGTGAGTGGCCACCCGAAAAACGACAATGATGCTTTATATCTCTGTGCTCATATGGATTTAAAAGGAAGAGCCCCTCAACTTGAGTACGTAGCTAGAGAAACGAATCGAATTCATGCGCCGTTGTCTGGTAGCTACGATCTTCTGTAACATGTGGTGGTGCATTTCCACGAGCCAATGTACCATCTGTCTTATCTCTTATCCGTAGGTCAATATTTTGGCTTCCCGAGAGCTAACATCGGACGGCATGGATAGAATAAATTCCACGTGGAATTTTATACGAGCTTCTGACCCCAGATTACAATATCTCGGGCCGCTGCCGGGTATGGAGCCCTCACACGTGGCCTCAAGAAGAGAACCAATAGCGGCGGCATATACGAAAATAACAATTGCACACTCTGAAGTAGATCAACACCATATCGAATTAGTTGCATATGAGGATAGTGGTACAATGTCGTAGCTGTATGATTTGCTAATAGGACGAGTCAGATCTGACTTATCTTGACAAGATTTTGTGCTTATGCAAATGCGAATGGGTCGCACCGTACTAGCTTAGAGATCTTTTTTGAACATGAGCTAAGACTGAATGGTCCCAAAATGGCCTCTTGCCTCGGGACATCGACTTATTACTCCACAGTGACATTATATAAAGGTCGACCCGAACTCATAGTGGAATAAACCCCTCTGGTCAACGTTTCCACCAGCATAAGACCTCGCGTTCTCTCCTTGTATCTTGTCTCTCGATTGATAATTTTGTGTTGCCTCCCAATCAGGAACACAGTTATCAAAGCACAATGATCACTTTGAACCAACAAATAGCGGTCGAGGCACTAGGGCCTAACTTGTACGGTTCGGTAATGCCGCCAACAAGTATGGGTGTCCTGGCTTCGTATGCATATGGAGGAAATACGCTGGCTGTAGTGGTCAATGCCGCGTATCAAACTGTTCAATCCTCATTCCACCTGTACTCAATGTGTGGGCACTTTATCCGCGCCGCGAAAACAGATCGCAGACTCATCTGCCAAATCGAAAGAGTCAGAGATACCCGTGCCTTTCAGACTCGGATTATCCGAGTGAGCCAGGAGGCAGGCGACGGCTCGGCCCAGCTGTGTTTCATTGCGTCGGCAGATTTCCATATCGAAGAACCACGATCCATGGTCACCTACTCTACACATCCACAGACCAAGCTGCCGCTTAGCAACGCAGGTATCTCGCCCACAGCGGCGCAGACACCAAGTGAACATGGGCTATACCGAAATATCGAGCGGTTTCTGGATATGCAGCCGGTGACTCTTGCGGCCAGCATACACGAGGAAGTTGAGGAGCGGAAAAGTTCTTGCTCTGCACCGTCGAAATTTTCGGCGGAAAGATTCCGCGCACAGACGCTGCTGAGAAGTGAGGCTGAACAGATATCGGCATTGGCTTTTTATATGGACAAAGGCCTGGCTTATATACCGGCAAATCACAGTGGTTATCCACTGACCGAAGCCAGTGCTTGCGCCAGTCTTGACTTTTCGCTTCGATTGTTCACGCATGCGATCGATCTGCGACGGTGGCATCTGACGGAAGCAATGACGGCTGTGGCCGGAAATGCTAGGGCCTTTAGTGAAGGACGTGTATGGGATGAAAATGGTCGTCTACTAGCTAGTATGACCCAGCAAACTTTGCTTCGCCCGAAGGCTGATTTCCATCCACGCATTTGACGGCGGACTCACCAGCGACCGCCAGTCCTATGTATCTAGCCTTGATGTTACCCTGGTCATTTGAACATTATACATAGAATAGTCTTGCTGTACATAGATATCTCAGCTAAATATAAAGCAATCGATGGCTCGTGGGACATGGGTTAGAAATGACAGACCGGTAATGAACGACACGTTACGTATTTATGTCCAATATAGTGGCCTGCGCCTACTACAACCGCTATAGCACACTCTTCCACACCTTCCGATACCTCTCCGATCTCGCCGGACTATCACGCTCCTGTATAGCAGCCTTGAATCCTTTATCCTTGCTCAGCTCCTGGAACGCAACACCTTCAGGCGAATTGCGGGTAATCCCGTCAAATATCGTAGAGAGTTTCTGGCTTCTGAGCAGAGGCCCCTCGATAAGACCATTTATTACCTGCTTTTGCATCCATAGTTGATTCTGTGGAACCGATGCAATACGGGTTGCCAGCAATGTTACCGTTTCCTCCAACTCCCCCTCGGGCACCGCTTTAAGGACAAGACCCATCTCCGCTGCTTCTGCTCCACTAATCAAGTCACCAGTGAACAACATCCGCTTAGCCTTTTCCACACCAATCCGGTAAGCCCACATAGCGGTGGTCGGACAACCCCAAACCCGACTCGGAGGATAGCCGATTCTTGCATTACTCGCCATGATGACCAGATCACAGCACAGGGCGATATCACTTCCACCCGCGACCGCGGCACCATGAACTTGCGCAATCGTCGGTTTGTGACTATGGAACAGTCCTGAGAAACAATCGGTATTCTCCTTCATCATAGTGTAGTCAATCAAGGGATCGTATCCCTTCGAGAGATCCTGTGATCCAGCCGTCTCTCCACGTATCGCGTTCTGGGAGTAGATGTCCAGATCATAGCCTCCGCAGAATCCAGGCCCGTTGCCTTTCAGGATGATGCAGTGTACGGTAGGGTCTGCGTTGGCTAGTTTGACAGCATCTCGGAGATCCCTTGGGAGGTGTCCGTCGATTGCATTGAATCGGTCGGGACGGTTCAGGGTTATATATGCGATCTTGCCGTCGGGGGACTTTTCGTAGAGTATCGTTTTGAAGGATTTTGTTTGCATTTTGGAAGGGTACTAACCTCAGGATTGTAGATGTACTACCTATTGGAGATATAAATAATGTAGATTACATCGTAACCTTGCCTGTGGGGTTACTTTCAACCTCGGCTCGGATGTTGGAGCTGGTGATCGCCCCGCATGTTGTATGGATAAGATCAAGGTACACAATTACCAAAGAATAGAGGTAATGTAGTTATTTTATGCTGTATTGGGCTACGATGACATCTGCCGTTTGACTATAACAGCTGAAACAAGGATACCCAACAAATGGCACAGCATGAAAGGTCATAGTGGTGGATCTCATCAAATGCGATGCTAATATACAGTTCGCAATACAATCATCCTAACTCAGCAACTCAATGTACACTCAGCATTTGCAAAAACTGGTCTCCTAAAGCATTTGCAGCAGTAGGATTTGCGCCTGTAACAAGCTCACGATCGACCGTAATGCTGCCAATCTTCTCCTTCGCGCCTTCGATCATAATGGCACCTTCATTGCGAAGGTCGGATTCGACTTTCTCGACCTCCCCACCCATCACCATCTCCATCACCCTCTCCTCAGCATCACTCCAAGAGGTAATCTTATACCCCTTATAGGCAAAGTCACCATCCCCAGCATACTTGGTACTCAAGAACGCAAACGGCCCATGACAAATAGCAGCCGTGGGACGACTCTTGGCATGGAAATATCGCAAAATGCGACCGAGATCCTTATCAGCGCCAAGATCTCTCAACGGCGCATGTCCACCAGGGATAAACACGCCAGCAAATGATTCCAACTCCTCATCGCTAATGGAACTGAAAGTCCGTGGGTGACTGAATCCGTTCTCTCGCTTCATGCGCTCAATCAGGTCGTTCTCTCGCCGGCGTTCGTAGAAGTTGCCCGCGAAGGCGAGGAGAGATTCGCTGTTGGGATCGGGGGTCGGTTCTTGGCCCTTGGGAGAGGCGAAGGTGACTTCGTACCCGGAATCGAGGAGTTTCTGGAGTGGTTTGGCCAGTTCCATGAGGAAGAAGCCGGTGGGTTGGTCAACTACTTGGCCGGCATCTAGACCGCTGGTTTTCTTTAGCGGGAAGGAGTCGGCGTCGCTGAGGATGATGAGGACTTTTTTGTCGGGCATGCTTAATAGGTGTATTCTGCTAGGGTTTGACAGTATTGAACCAGTACGTGTATTTTTGTTAATGAATTTTTGTTGATAATTAGCTATTTTATATCCCTTTTATATATTCTGCTATCCGAATGACATTAAAGTGACATCGAAATGACGTACCCAATCTGCGTTCAAATGTTAAACAAAATTATACGTAATTATTTTGTCTGAAGTTCCTGGTTCCTGTGCTTGTATTCAATAAGTAGTTCAATTTTTTATTTTTATAGTATATTTTCATAAATTGTATTTTCATGTAGGCTACATATTTACATGGCTCTACTAGGACGTCAGAGAACTAGAAAACTACAAGCCCGAGAGACATCCCCACAAAACCAACACTTTTGTCAAGAAGGTAATCATGGCTCAATTGGCTATGTACATACAAGAGATTTTCCTTCCTGGGTCTTTTTCTTTTTGTCTCGCGACAACGAACTTTTATACACAAATTATAAATGATTATGTTCAGAGTTAGGTTGTAAGAGGCTATGGCCCGACTGGCAAGGGGTTATTTCAGTCACAGCGATGAACAAAGGAAAGATAACAAAACGCAAAAGTCCTCAAGGCTTGCTATAATGAATGGAGACGCTGTGTCGAGCATAAATGTTAGTCTGGGCAAAGTAAGGGTCATAGTTGTTCTCTTCCATGGACAGTTCCTGCGACGACGGATTGAGAGGCTGATTGGAGTGACCAGTGCCAGATCGCAGCTGGGACCAGAAACTGCCCCGACTGAGCTTGAAGAGTGGCTTCAGGTTAGGCAGGCAGGCGGCGATAATTCCTACTGTTGCTTCGATGCAGGTCCACACCACGACGGGGACTTGGTTGTCTGTTATTGGTCGAGCGATTAGCGATGGTTGAGGTAAATGAAATCGTCACCGGTATAGTTGTGGATACTTACAGGTAACATCAGGACCAGAGCGTGTAAGGTCTATCATGGCTACGAGACGGACGATGTCGAAAATTAGGGTTCTGAGCATTGAGAGTTAGATATTCAGTCCTAGAGAGAAGCAAAAAGGGGAGTTCCTTACAAGCCACCAGTGACAAACACACCAGAGAGCAGCACTCTCTGGGTCCTGGAGATTGGTAGTGCCCATACGCATTTCAAGGGCATTATGAGAAGAACCACGTCGGTCAAGATGTTTGGGATTTGCTGGCCATAGTAATATTGGGCAGAGTCGAGACAGGATCCTGGCACCGTTGGGTCCCAAAACTTGTTGACCGGAAGACACAACAAGATCCCCACCACACAAACGCTCAGGGCCCAGAGGATGACAAAACAGGCGACGATATTGGCGGCGAGAATCATACGCGGAGTGGAGAATAAGCGCTTATAAAGTGCCAGGACGGATAGTTTAATAAAGGCGATGCAGCTGGTGTAAACCAAGGGGTTGGACCATCCAATCTGATTCAATTAGTAAGTGGATCGCCGTGCACGAAAAACTGGAGACACAAACCTTCAGATACACTGTGAGATTTTTCTGGGGAATCATGGTGATGTGGGAGCCCAGCCCGTTGAAAAGTACTGGTATCAGATTAGCCACCTGAACACGTGCATGCCGATTGAAGGGATGGCATCAACTGGTCACCTACGGATCGTAACTCCGATTGAGCATCCATATTTGAAAAGCTACGGTAGAAATTAGCGAGGAGCCGATTAAAAGAAGCTTCCAGAAGGTACGGTTGCATACAAGAGCGATCAAAATCAGATAATCATCCAAGTATAGTCGGGTGCCATTTAGCTTCCTCGCTAGAAGCCGGAGGGCGACAGCAGTTGTGGACAGGATAAAGGCAAAGTAGAGCGCGATGATGATGGACCGACGTAGATTCTGATTGGGGTGTTCGAAATCCCCGGGGACGCCATCGTCTGGCATTGGTTGCTGAGACATGACAGGTGATCTGTCCAACACTGCAATAGGAAACCGAGATGGGTATACGCTGGAAGCAAATCCTAACGGCAGGAAGATGAAGGTTGTGGCTTCGTGTATTTGGAATGACCGTCTCGCGCGGCCAGTCGAAGGGTTAATAAATACTACCTGCGTTTGAAGGTTGGACAGGGAGTTCGCGCATCGACACCCATATGTGTCATGTTCTTCACGTATAGGGCGTCCGAAAATAAAAAGTCAATAAGTACGTGTGGGGAGGGAACGCCGATTCATCACATTGAGCGCCGAATTAATAGTGTAAGCAATAGATAGGCCGAGTCCAGGAGAATCCATTTACGTGCATTGATCAACATCGTTTACTAGCCATGTGGTTCTCATGAGGGGTATCCATGCACCTAGTACATCCATCCCTGGCAAGGGCGAGCGTTGTGGGGTGCTCATCGCAGCCTAGGGAAGCAAAGACAAGGATCTCAGTTGCCGAGCGCCTTCCAAGGCCCTTCCAACCTTGACAGGTATCAACCTTGCTTCCGATGGAGTCATATTCCCGATAAGCTTTGGGCGAGGAACGGCGGCGGTTGGATACATCAACTTTTCCCAGCCGACAGATCCCGTTCGTCTTTTCCTCAGTGGTCCACTGATACGCGTAAAACCTGCCGGGGAGCGTTGTGAAACGGGTGCGCTCCATCCAAAGCTGCAGGGTACCTACCTTGCTGTTCGCTCCATGTGTCGGTTGATATGAGCGATCATCGACAGATCGCAATAGAGAATGTGTTGAGGTTCGTTCCATCTCCAAGGGATGAGATTAGGGCTGGTGGTCAGGGCTCAGGCCTCCTTACGCCCCGGTACGGATAACCGCCAATCATAAGGGCGCATGAAGGCGGACTGTAACTTAATTCCGAAATTGACAAAACACTGTCCTTTTTCTCTTTTTCTCTTCAGTCGGGAAATTTGTCGAAACTGACAGATCGCATTGTTCGCAGGGACGTACGAGTCTTTTGACTTTCCCCCCCCTTGCGTCCCTGAGTTTGAAACTAATAATAATAGAATATATTCTCATTTGCTCCAGCCTCTTTTTCCCCACTTCAAGATGGAGTCTATCTCAAGCCAAGGGAGTTGTGGGTCGAGTCATGTCAATATCCCTTCGAATTTATCGACAAATAGAATAACACTGATCAATCCTATTTTCTGACCACTTTTCGTTATCATTTTGCTCGGCGGGTCCAATTTAGGTACCATAACAATCTCAGGAGCTCTAAGATATCAAGTATTCATGTTATTTTAGTCTGGCCTTTTGATCCAACTTGAACACATATTTGAATGCGCCAAGCCCGGCTGCGACAAACAAGTCAATATGGGCTCGGCAATTGCCCAAGGGGGACAGGGAGATAACCGAACTATCAGACCAACAGAGCTAGTTGGTGGAGGCTTCCCCCTGCGCCGTTGATACGCAAGTTCCCCCTCAAGCACATCACAAGGTAGGGCGCTAGAACACCATTGGTTTCGGTGCCAATAATTGCGGCCACTGGATAGGATATCGTCCCTTGCCGACCTTCTTTGCTACCGACTTGTACGATGACATCCTAAACACGACCAAAATTGGCAGTATTTGCCCTGAAACACTTGTGTTTCTCCTTTCTGGCTCTGCACGCATCGGCTGGACCTCCAGGGGGGCAGTGCTGACAAGGAGGTTATCCCTTGACATCCAGAGTTAGTCTTCGTCTGAGATGTCGCATGTCACCCGGGATTTCTTACACAACTTCAGGCACAAAGTCTGGTGACACCCGCGTGGCAGATACCTAAGCACAGGACTACATCTTCGTTACCATCGTGTTGTTCTTTATTTGGCTGGGGTATTACCGACTCATGCTGAGGAAATTTGTTGATCTTGCTCTTCAGCCTCCTAACTTCCACGAATTTCAGATATCACTTAGATGGGGCCATTCCCTGAGCTTGTGCCCATCGACATAGAAAGTGATCAGCACCGAAACGGTGTGATTATGTGTGTGAGCAGTTGGTTGTTGGATCTCCGACCCCCAAGGACATTGTCACAGGTGAGATCTTCAGTCGACTCACGAGATAGACCACCCACAATCTCATTACTGGTTTTGCTTCGCATAGCCAATAATTGTGCTAATACAACGTAATAGCGATTTGTGTTGATCTTGAATGAGTCTATCCCCGGATATAGCTTTGCGATCGACTAGCTGAGCTGGTAGCTTAGGTGGTAGTGTTACAGATATCCCTGACATTGGTCCTAACCCACTCTGTCATTACTTCCAGGGCAGCCCTAGTTTATGGGCTGTGCTCTGCTGCTCAGGGGCCATCTTAGCCACTAACAAATCAGTTAAACAGGTAAACATGGGCAGTGTACAATGAAAGATGGGCCGTTCGACCAGTAACATGTTGGAGTGTGCTAAAAGTTAGTCAGGAGTTGAGAATGATGCTTCTTGAAAATCGGTGGGATTCCTATTTAGTCCACCCCAGGACATTTTGTCAATCCACCACTGACCGCGATTAAATTTAGTGCTCGATCTGCGCTTCGAACATAGCACGCTTGAGCCAAAAATTGGAAATTGGTCATGTTTGCCGATTCAAAACGATGGTCTTCACAGGGTGCCCTCGGTCGCTGTTTACTAGTTCTTAAGTGGGGAAAGATGTACAGCGAAGTATCCCTAACCAGGGTATGAACGACAACAACAAAGTCTGATTATACACTCTAAATGCTACGAGGTAAGAACATACGATGAACGGGTGGTCCCTTGGCCTTAGCGTCAAAGTTATGAATATTAACCGATAGAAGCATAAATACAGGTCAAAACTAGATATCTATCAGGATGCATCCCAAAATATCACCTTATCATTCATTTCTGGTGACACCGTTATAATAACGATTCAACGTATCGCCTAAGGGAGGTCAAGCCACAACTTCAACATCTTGGGATAGTTAGGTGTCCCCAGACCGGTGGCAGGGTCCCATCTGAAAGGTCGCGAGTCAGCAAGCTGGCGGTGGAACGGAGCAAAAGATTTTGAACTACTTACCCAGGTGCAGTTGAGAACCCGTCGGTTCCACATCCGGGATTTGTACCATTGGTGATATCATTCAGGACGGAGGGATTCCTGTAGAGTACCGGATTGATAAAGCCAACCGGGCCCTTACCGACGGCAAGACGCTCGTCGATAATGCGGTTGATGATGGCAGCAAAGATCGGAGTGCCTAGTTGAACAGACGACAGATCAGTAGCTGCAAGATTCCATTTCGAATACGACGCGACTGCACAAAGGTAACATACTAGCACTGGTTCCACCGGAAGAACCGAACTCGCCACCATTGAATACGGCAATGTTGTCGCCATTCGCAGCTACATCCGGATACCCTCGACCCAACCGATTGTAAAGACCACCATTCTTGCCGAGGTTTTCGGCGCCTTCGTAGTAAGGGTAGGGAGGGTTGTGGTCCTTGAAGTACCTGCACACAAACGTCAGTAAGAGACACTCTATCATGATTCAGAAGACGCACGTGGCAACGGCATCCGCCTGGTAGTCAGGGATAGGGTAGATGTTGCTGAAGCCACCACCGGAAGCATAGCTGTATATTCCGTCCGGATCGTACACGGCACTCTCGGGCTGAGAAACCGTGTGTCCCGGGTAAACTTTAGTAGCACCAACGTTGGTGATATAGGGGCAGCTGCATTCGTTAGCGTATGAGGTCTATTACCAGCAGTCCATGTCTCTTTACCTGTTAGGGAATGCAGGGCTGAAAACCGTTCCATTGTTCAGGCAGCCATTGACGCTGCCATGATCTCCCGGAGGTCCTGCAACACCGTTATCCCCGGAGGCGAAGAGCACCGAGACTCCTTGCAAACCAAGCTTCAGGAACCTAGAAGGTAGTTAGCGATAAATAGGTGAACTGCGTGGTACAGTAGCAGTCATGACTTACTCCATGCATTGCCTCTGCTGATAGTTTGCCGGAAGATCAACCTCCTGTTCGCCGTACGATACACTGATAACATTCGTGGGCTTAAACACGCCACACATGAGCTTTCCGTCGTAGCCACCGTCATCAGGATATACTGGATCCAGAGATGGATCATTGCCACATTCGCCGTACGCGCAGTAGGTGCAGTAAGACTATATATTCCGGCACATTAGCGATACTGACCAGACACATATGGCGGCCCAGTTTCAACTCACGCCATCAAGTGCGTCCAAAAAGGTGTTGAGGAACCCCGTGGTGTTGCTAGCCCAGTTAGCATCATCGGTCTGGTACAGTGTGATGCTTTGCGGATGCACGATGGGATATGCAAGTTCGAAGTCGAGATCAGACTCTCCACCAGCCTCACCGACGGGCACTGGAGCCTCCGCACCGTCGATGAAGGCGGGGATTGGGTGAGTGCCTTGAGGAATATTCTTCGCAAATGTCTTGAAGAACAGGTCAAGGTCCTCCTGGGCATAGAAGTCCCCTTCCTCGAAAATGCCCAAGGAATTATTTGGGTGAGGCGCCGCACGCGCGGAGGGGATCTTATACAATGCCCGAATACAGTCTGGCGTGATTGACACATCGCAGTTAGTGACATTCACGCCTTTGACATCGTGTTTGTGAATAGGGCGTCCTCCATGAGCAGGGAGCTTCGTCTTCCTGCTAGCAGAGCCCCTTCGACGGATACTGGATGATGCTTTGCCCGAGGACGGATTCAGATTGACGCCCGGGTGCACATAGTCGATATGCTTTTGCACCGAAGCCGGGACATGGTACCTGCGTATGATCTCAGTCACGACTTCTTAAAACATCTCAACGGATGTGTTAATCTCACTGTTCGCAAGCAATTGCTTTCTTTCCAGTTTTCCTATTATGGTACTCATAGTACGTGGTGTCGAACAAGTCCTCGATCTCCTTCGACGTGGCATGGAATACAAGCCAGCCGTGGTTCTTGGTTTGGGCGACGCGGCTGGCATTGACTCCCTTTTCCGTGAGCCAGTTCTGGACCTCGTTGACTGTTTCTGTCGACGGCGCGAACTTTGCCGCGACTTCGTCTGCTGAATAGAACTTCGCATAGTTCGGGGAGCTCGGGTTTGACCTAGAAGCGGTACGTTAGAGCCGAGTATAGCCTTGAGATATACGAAACAACAGCCATTCACGTACACATCCATCAGCAGGTCGTGAGCCTCCTCGAGACTACTCTGGGCTAAGCCAATGCGGACCACATGTTTGTCTGATGGGTTCACACGCGACCGCTTGACCCAGTTCGAGGATGTAACTTCACGTCTCTCGTGGACTACTGAGGTCGCAGCCGAGACGGCTGACAGGCCGAGCAGGAGCCCGTTGAAAAAAGAAAGATGAGACAAGGGCCGCATTGTGTGGACCTGCTATCCGATGTTTCCACAGACCGAGAAGCCTGGAGAATCATATCGAGAATATCATGACAGGCGCACGCCTTTATACATTGTTCAGTCTCTTGTGTATAGTAACGTCACAACTATGGCCCCCGATATATGTTACGGCTAGTTTAGTGCTATTCCCCGTCGGAGCTCCGCCTTGTGGAGTCGCTGCTTGCGAGGCTTGTCTCAGTGGCAGATGGGGATCCATGCTCACCATAGAAGGCTGAAGAGGCTGACTCGCTTTCTTCCTCTTGGCCATTTACATGTTCAGCAATTCCAACGGTCCACCATGGTCAACGGTCGGTGTTGAGTTCTAGTGTGCGATTGGAAATCTAAATTTGTCTGCACCGCCTACTGACAATCCAAATCCTTTAGGGGGAGCAAAATGATTACAGAACGAAATATACCTGTTTACGTGCGACTCCATGATCCATAAGACAGCTGGCATCCCCTGAAGGCTTGTCCTGATTGTACGCCGCTGTAGAATAACATGTGCAAGACGGGAAGTCATAAATTGGCTAGAGATGAATGGTGGCATATTTCATGCAAGGCCCCACTTGACATAGAAATAGCGTGACACCCTGGATTCCTATCTTCAACCATTAAGAGCTTGTTTTTTCTGGGCATTCCAAGCTTAACAGGCACAAGCTCCGCGTAATATCCAGCCTAATAGCATAGCCTGGTTGTATCCGCCTGCCTCCGATCGGGCCGATCGCCGTTTCTAAATGATTATCTTCCCCTGAAAAATACTAGACCACTGAAACGTCCCAGAATCCTATCCGTGCTGTATTAACCGGGGTTAGTATCCGATTCCCTCGGAAGAATCCCGGCGGTTTGAAGCGGGGCGATAAACATCGTCCATCTTTGTATGCCCTCCGGAGTCCGGATGCTAGGATATTCAAAAGGACCAATAGGTTGAGAGTATCTAATAAATAACATGCATTATGCCACTGAAATCTAGAATGATGAATTATCTACTATAATAAATATGGGTCTGGTGAAGAAATATCGAGAATATACTCTTCACGGACCAAACAACAGGGTCTCCCTGTTCTGGAGAAGATCGACTGATTTAATATAGTCTTCCCGAATTAATTTCTTTTGCGCGATGAATCCAACTCTTGCACCTTCTTGAATGCTCTATAAATCTCCCCGACACTCTGTTTCACGTAATCTGGGAGGAGTCAGCCAATTCCTCTTCGACAATCTGATCGATACTTACAAGAGCCAATGAACATCCAAATGAAGTTGAAGAAAAAGTAATAAAACCAGAAGTAGTAACCTTCAGGCCGACAGAAGGTTTCCCCGTGGAAGTAAAGGTCAAACAGACTAGTGGCATAGTAGAGGACGTCGCCATAGACCTGACCGACGGAGATCAGCAGCTGGAGGGCATGACGTGCAGGATGCTGTACTGCGATGCAGTAGGCGATAAAGAAGGCCAGGGGTCCCCAGCAGAACTGTTTGGCAGGATGATTAGCATATATTAATTTCCATTGACACAACCAGGCCCACTTACAGCAGTTACGGCCTCCATGGTGACAAGGAATGCGTCCGACGTCAGATAGCGGGAGTCTGACAGAGAGTACTCCTTCCAGAGCTGGCCGAATAGTTCCTGTGAGCCTGCAAGGGTCTCATGGTGAATAACAAAGTAGGACTCAAAGAAGAAATGAATGAAGCCCGCTGCATGGACCGTCTTAGTGGGACATTTTAAAAAGAGTTGACAGGGTCATGGAACATACTCAAGCACATCCACACAAAGGCCAATTTATCCGATCGACTTGCGTTCGGTCGCACGCGTCGTATGATGAGAAAGGCAGTCCCCAGGACTGCAGCCCATAAGAAGCCAAATTGGGCGATCAGGGAGACCACCCACGTCTCATTGGTGGTAAAGTGAGGGAGATGTATAGTGGTGGGATAATACTGGTGAGGGATCATGGTGACGCGACTAATGCAACCTTGTTTGTTATAAAGAAAGAGGGCAGGGACACGGTTCAGGCACACCAATCGGGACGCTCACATTCAATACTTAGTGTAATTCTTCTCCTATAGGTTGTCTGGTATTACTTCTTATATGTTGTGCCTTCTAGGCGGAAAATCTGCCTCGGACTCCGCGGATCCCGAGCATCTCTCGGATAGTTGAGTTGCCAGATCGGACCATCTTGGCTAGAGAGGAGATTAAGCGATTGACCACACGGCAACATCAAATTATGGGGTACGTTAAGCTTCGGGTCGATGTGTTCGCCAAAAGAAACGTGACTTAGTAGGTACTAGAAAAAATTACACTAATATAGCCAGAGTATTTTCATCAAACAACAAAAGCCTCGAACAACAGTCACGGAATATCATTATGCCCAATAAAAAATGAGGATAAAAGAAAAGAAAAGAAAAGAAAAAAAAAAGGAAAAGAAAAGAAAAATGACAATAAAAATAGACAACATCAAAGGTTTCTCATAGCATCAGCTGGGACACCCATCATTAACCCCCTATTGGACTTAAAACGAGACAACATGGCTAGGGCTTGTTTGTGCCGCCGTATATCGCACGCCGTCCACCTTGAGCCCCTGCTCATTCAAGAGCGTGATTGTACCACCCTCATCGGAGAGCGCGCAGTTGTGCAGCTGAAAGCTGTGGCGACGTCTTCGACGCAAGACAGCACCATCGGGCAGGTATTCATTGTCGCCTTTGTGATTCCGAACGCTCCAGCCACTGAGTACCACGGACGAGTCTCCACGGTTCGTCAGAGTGACCATGTCGGGTTTGGTTGTTGGCGCTGTACCATGATGGTGGATTACGGCCTCGCTGATGGTCACGGTCCGATCACTCACATCGCGCTTTTTCCGTTGCTCCCCGGGGAGTTCAGGGTTCAAGAGCTCATTCCAGGTAAGATATCCGCGCGAGGGAGTAGGCTGACCTTCGGCGTCAGTATGCACAGCCTGAGACGCGAAACCAATAAACACCCCCTCCCAGTGATCCCCAAAGTCCAGCAGGATAGCCCCATCCTGGTAGATCCCATTGTCGTGTTTCCACTTCCTCGGGCTTCCTTGGTTCATGTGAACATTATGGATACCATTGCCATTGCTGAAATGCGACCCATAGATGTAGATCACGCTGTCGTTGTCGACCGCAGCATCCAGCACCGGGATCAGTTCATCCAATATATCGTTATCAGGCCCAGGGACGTCATGGGGGAGGAGTCGGCCTCTTTCTCGGTGGAACAAATTTCCTCGAATATAGTCCAGTGCAAGGCCGCTGGACGCTTGCTCCATGGTGCCTTCCAGCCGGTTAAACCCTGGCTTCATCTCCCGAAGTCGTTCATTCTGAAAGTTTTCGAAATTCTTGACCAACCAAAACACTAATCGGGAGTCACTCTTATCCCCAGACTTGATGTTTATTGCTGCGCGACCTTCCCCCTGCCTGTTGTCACTGGTAGTAAAGAACAACGATAAATGAGGAGACACATGGTCTTGTGCATCGGTTTCATAAGTGAAACGGACAGGCTTTGCCTTCCATACTCCGTAGTTCTCAACGGGCATTGTGAGAGGATTTGATTGTTTACTAGAGGGGTTTATTGAGTTAGCAAGTTTGCTAAGTCATAGATCCAAGATACGTCTGAGAGTATCGACCTAGGCGAAATAATGAAAACGTCATACCTACTTATATCTCTCAGTGTTAGTCTAGGCCCATAAGGTGTCCGTTACCTGTGGAAATGGGGCCCGACGCCGCTTTGCTTCTGGATCACAAGGCTAGATGTCGCGTCGGAATTCATGTCGACTGATTCAACCATCCACACATCTAAGAGGTCGCAGTACGATCCTCATCCTTGGTACTGATCGCCTGATCAAATGAAACTGCAATCCAGGCCTTGCAGACTCGCGTAAGTTTGACCAGCATGGACGTGTGGTTGGGTCCAAAGCCCGTCCCGCAAATCGCGTTTGAGGACAAGCAGAAGTAAGTTGTGCCTTTTCCATGGAATTGAGTAATATTCGGAACGCAGTTACTATACGATCAGTACTGAATCTTAGTATTGCAACATGAAGTCGCCTTACATTGCATTTAGGATGTTAATTATTTCCATGCACTCAATATTGTCATTTTCCTCCAATGCCCACACATCAAGTGAGTTCAATGGCGCTCTCCCTCTGGTTGTCGCAGGACACTCCTGGTACACGAGATTGGCATTTCCAATCACTTTAAACACAAGCGTATCACCCTCGGGCATATATCAATTGACCGAGATGCAAATGAGAGATTTCTAGGTCGACTGTCCTCTGTTTCAAACCCCGGAACATTTGATGTTCACAACTCCACCTACAAAGCACCGGTTGTCGGTATCAACAACAACAACAACCCGTCCGTTGAAAAGTTGTACACATCAAGTTTTCTGTCGTTCTTTCAAAATTTTCATGAACGTACTAAGATAGCTTCATAGTGGCTTTCATGGCTATCTCTCTACAGCAAAGCAAAAAATGGAAAAGAAAAGATTTGTAGCCGTGACGTGACATCAGCATAGTCACAGCAGACATCCCGTTCCCTTCAAACCGTCTCAATGTACCGCCGCACCTCCCTAGAAGTATGTTGTCAGTCTAAGACCAATTTTCCGATGAAGACAAGTGAAAAATAAGTACAACAGGAAACACGCGCGCGTAATCCACCGGGACACAGCATACCAGTCAGTCACGGCTTCTTCCCACAGCTGGATTTCATGCTCCCTGGTGCCGCCAAAGTGATCGACGAAGCTGTCTCCAAATACCTCTCGAGCCACATTATCAGGTCGTGTGAATGTGGCCACTGCCTCATTCAATGACTTGGCCAAGCGCACACCTTTGTCGCTTGCGCTGCTCATGTCCTCGCCCTTGGGCAACGGTGGCACGGGAATTTCAAGCTCCTTCTCTATACCACGCCAGCCGAGGGCTATGATTGCGGCAAGCACAAAGTGTGGATTAGCATCTGCACCAGGAACGCGGATTTCAAAGTGGGTGGCTGTCGCATTAGCAGTTGGGGGCGTAATCAGTCGAATAGACGCTGCGCGGTGCTCCAGACCCCCGAGATACAGTTGTGGGAGTGCAGAAGTCCTCCTCCAGACGCTTGTAGGAATTGATAGTGGGCGCAAAGAGCGGCATCATGTCCGGTAGGCCTGTCAGTAAACCAGCGAGGAATTGGCGACCGAGATCCGACAAATGTGCCACATCTGGGTGCGGAGGAGAGGGATCGGGAGTGTCGCGAGTGAAAGCATTTTTGCCATCCATGGTAACGAGAGTAATATGCATGTGTCCACTGTTTCCAGGGAACCCATGACGCGGTTTTGCCATGAAACAAGGTGCGATGCCGTGCTTAATACCGGAGGCCTTGACAACGTATCTTATCGTGGACACAAACATGACATAGTGAGCCTGGGAAGTTGAAATGCGGCATTTGAACCCCTGAATCCTACTTGAACAAGCCAGCCTTATCCGCCATATCCTTGGCCTCACCAAACTGCAATGCCTATCGCAACATCCAGCGTTAGCATACGATACCCGCATATATATATCAGTTGGAGCTCCTCAAGTGATACACGAAGAGGGCGGATAGCCATGCAACATACCTCCCGCCATAGCGCGATAGCCGGCAGTCTCAGCTTTCGCAGCCACATTTTTCAACAGCCCTCGTGGGCACGCGCAGACTGGCTCTCGTGTGTCCGGGTCTAAGAAGCTGACAAGGAAGAAAGGCACATTATTCTCCCACGGAATACGCCGAAAGCTGTTCAGATCTCGATAGCCATTCTCTTCGTTCCAGATAGCAAGCTCTTTGGGATAATCCATGTCTTGTTGGTCCCAGCCAAAAGTAATAGAGCAGAAACCAAACCCACCGGCAACAATAGACAGGAACTTGCTCTTCTTCATGAGTTTGCCGCGTAGCTGGCCATCCACATCGACCCCAGCGACTTTGACCATACGATCATTCTGGAGTACCTCGGCCACATTCGCGGCGGTGACGTCGGGGAGCGACATTTTGGGAAGCGCAAGAGGGCAATGGGACTCGTGGATGATTCAACAATGGCAGTTATTGGGCAATTCGAGGATATCCAAGGCTGAGAAGCGGGCGGCAAGTGCTGTCTTGAAGACGTGAGGCACCGGGACAAGATGCGGAAGAAACCCTAGGACCCTTGGGTTTGGGGGCATTTGGGCTTATCTGCCTATTTAGTAGTCGCTGCCAGAACCGCTTTTGAATGACGCTTAACTTCATAATTCACGGCCGACCTGCTCACACGGTGGTTGAAGTGTGTAGGTATATACTCCGTAGAGATGGGCGGCTTGCTTATGAATTATAGTATTAGGTTATAAATAACTGGATAATATATTTGGGTCTAGATTTTACTAATAGTATATTATTAAAAAAAAAAAAAAAAAAAAAAACCCTAACTATCTTATTCTACACATACTGTATTTCAGCCCTAAAATATATTCTCGGGCTTATTCAGTACCGTTATAAATATATGTGCGCCGTTTCGGTATACCGTGACGTAGTTTGACTGGCGGTATGCCGGCAGAGCGCTATAGGTTAACGGGCTGCAAGATATATATTACTAGGGAGACCAAGGATGTTCAGGATTCTATGAGAATTCTATTGGTGTTCTGCCAGAACGTGATCCTCCCTCTGCGCGGAATTTCGACAGCCATGCGGGCACCGGTTTAGGCGGCGGCGGGGTAATCTTTGCCTGAGGCAACCGCCGGTATACCTGGCCCGGATAACGTGTCCGCCTGAGTATTCAGTCCATTTTATGATCCCAGAAACCTACTAAATAGGCGAAGGATCCTAGGCTATTTAAAAATGACAGTAGACACGGCCCGGGAAAAGACAAGAATCAGTTTCTTTTATATTCATTCTACTACTCAGTTAATTATAGATACTTCCCCGCTTTCTTGCTTACGTATCCTTGCCTAGTGGACAGGCTCTGTGAGCTGTGTAGTAGATCCTCTGTTACACAGATCTCCTTTACCATCTTTAGAGAAAACCATATCTTCCTTACAGATACTAGATTATCATGAGCCATGGCTAGAGTTGAGACTATCTCTTCCAATCCAAATCTTGCTCCTCCACCTTCTCTCTCGTCCAGCACTGCAACACGCGTTACATCTGTTTCAGCGAGCCCCGGATCGGAGGATGACACTCCTCCCCTACACGCAGTCAACGTCGCCCTGCGATGGAACGGGTCAAAGACTATGATCTGGAGAGTAACGGCTACCTTCTGGTGTGCACTTGTCATGGGGTCTAATGACGCGGCATATGGAGCGATAATCCCTTACGTTTGTACCATGTTTCACACACGAAGCAAACGTATACAACGCTAATTCAGACCCATAAATCATCCAGCTTGAGCTTTCTTATGACAAGAGCTATACGATCATTTCCCTAGTCTTCCTGTCACCATTTCTGGGCTACACCATCTCCGCCGTTCTCAGTAATCAGATCCATCAGCGGCTTGGTCGTCGAGGAGTGGCGTTTATTGGCCCAGCGTGTCACGTGCTTGCCTTCGCCGTCATATCGAGTAATCCGCCCTTTCCAGTGCTGGTGATAATGTATATCTTTGTCGGACTCGGAAGTGGGATCCAGAATGCGGGGTGGAACGTGTGGATCAGCAGCCTGGCCAATTCGCACGAAGTCCTCGGATGTTTTCACGGATTCTATGGTGTCGGGGCTACAGTCAGTCCGCTTATTGCGACTACCCTGATCACAAAAGCTGGCTGGGCATGGAATTCATTCTATTATCTCCTGGTACGTACATCAGTCCTCACCGACGGCTATGTGGCTTCCGCAACCTGAAAAATTGCATACTCTAATGCGAAACACAAGACGGGAGCTGCGGTTTTAGAACTTGTCAATGCCACCAGCGCCTTCTGGGCGGAGACGGGATCCAAATACCGACAGGACAATCCGTCGACTCCGGGTAGAGATGGAGGTAGATCTCCTAACCAGACCAGACTATCACTCACTTACCGAGTCACCTGGATCTGCGCCATCTTTCTCTTCCTATATGGCGGTGTCGAGGTCGCTATCGGAGGTTGGATTGTCGTATTCATGACCAGTATACGTCATGGCAGTCGCTTTGCATCCGGTATGGCCGAAACAGGCTTCTGGCTCGGCATTACACTGGGCCGGTTTATATTGGGGTTCGTCTCACCTCGCATTGGAGAGAGACTGTCCATTATCGTATATATTGTGCTGGCCATTGCGCTTGAACTGATCTTCTGGCTCGTTCCCAAGTTCATCGTCTCAGCTGTAGCGGTTGCTCTGGTGGGGTTCTTCTTGGGAACCATTTTCCCCGGCGTTGTGGTCGTTGCAACTCGGATGTTGCCAAAGCACTTGCATGTTGCAGCCATTGGATTTGCAGCTGCGTTCTCTATGGGTGGAGGAGCCGTCTTCCCTTTCATGATCGGTGCTATTGCACAAGCCAAGGGAGTGGCGGTGCTGCAGCCTATTTTGCTGGCGATGTTGGCCCTTGCGTTGATTATTTGGGGGACGCTGCTTCGAGCTCCCTTACAACAGTCAGAGCATCAAGTTTGACCTAGAATGAGGCAAATAGGAATCTTTCGTTGATTGTAAGCGAGGGCCGAGTGTCGAGTGTTGTGGAAGTTGATGAACGACGGAAGTACATGGTTTAGACAATATTGATAACTTGAAGGGAATTTGTGTAGGTATTCATAGCATGCTTATGGTATTGCCTGTGCCCATGTGGCGCCAGTAAAATTCCTGCTTGAATAGCATAGCAGAGGAATTTCGTCTCATTCGATATGACTTGTGTCCTGTTGTTGAACATCGAACCTCATGAAACAAACAAGCCAGGGGCTCGAGGGCCGGAAAGATCAACACCTGGTGGCATCTCTGGTCCTTGGAGGGCAGTGATGTAAAAGGTGGAGACTGATTCTTGTTGTTTGTAAAAACACTGTATGTTTCAGGGATCAGGATATCAGAGAAACTCCCCACATTCCACTGAAAAACCGTGCTTAAAGAGGTCTCTGGAGTTGAAGTGTGACGGATCAAGCGCCAATTACTGGTGATCATTTGTAGCGTTTGTTCTGCCGATTGACAACCTAGAGAAGAAGGCGGAACAAACGAGCGGTCAATGAAGCCCCCTTCTCCAACGCGAGGTTTTCAAGCACCTCCACTGCCAAGCGCCGAGAGCCGACAGGATGGTCACCTCCGAACACCGAATTGCTCCGGAACACAGTAGGCTCAATATTTCTTACTCTACTCTTGATTTTTGAATTCAAATGACATTCGGTGATTCAGTACTTTGACCGAATAGTGTTTGTCGGCTCTCATCAAAAGCCGAGCAAGAGAGGTAACCGGCAGACGATTATGTATCAAAACCGGATCTGCAAGTCCTGCGAACCATGCAGGGCTCGTAAAGTGCGGTGCATCGGTGAGTCTTCTATATGGTTCTGCTGCACTTAGACCTTCAACTGACGCGGTGAAAGTATCTTCGGAGGATCCATCCAGATGCAGGCATTGCATTGTAGGCAGGAACCTGGCCATCATGTACCAGACCTCCTGGGATTTTAATTTTACTAACCGGATCTCCCGGCTTCTAGAATCGTGGTGAGCGCTGCGAGTTCAAACAGGCTAGACGCCGGTTCAAGCATCAGCCCCAGAAAGTGACGCGTAGGTTTCGTAAAAAGGTTAGATACGATTGATCTGACTAATGAATTATGATGTAGGCGAGCCCTCGCTATCAAGTCTGGCTCACGGTAGCAGAGAATACAATGATGGACGGACTAAATCGGGCTTAGCACCATTATTTGTGGACCAGCTATTAGATAGCCAGCCCCTCCAGGGAATGCTTCAGGATGAAGTCCATGTGCTAAGGGTAAGCGATCTTCAGCAAGAATATCATGAGCGTGACTGAGCCCTGGCGTGTAGTCGCAGGAAAACGAAGGCATGACCCAAACAATAAGCTGTTTTCCGGAAGATGGATCTGACCGAACGATTAGTGTGCAGCTCGAATCTGGCCTTCTTTTCTGATAGAAAGATCCAATCTTTGACACAAAAACTGGGGAACTCCCGCCTCAAATCGTTGGTCGATTGGATTGAAGCAGTCATCGAGGGCCGGGTTACCGCACGAGGAGCGACATCCATTTCCCCAGTTACGTTCAAAAAGCCACTCAGGCCCACGCGGATATCGGCGGAGTTGACGCGAGCTTACGTAGATGGTTGTGATCCAGAAATTAGTTCATATTCGTACACAGTCTAACGGGTCGGTAGTCTACTTCACGCGTATTCATCCGATGTACCCGTTCCTTGACCGACAAAGCTTCGAGGAGACAGCGTTCTCGGCGACGCTCGCACAGACGTTGGAAACCACTCCTGCATTTTCTGCTCTATACCACGCAGTACTTGCATTGGGATGTCAGTACCATGACGGTGGATCCTTTGACCCGGGAAAGGGCAAAGCATGGAAGTTCTTCCAAATGTCACTAGGCCTGATGGCCGACATCCTTGTACCACAAGAATCATTGCTTAGCCTGCAAGCTCTGACTGCTATGTCCATCTTTGCCATGAACACCTGTTGTTTGCAGATTGACGAAATCCTAATCATGGAGGCAGCGCGTATGGCGCACGCCCTCCGATATCACCGAGCCATTTGCAGCAGAGAGCAACAAGTGTGGTGCCTGCGAACATTTTGGGTCATCTACGGCATGGAAAAGCAGTTAGCATTTCAAAATAGGGAGAATTCGGTAGGCCTACCCTTTCCAACAAAGGAACCGCCGCTAAGACCGCGATAGTTGATCGCTGATTACAACGTGGGGTGCCCAATCCCAGAAACACCAGAGGCTAACTTTGGGAGCTATAACTGGTTTTTATCCTCCATCCGATTTGCCAGGATAACGTCACAAGCATATGAGCTTCTGTTCTCCATTAGCGCCACCCAGAGTTCCACAGAGACATACTACACAACGATTGATTATGTCCAGGAGCGCCTGGAAAAATGGCGACTGACTGTACCCGAACCGTTCCGACCGGGGGAATCTTGTCCCCAACAGACCTTCAACGATCCTGTCTCAAAAATGGTCGCTCTCCAGACTCACTACTCCTACTACAGCATGGTCATTGCTTTGGCGCGGCTTACCCTACAGATCGGCTCTGACGACGGTGCGCGACAGGACGACAGCAGACGAAGTCTGATGGCTTCTGCTCGACGGATAATTGAGCTGACTCAATATATTGACAAGGCCCCCCATACACCACTGTTGTAAGTCATTAACCCTCTTATATTCCGTGTCCTTCCATAGAAACCTTACAATCGACGCAGTATCCTTGCAATCATGCCACTTGTAGCCCTCTTCCTTCTTTTCGACTTTGTGGTCCACAATCCCACACACTCGGAAACAAAGACCAACTTGGCAATGCTTGATATTGTTTCGGGGCACTTCGCTTTTGTAGAGCATGCATCGAATGGATCCTTGCCCTGTTCATTGGTCTCAGAGTTTGCCCACATAGCGCGACAGCACGTCAAAGATATCAATGGTGGACGTGGCCCCGGAGATATTATGGATGCCCCACGTACCCCGACGCAAAGGCCTTTCCGTGGTCATATCAGGACCGGATCAAGCGTCGTGAGTGAGACGCACATGCCAGTAGCAATGGAACGGAATACATCTGTAAGAACCTACCTTACTCATTGAAGTGATCTATTCAGCTGACCATTCGACCCATCTAGGACAACCAACGATCCAATGTTGAACTCAGCGGGGGGTTCGAACCATACAAGCACACAGATAGCGTCGGTCAGCCAGCAGGCGATCTTTACTATTCTGCAATGGATGCCAGTTTCGACTTCGGTAGCGACCCTCTGTTGCCCGGGGTCGATCTACGGACGTTGTTTGGGTCGGTTATCTCGGGCGGCTTTGATTCTCCTGAAGATGCCCCTAGTTTTGGTGGAATAATGCCGACGCCCCCAACATAATATCAGTGTCGCGACATCAGATGTCTTGCTTTGCCTGGGTGGTTGCTCCTTGGGTTGGCGTTGGGCTGGCTCGCTCGGTACTCGTGCTCTAAAAATACGACTCTGCAACGGAGCTCTGCTCCTTCGACATGACGTAGAATTGCCTACTGCATTGGCGCTCAAAATTCCAGTGTGGTCTGTGTATTAAACAATCTAGTCACTTTAGAGTTATCAAGATAAATTGGATATACCAGGGGTATAAAGTTAAGTGTAGGCGTCATAGGTGCAATTGTGTATTTCGTCCAGATCGAGGGACAACTGTTTAGAAATCCCAAACAGTTTCATCCTGTTGCCTTAGGTGTCTATCTTCCTGTCGGGGCTCGGTGATGGTGATACGTACCGCCTCACCTCCCGCCTGCCTGTCGAAGAATACTACCGGCAGAACCATTCCCGTCATCTTCGATCCTCCTTATTGCCTTAGGCGTCAGCATCCCGCTTCTGCGCCACAATCTGCCTTGAGGGTGGAATATCAACAACCACAATTGGTTGCCAGTATGTACCTAGATATGTTAGGGACCGATCTCCGTTCCTTTGAGCTCCACTTTTTGAGGACATAACCAATAATGCGAACCACGTATCTCCGAACGGAAGTAATCCTGGAGATCCTGACCTGGCTCTTGGTGGTCGACAGGGCTTCGGAGGTCGGGGGTAAGCGTCACCACGTATTCTCTTCGAATATCATGCAGGTTGCACCATGGATGTAAGGGCCCCCACGGAGAGCTTATCTCAGCACGTAAGCCATGATCGATATATAATTCTGGTGCCTTTTCTTGCTTACAGGCAACCATGGTCCAAATTTTGTTCGGCTCAAATCCACAGAAACCAGGAGATTCACCATGGCAGTTTCCCTGGGTTTTGTTACATATCTCTTCCTAATAGTTGCGGGCTTATATCTTGCCCGCAAGATAAGTAGAGCTGTCCAAAGTGTGTATAACCCCACCGACCATGTAAAGCCCCGCTAATGGCAGGACTTCCATAGTCCGACGATTCAAACAATTATACGGTTGCTTACCCCCAACAAGAGAACACCATATTGACCCTGTGTTGGGTCTAGATGAAGTGCGATCTTTGCTTCGGGTGTTTCGAGAGGACCGGTTTCTAGAATGGACGCTAGAAAAATATCGACGCCATGGGAACACCTTCACGACCTCGGTTCTGGGTGACGATAATATATGCACCGTGGAACCAGAAAACATTAAAACTATTCTGGCGGTGAAGTTCAAGCAGTTCGACCTAGGAGAGAAAAGACGGAGGACGTTCCATCCGCTCTTAGGCGATGGCATTTTCGCATCCGATGGCCCACAGTGGGAACATTCTCGGACTCTGTTGAGACCGAGTTTCACTCGGACACAGATCGCGGCGACCGATCTGTACGAGAGACACATTCAAAGGCTGATCAGCCAGATTCCACGCGATGGGTCAACGGTGGACCTGCAAGAGCTCTTTTTCAATTTGGTATGGATGAATTTCCGTACCTAGAATGCCCCAGGGTCAGACCTAATATTACATTCTCTAGACACTCGATACGGCGACCGAGTTCCTGTTCGGAGAGTCTGTTGAGTCTTTACGTCCTGGATCTTCCGCAGAATCCTCTAGCTTTGCCTATCACTTCAATGTCGCCCAAGATGGAATAGCTTTCAGCGTGGCGCTCGCACCGTTTGACCGAATGATTTTTAGACCCAAGTTCAGAGAATCTGTTGGAGAAGCTAGAGGCTATGTCGGCAACTTCGTGAAAAAGGCCATCGAATACCGACATTCGCTGGACGCCGAGAAACACGCGGTCGATACCACAAACTCACAGTCGCGATATGTATTTCTTCAGGAGCTCGCTAAGGAAACAGACGATCCCACCGAGATCACCGACCAGATCTTGAATATCCTCCTCGCAGGGAGAGACACAACCGCCAGTCTCCTAAGCATGGTATTCTATCACCTCGCCCGGCGTCCAGATATCTGGGATCTTCTCCGGAGCGAGGTTGCAACACTTGACGGGAAATGTCCATCATTCGAGGAGCTGAAACAGTTGAAATATCTCTCCTGGGTCATTAATGAAAGTACGTTCAGTAGTACTGAGTGATATTCCCCAAATCTTCACAATACTAACCACCCATAGCCTTACGCCTATACCCCGTGGTCCCATCCAACAGTCGCACAGCGAACGAGGACACCTTCCTCCCCGTCGGGGGCGGCCCAGACGGAAAATCACCCGTGTTCGTCGCCAAGGGCCAAAGAGTCGCCTACGATGTGTACGTGATGCATCGTCGCCAGGATATTTTCGGTCCTGATGCGGAAGAGTTCCGCCCGGAACGATGGGAGACCATACGGCCCGGCTGGGCTTTTGTACCGTTTAACGGGGGCCCTCGCATCTGCCTCGGACAGCAGTTCGCCCTGACTGAGGCGTCTTACACCATCGTACGAATCGTGCAATCGTTCAAGGAGATCACCAATCGGGACCCGGAGCCGTGGGAGGAGCGTCTCGCGCTTACGTTGGCGAGTAAGCATGGGACGAAGGTGTCGATGGTGCCTGTTTAGATCATTTTAAGCTCTTTTTTCTTGTCATAGTACCAACTGGCGCAAAAGGAGACTTGCTTGGCGGGGATTTCGCATTTTGATTCTAGAACATGCCTAATACCAGATTGGGCTTCCGTCCAACCCAACGAAATTTAAAGAATTGACACCTCACAGAAGCTCTAGCTGATATTTGCACCTCATCAAGTACGCGGGACATAACATAGTCACCTCGCCTCACCTCGCTGAACAAAACATTATTTTCGATATTGTATATGGCCTTGTGGAAGATGGCATTCGACTTAATTAAAGCCTAGCGGGGAGTGAAAACACATCGGCGGTTGGCGTTGTATGGAAGGCGAGACTGGTAAAACGGTGGTATTTGATACACTATTTTATAGGTCTCACTAACTTATGATAATATCTACTTAGCTGTATAAATAACTGACTATAGTTAGCTCTGTATTCCCCTGTAGTTAGTGAATCTCAGCCTATTTATGGCGTGGAACAGTTTCTGGCTGTTTATTTATAATAATAATCCTCTTGATCGTCTGTCAAGTAAACAACAAAAGCTATCAGTGTCACATAGTAGCTTGATCACCAGACTAACTATCAGCATGTTAAGCTGAAGACTACGTGATATAGTGTATTATGTGAGCGTAAGCACCAGATACAACCAACTAAGGGCTAACGACTTGAATGAACTAATTCAGACCTCGGCTAATACTTAGGAGCTGAGAAATTCTATCCGCGGAGGCAATGGAGCGGGGATTATCTTTGGGCATGAAGTCGGACCCGACGAGTGGCTATGAACTCTTGTGTGTCTAAGCAACCCTCATTTAGTCCAGGGAAATACCATGTATGTGGTCCAGCGTCGCATATGGCCACGTCTGTATGAAGTCATCCTCAGCTCATGGTCATTATCCTCTGATTAGGATCTATCACACTACTAACGGCCAGCTATTGGGCAAGGAACATGGCAAAGTAGCCCGGATAAGAGTATGTGCCGTCAGTCATGGAGGTCCGTGGATTTGCTCAGTTTTAGATGAATACGCATAGAGCTAAGAGATGTATTTCCACGTTTATGTATCAAGCCCGTTACCTGATCGATAAAGAAGCTAATGACCACAATCTTATAACGCCTAGACTCTAGGAATAAGTGTAATAAGGATGTCTCAGTGCTATTTCTACAGCGAGGTAAATCAAAGCTTACAATGCATTGTATGGAATAAGCATTACAACCTACTAGCAAAATTGAGTAACACTGTCACGCTCTATTGATAATGCGTGCTGGAGGATTTCTTGAGCTTTGATCAAGTTTCGATCACAACTAACATTACCAATAGCTGTCGTCATCTGCAGGTGGGGATTCCGTTTAAGCATGGGCTTTTGTGGTCTAGAATAGCACAATGTATTACGCCAAATGAGCTTATCGTCTGGTAGTCTCGAGGACAGGGTGATGCAGCTGTACAATTGGGTAGTAGAGCCTCGATCTAACAGTTCAGCTTCAGCTAGCCTCGCTTCAGTAAGGACCACCTTTCTATCAACAGCAGTCATGTACATCGGCAACCCTTTATTTAGCCCAATTTGCGTAATTTTAAATTTTATTTTTCTTAGCTGCGACGCCTACGTGGTGATTCCGTTAACAATAGTCATGCACACTGTGTGTCCAGGGGACAACATTCGTCCCATTCTAGACTGCACACCTCCTTTAAAATCCGCTGGCATTTCCTTCGCAAAGACACCCGGCTAGATTAGGAGCCTTTCACCCCCCGGACAAGATTACTGTGTTGTTCATCGCAGTCTTCAGAAGAATCTAGATGCCCACCATGCAACATATAGGGCGTCATTTCTACACTGCCCGATCAATGAGCAGATGTGTTCGATTAATGAACATAGGCACGAATCCTAGGCAATATCTGGCAGGGAGACAAAGACCAACTCGCCAATTCGCAACAGACACCTTGCCAGTAGTACCTCACTTAGTGGCACGAGTTCTTGTTGACTCTCAGCACCTACAGCATGTTCGCGATGTACACAACCATCTCAAGCACCACGGAATCCTCAAAATCAGCCTGGGATTCCCGGACGATGAAAGCCAATACTTAGAAAGCCTGGTTGTCAGTCTTTCCAAAAACCATGGCCACGGGCTCCCCATCACCCACAGCGCATCTTGTGGCTGGTTCTGGGATGTTCGTCCCAGCGAGACCACATTTCAGACAGAAAATCACCAGGCTCGATCAGAAACAATGGAGGAATTTCCCTGGCACACAGACTGCAGCTACGAGCATGCCCCACCGCGGTTCTTTGCCCTTCAGGTTCTCCATCCCGATCGCTACGGTGGGGGCACCCTCTCCGTCATGAAAATTGATCAAATAAGCCAATTTCTCTCCCCTGCCACCAAGGCAGCCCTCCTTGAACCCGAATATCAGATCACCATCCCACCCGAGTTTATCAAAAATCCCGACCGACGTCATATCGTGGGCAGTCTATGTGCTATCGACACGCAGGTCCAAGGCCATTCCTTGATGATGCGATACCGTGACGAGATTGTGACACCTTTAAGCCCCAGGGCAGCTGCGGCGCTGAAGGAGCTGAAGGGCGCACTGAAGAACACGGAGGCCCTATCGCAATCCACGTTACATCTTACTGCAGCTGACCTACCGGCAAGGTCTATCATTCTCCTCGATAATTATCGATGGCTGCATGCGCGGAACGGCATCAAGGACCCTGCGAGGCATCTTCGTCGGGTGAGATGGAATGCTGTTCTGTTTGCCAATAGCGTCGTCTTGCAACCATCCGTGGCATCCATTACCTGAATCAGATTCCTGAAAAGTTCTCTTTTTAATGATCTTCTAGTTCTTTTCTTTTATTTGTCGCCTTTTACTGTGTACTTAATGCGTCAGTTTGAGTTTTTAGCATGGGAATGAATGGCGCCATCCATCCGGTATCGATACTTTATAGCTACTGCAGATTTCAATGGGGAAATATATCAGCCTGGAGCACCTGTGGAGGAAAGCTGTATCCAAGTGAGAGAAGGAGAAGCCAAGGCTAAATTGCAATGACCAAATATGCCGAGACAATGATTGACAGTGCGGGTCATTGAGACTGAGTGAACTAGGATAAATCCACGCACCCATGGAACCAGTACGGTAGAAGATCGAGCAGGTTCCCTTGTAGGATAAACCTTAGGAGTCACTTTCACAGTGATAATATCCCGAAATTGCCGTTTTCTCGGAGGAGGCAAGTGCCACATTGGTGATAGTTTCGGTAGTCTACGGAGTACTACCCCCTGCTAAGAGCAATACGCGAGAAGAAGAGGAAAACAAACCACAAGAACTGACGAGAAAAATCCGCGTCCAGGCGTGTAAATTTCAGATATGCACTACAGCCGCAACATCGGTTCGAGACCGCAGATCCTGGTCGTCCTGGCGTTGATCCGTCGTACTCTGTACGTTAGTTTTCAGGACATAAACAGCAGGTTAAGTCAGTTCTCCTAATACAAATTAACATCATCAGAACCCCCAACCTACCCTTCAAACCCTCATGAACCACCAAGCACTCAAGGCCCCAACCACAGTAAAGACCACCGCCCAGCGCGCCAGCCCTCTTTTAATGTGATACGCAGCCACGCGATCAATCGCCTTAGAATCATTGATACGAGGGAAAGGGATATTCTTCGGGACCTCTTTTCCCAATGCCTGACACAATGGGCCCCAGCCATCCTTCACTCTGAAGAAAACCAGCCGATCTGCGGGGACGACCTCTTTCAACCACTCGATATGGCGCTGGTAGATGTAGGCGTTATCTCTCGAACCATCATAGATCTTATCCCACTGTGCCTACAAGAGGGAGATATAGGTCACGAAATGTCGCATCCCTGGTCGAGCAAAGTTAGTCTGTTTTTTCTACATGATTTTTCCTTATGGGAAGTGGCTAGTTGGTGCCATGGAATGTTGGTATATCTCGTTACCTGGTAGTGGGAGTAGCACCGCGCCTAGAAACCACAGTTTAGCCAGAGAGCTGATTTGCTGCATGCTCTTGACCCAAGCCTCCGGGTCACGGACGGTGACAATAACCTTGCTATCGGAGTAGAGGGCGAGGAGCTCGGGCACAAATTGCGAGGCGGGCGCATCGGTGATGGCTGCGTAGCCGGTGGTTCGGCGACGGAGGAGGGAGAGGATAGTAGCACGGTCGCCGGTGAGCCAGGTCCGGAGGATTTGATTCCATGATTTGATCTCTAGGGGTGGGCCCATGGTGGTTTGGGTGCCGCCATGATAGATGGGTCCGTCAAGGAGGATCTCCAGTCCTGCACTGAACGAGGCGGTCCCGGTGCGCGAGAGTCCTGCACCAATCACCTGGATCTGGGTACCTGGCTGGGGGGCAGAGGCTTGCTGGCCCATTATTGCTGTTAAGACAAGAAGTTGAGCTTGGATGCGATAGACTCTCGCCAAGGGAGGGGGAGCTGATGAATTGCTTGTAGGTGGGATGAAGGAACAACGAACTTATTGATGGTTAGTGCGGGATTTAAATATTTGCAATCTACATCTCGACTAAACAATGTAGGATGGTAATACTACTACTACTATCTAATTAGGAGTTATTTATCGCTGACATGATGCCATTGGGCGAGTTTTATGGGGCAGGGATTTGAATGCATCGGCGGGTGTAAGACACAAGTAACAATGGTAATATATCAAACAACCCCTGCAACCCAGCGAAAGGTGCCATAAACTAAGCCATATTTAGCTGCCCGGGTGGAGGCTCTACGCAGTCACTTGTAACTTGGGCAGTACGACCGTATCAAGCGTATGGAATGTTGTTGCCTCCTTCTCCACAGTGGACATCAAACACAATCGTAAGACTTTGGGGCCCCAGCGGTGATATTGCGGAGCCCCCAACGCCGCCACGCAGTAGGTCAAAGACAATAAGCGCGAGCCGTAACTAACCTTCTCAATCCAATGGTCTTGGGCAACTTCCCATTCCTTTTCTCGACCCTGAAGGTTCAGAGTCATTTCAGTGCAATTCCCGCGTCAAGTTTTTCACCAAGTTCCAAGCTCCATGGAAGGGAGGTAAGGCGTTTCAACGCGAGAAGAGCGTAGCCAGTAATTTCCGTAGAATTTCCCCAGTCACTGTTCTCTGCACGCCGTGTCTTGAACGAGTGGACCAATATCTGCGAGATCACACCCAGAATATTCTAGCTGGCTACGATAACCAAGGCAGGCCTCGCTGAAATCACCGTGGTCCCACGGTTTTAGGACAAGAACCAGGGCTGCTCTGCGAAGCCTGTTTGGACCCTTCCCTGGATTCAAGTGCCAGCAAAATTTCACCTCAACTATTCTTCGACACCATGTTCGGCTTGCAGTCATCATAATGGATGCTTGACAAATGGGAGACCACATTATTTACATGGACCATGGCGAAGTTGACCGCCAAATTGACAGGTGAGTCTTCAGCTTCTTAGGTAACGATGCTGCCACCAGGAATGGAAAGAAAACATCTTTTAGGTATTCACTTCATCGAATCAGTAAAAAGCACTATAAAGCGTCCAATGTTCGCCAATAGGGATAATGAAAGAAACATAGCACGCATGAGAAAGTTATCAGCGTATGTTCAATCCATTTAGCATGCTCTACAAGTAGGTAAAGTCGACATTGGCTAGTCTACTTAGCCTCTCATCATCGTTGCTTGCGCTGAGAGACTGCCTAGGGCTAACTTGAGCATCTCTTTCGTCTGCCTTTGTCGCCTACTGACCTAATCTCCGCCACTCCCTCACGCCTAAAGCTTTCTTCTACCTTCTCCGTAGTCATACCATGTCTCTTAAGCTGACGTGTGGACAGCCTAGCATTATGTCTGGGTCCGGAAAAACAGCTGTCAACATCACTAGTTAGGCCTGATGAATTACGTGCTCCACCTCCTTGGGAGAAACATCTACCTATATTGTATATGTCTAGTTTGGTTTTATGTACCAGTATGCGTTCATGGGGCGTACATACAAGTCAATCGGTCACATACCGGGCAACCATAGTCTACGGTAGTATGACAACACTCGTCAGCATGGACTAGTTCTGCCGCAACGTTTTGTGCCGATGCCAATTCCCATAAAAATGTTCCCTGGTTTTGTTTATTCATCGCGAGTCAGTTCTTGGGAACCCGTCGCCAAACAACCGCATGCTCCCCATCGGGACTAATTAAAGCGCTTTTTTCCCATGAGAAGCGCCCCAATTTGGGTAGCAATATCCACCAAATATACCAGTAAATACCACCAAGGCCGAGTAGCAACGTTCCAGTGAACGGAGTAAGCCAAACTGGTAAGCTGGTGCGACCGTTTACTGGCGCCACAAACGGTGATACGATAAGGAATACCTGCGATGCTAAAAAGATATATGCCACGCTATTCCACACTTTGAAGGCACGAGGAGGATATGTCACACGTCTTCTAATAATAAATAGGCCGCACACAACGAAAAATTGAATCAGGGCAACAGCCCACTGTCCCACGTCAAGCAAGAAATTATACGCTTCCCCTGCAATGTAACATTAGTTGGCTCGAGCATTGCCATCCACCAGGGCCGGGGCTTACCAAAAGGAACAGCGATAATCATCAGACATGACGAGCAAAAGACCAATGCAAATGCTCCAGCAGGTGAACCTGAACGGGACCTGCTGGCAAAAAAGTGGGAAAATGGCAATATGCCCTCCTGTGCAAAACTGTGGATGACTCGCGACATAGAGAAAGATGCGGTCATGATATTGCCCAGTGATGACAAAGCAGCAAGAATAGCCGTGAAACGCTGCATTTGCTGACCAAAGACCTTACCAACGAATAATGCAACCACCGTGATACCGGTCTCACTCAGCTCCTTGGGCGTTGCCGCGACGAAGAAAACCGCGTTCACCAGGACATAAAGAATCCCCACTGAGCCGACTCCCATGAATCCTGCTGCCTTGATCGTTCGCCGAGGGTCTTTCACTTCACCCAGGACATACATTGCGTTGGACCAACCTTGAAAGGTGGCCAGAACTTTGAATAGGGCGACTGTGTAGTCCGAGACATCGGTGGATGACCCGGCAAACGGACGTTCATAACTAGCGCCAGGGTGAGCTACATTTGGCGACCCAAAAATCACCAGCCCAAGACCCGTCACAACTATTAGAGCTAGAACAAGTAATTTGACTGAGGCAAGGATATTCTGGAGCCTAATATAAGCCATCTTAACAGTAAATTATCGCATGATGAGCACAACCCCTTACCATAAGCTTCACGTTCCAAGTTTTCGCGCAGATATGCATCGCTGCGACGCTTGCCATGAGAGTGATTGCCATGCAGCGTTTAATCCAGTCATTAGCTGTTGCTTGGGTAGCTAAGAGTATGTTCTCTGAAATAGCAATGGTTCCAATTCCTGCACGTTGCGTTAAAATATTGATGACCATAAGAGACAGGGAAGATTCGTTGTACATACCAGTGAAGCCAAGGAAGATAACATGCGTCGCAAATATCACGGTCGCAAATAAAGGCGGACGTGGATAGGCAGCTTCTAGGTAGTTCTTTTCCCCGCCATTATGTGGTAGAAGACTACCCAGTTCAAGGTATATGAAGAAGCCACAAAATGACAGGAAGTAACCAGCAACCCAGACAACCAGGGATGCACCGGCACTTCCAGTACTATGTGCAATAGCAGATGGTACGGAGAATATTGCTGTACCAATCATCCGATTTGTTCTGTGTATTGTTTAGTGGGACGAGCAATTCCAAGCTGGAGGCTCCATGGCCGGGAACTGCTTGCATACTGACATCAGAAATGTTGTCGAGAGAAGGCCGAGGCGGCGATAAGGCTGAGCTTGGCCCGGAGCAACAACAGCCTCATTCTCAATCTGATGGATTAGAGGTGCGGCCTCTGTAGAAGCTTCATCATCCGGAACACCCTCAGCATTTTGGTCCGGATTCATATCTTACACTAAATCCCGTCTAAGGTTTATTGTGCAAGCGATATCTCAAAGTTTCTAAGAGGCCAACTTGCGTAGATCAACCGATGCGATATCTGAATCACGTGTGGACAAGTGACGCGTCGGTGTATCAACCCGTGACTGGAATGTACCCCATCTACCTTAAGACATTCTGACTGCTCCAATAGAACTAATCCTCTATGTCTTCAATTTTTTGACATATTTACGGAGTTTAATAAAATCTGGTCTATATATATACGGTTATCTATTATTTCTCTGTCCCACTCGAACAAAACACCCATTGGCACTTTAATCGTGGGCCGTGGCTTTGACGAACGATCCCAACAATATATATTATAGTCTTTAACATGAAATAAAAAAAATGCCATACTTTAAATTACACGTTATATCTGAAAATTGAGTAATTATGGATGCCCTGAATAATTTGCACCCCCCCCCCAACAATACAGCTTACAAGTAGGCTACTAAAGTTAGTGGTCTGAACGCACATTACTATCCGGAGGGTCACATCCGAATGCTGCATACATGTAGTCAGTATGAAACTACTCATGGAAGTAGACCAAAGTAGTTGACGAGCACCAGGGAAATACAGTGTATGGTTTGGCAGAGTATTTACAGGGACCAAAATTAAATACAGCAAGCCTTAATAAAAGGATCGGATGCGCTTGCTAACTTCTTTGTCTGATAGAATAACAACTCATTCATTCTTCAAGATAGAGTCCAGCCTATGGCGGACATCAACCGCAAAGCCCCAAATCTTCGAAGTGAATCAAACAACTGTATAAACAGTAGTAGTAAGCAGGCCATGCCCACTACACCTGGCTACGGGCTGCCTACCCCATCAGTGGACAGGGGCAAGAAGCATCCATATTCTTAGTTGACAGTGGCGGTCCATTTCGGAACTGTGAAAGTTACCGGGCCACCGGTGAACGGCTCAGTTCCGAACTGAAGATCTACAAATTGCTCTTATTAGTGGCTTTGCTTGCAGGCGGGTTACGGCTGTGGGTCCTTACTGATCAGGTACTGGGCAGAAGCGGGAAAATCGTGCTTAGAGGTGAGATGGTCGAAAAATGGCTTAATGTCCCCGCTAAAGGAGTTTATCGGGGTCGCCGAGACGAAACTGTACGTCTTCTGCTCGGCGCCTGCCTGGATGCTGGTACCGTACCACACTTCCCAAGTATGGCCTTCGACTGTAGTGGTATCGATCTTGGCGCCGATGGGCTGGATAGTGCCGTAGCGAGCGAGCCTTGAAAACAAAACGCGGGTTGTGTCAGCCTATTGGAACTTTTCTTTTGCACAGGTAGAGGATTTATCGCGTCAATAGTGATCAGTTTATACGTACCATATCATCAGTTCATAATCGCCGCTCGATGTAACGTGGTTCTTGTCCGCAGCGGTAAACAGATCGTACGCCACATCGGCGTTGACATTGGTATTGTCCTGTTTCCAATCCACGTCGGTGCGAATACTGTGGACATCGCTCACGAGCTTCTTTTCGAAGTTGACGCCGGAGTTAGAATAGCTCTTCACACTGCCTTGGCCACCGTTCCAGGTCCAAGTAGTGTGCCACGCAGCGCCCGAGCTGGAGAGGCTGTCAATGTAGACGCACTGGGAGCCAGTCCCCGAATCCTTGCCCCAGAGGTTGTTGTTCACTGTGTACGGAGGGCTCGAAACAGAGTCGTATTGTGCACACAGCTCCTTTTGACTGAACGCTGTGGCCGTGAGGGTGGCCAGTACCAAGGCGAGCTTCATAGTGAAAGTATAAGCGGTGGATCAACTTGTTATAATCAATATTGTTTGAGGCAGGTCAAGAATGCAGGTCTATTAAGCAGCGAGCAACGCTATTTAAGAGGGACAGAGCAAGTTTTCACACCCTAGAGGTATCACGTATAGGAGCCAATCACGCTCGGGATTGATCTTATGATCCAGAGCTTTCCCGTGTCCACCAAGTCATCACCTGCCTTAGTCATTGAGTGGGTAATGAGAAATGTCGGCTATCAGTGATATTTGTCGTGATCTTCAATTGATGTCCTCTTCGAGAACGGTGTACAGGCCCGTAATACCTGCTAATTTAAGTACTCCTTCACTATATTTCGGCACATTTCTCATCATATTCGAATGTGTTTGGTTGGAAGGCCTACTTGCCCACCTTGTCAAGCAGATAAATGTATTTTTACTCCGCTTTCGCCTTCGCCTTCGGATATAGTTCTCAAGTCTGCGATTTCATATCGCTATCCGATGCTCTCTCTATTTTCCCGTCTATTGGAACTTCTTGTCCCAATGCATCACATGCTTGACCATTCCTAGGGGCATCGATATATCTGTCGTCCGGTTGGTCACAGTACTAAATATTTCTATATGTATAGATAGAATCTAAATATTACAACATAGCTGATACTATATCCATGTTTCAGTCGTAGTGACAGACTAAGAGGCATCCCATTCCACTACCTAAAAATGTCTGGACATCATAGCTGTCTCTATAGGGTAATCAAGGGAGTATTCTCAGGTTGACACGTAGTTACGTCTCATTTCGAAGAAATGTCGGGACATCTTGATAACGATGCCTAAATGGTCTTAATAGCTTGCAGAGATATGCCATATTCCAGCCTAAATGGCTAATATTACGGTTGTATTATTGGCCCTCTCCCCACTGCCTGAAACTATCTTCCTAGTCTTATTCTCGGTCATATAGGGATGGATATGCGTTGCATTGCCTTCTTCAGACACCGCAAACAGCAATATAAGCTAGGACGTGAGACTGAGCCTACAATACAAGACTTGGCATGGCGCAAGGATTGAGTCGAAGTGTCACCCTTGTGATAAATTGATGTATAGTCATATATTACTTGAAGAGAAGCTTGACACTATGCAAGATTAGTCTTCAGAGTACGGGTGGCTGTGGTGATGATTGACAGCTCATATCATTGGGGAACTATTTCTTTCAACTATATAGGCTGTCAATAAACCTTCATGTGGCTACGTTACAACGTCTATGTCAAATTACGCTACATTTATACCCGGCCCACAACGCTTCAATAGTCAAGGGCATTTGCCCCTGGTCCACAAAGTCTTAGCTTAATCCGCAGCACCTTACGAAGTTCTAACTAAGGCTAGACCGGCTCCACAAGGCATATGCAGGTCTCCATCGAACCAAAACAGACTAAGGAGCAATTCACTCCGTGCCATAGAGGGCTATCTCTCGCAGGTTTCAGGTAGCAGGGATCGGAGCTTGTGTTCGGCAGTGCAATTGCTGCGCCAATTGCCGGTAGGATCTTGGCAGGCCAACCCAGCTTGCTTGGACTGTACCTCAGGGCATCTCAATTTATTGGTAGTCCATGCAAATCGGAAGGTCCTGGCTAAATTTATTTTATCCTGTCACAGAAACTGTTGTGGGCTGCCTCAATTAGTAGGAGGCAAATAGCCTGATTAAGGGTCCATTATTCATACTTTGCTTCTACGAAATAGACCCACTGTTAACAGTGGCCGTAATCTGGATAGAAGGCCTTTTCCGGGTAAGCCCTTGTGGACTCCTCTCTGCTAGCCTTGGACCCAACCGCCAAGTGGCATGACGGGTTAGCCCTCCTGCCATTTCTCTGTCCCCTTACTGTGTCATTATGCGACAGCCCCATCCCGACCCGTTGCTAGTACAGAAATTATCGGACGAGGGTCGTGAATAGGCTACAGTTTCAACTGATTTCTGCTGGCAACTGAGGTTTGCGGATGTCTCTGGTGATATAGTGGAGACAAAAGATTCATTCTCCAAGATTGTGGTACCGAGCTCCGTTCTTCCTTGGGCAAGGATCGACATGGGAGACGATTAGGTTGAGGTTCATATCACTGTAATAGTCCCTTATCATATGTGCGTATCTCTGGAAAGCAATATATAGTACATGACCATTATTTTAGCATTACCTGCCAAACATACAAGTCCCCGTATAAAAAAATGAACATCCAATGGCAAGGCTAAGCAACAACGTAATTTCACTTCTTATTAGGAAGTCTGTCCTGCAAATTATTCCCATGAATAACCATCCATTAAGCCGGGCAGAGGGTTCACTAAATGAAGGAGCTTTAACAGGAATCGACAGGCAGGTACCGCGCCCGTTCTTACTTGATCACGTACTGTGTGGAAGCCTTGCCCTGGCCACCTAATGTGGCCACCAGACGTGAGTGGCTGACATGTGAAGTGCTGACATTGTGAATTCGACACAGCTAGTCTCAGTCGATCAGCAAAGTCATAAACTCTAATTGGCTGGACCCTGCCGTTCCTTTGAATTGTACCTCCTTACGGCGAGTTTAGCTAGAGCTTCATTCAGCCCCACAGGGAATTATTATTTTAGGACAGTACCATCTTGCTAGAAGAGAAGCATAGCTCTGAGTGAACAGATAATAAATTCAGGTGCTATCCTCGGTCTTAACAGACCAACCCTGTTTCCTTTCCAAAACAAAATCTCCTTTTTACAAAGATCCATAGCCAAGCTACCGCCATGGTGTCAGCCACTAAATTACTACTCCTTTTACCTTTCCTTGGTACTCTGGCAAGTCCTACTGATCGTACGTCCAACGAGCCCGTTACTCAATGGGAGAAGTCCTACGACCGTCTTCAACAGATAGGAGAGAATATCTTCAATATCACCAGCGACGATCAACTTCAACGTCGCTCTACAGATCTCAAAACCAGCAAGGACGGCGTAAACTCCGCGGGTTACTACTATTCCCTCTACAATGACAACCATGCCAGCGCCATTTACACTGAGTTTCCTGACAGTGGCCGGTTCCAACTGAAATGGAATGCGGACAAAGAATTCCTTGGAGGCAAGGGCTTTCGGGGTGGTAGTACTCGGTGAGTAAATGGTTGTGTTAATATCGGCTATGGTTTGAACTGACATCTTTCTGTGACTAGCAAGTTGAGTTGGGATGGTTATTTCAAAGCCGAGGGTGACTACACTCTGGCGGTCTATGGCTGGACTACAGACCCCGTGACGGAGTGGTATATCGTCGAACAACACGGCACAGGCACTCCTGGCAATGGTCATATTCTTGGCCAGGTCAATGTCGATGGCGGCGTGTACGACGTCTACATGCTTCCCTACAGAAACGTACCTAAGATCTACGGTGTGACCAACTTCAACCAGCTTTGGTCTGTCCGTCGCAATCCTCGCACCACCGGCTCAATTGACGTTACTGCTCACTTCAAGCGCTGGAAAGAGCTTGGGCTCCAGCCAGGCAACCCTGTTTTTCAGATGGTCACTGCTGAAGGATTCAAGGGCAGTGGAAACCTTGATTTCCAGTTGCATTAAGGGACACCAGGGAGTTGTGTATAGTTTATAGAATACACGTGTGGCTTTTGTTGGTGTGTCTGTATGTACTGTACGTTTAGAAAGGCGCGAGAGGACCTTTGAGGAGATACGCCTGGCACAATTTGGTTACCCTTAAGCGGGCCAGTGGCTTTTGCCTATGTTGGTTACCACTTTTCGCGTCTCGCCACCAACTCTTCGTGTTTAAGAAATATAATTCAGTTACTTGGCACGTGTATCCCTGCTCACAGTCATTTTTCTTCATTTCATTTTCTTCTCTATCTCTTACAGGCTAGTGAATGCGGCTGCATGAGATTTTCTGATTATTCAACACTATGTATCTTCCTGGAGTGGAGAAAATAGAGACGAACAACCTAGCCTCATCACTACTTGCACCAACTATCCCGTTGACTTGTTTACAATGGTAAGGGCCCATAATAAGTCCGCGCTAGGTTTTAATTTTAACTTAATGTGCACAGATTAGTTTGCGGTGAGTTCGAAGTGGGTGGCATTTACTCCACTTTCGGACCCTGTCCGGCTGTTATACCGTTAGACTGTTTCACAAACGGCTTAGGGCTGAATATGGTTGGCCCTGTTTACCGATCGGAGATTTTCTAGGGATAGGTAGAGTCTGGTCTATATTTATAGATCTGGGGATGTGAAAAGCTTAACCTCGGTCGTACATAAATTAAAATTCTTAAAACACGTAAAAGGAGCTATATGGTTATACTAGCGTCGTCAGATGAATAGCTTGGTTTAGAGGAGCCACACTAGTCCCTAATGTATATACAGTACGCTACTATTCCATAGATTTGAATTTAGTTAAGTGACATTGATAACTACACCATGGCCGTCTTGGATACTGTACTGTCGGTGCTCTTACTTATACTCTATTGGTTAAACTCTGAGCTGGATATATAACTGTCCTTCGATGTAAACTCCCTTAGTAGTTTAAGCATATACTCTATTTAACAATGTTACAAATGGACGTCGGCCAAAAAGGGTTGCCTTAGCAGTTGTTCTACGCGTCTCTAAAATCATAAGCTGTCAGGCTTCGTTGGTATCATATATGTTCCTATACCGGTCGAATTGTCTACAGCATCGTAAATTTCCTGGTTTTAAACACCGCCGCTTTAGTGAGGGTACTCAGGGCCTTGCTGAGTAAGTACTTCTTGTAATATAATTACTATATATCACGCTATTACGTTTGTCTATCTTATTCATAAAGTTACAGAAGCGGACTACATTGCGGTAATATAGTTGCAAAGTTCATGCCTCCCACCCACCGAAAACGTATTTTCGCATAAATTATGGTCTCGGAATTCATAAATCTGTTTACTAAGCAGGCTATATCGAGCATCTCAACATAAACCCTATATTTGCACTATTTGAGACCCAGGGCCCATCATGGGCCTAGGCCGCGATGGGCGCTGAAGATGTCTAGATGCACCTAGTCCGTACATCCGCTAACCTTGTGAGTAGTCCCATAAGAACTCTTATTGGATTATGTTTCACGTACAAGGACCTTATTGGGCGTTTGCCTGGCTATACGAGGCTTCCTGACCTTTTAACGCAGTCGCGCACAGTCATACGAGGAACGCTGTGTTCACGCGCAATCTTGGCCCGATTAGGCGTTTCTTGCTTCGGGCGGCTTCGCAGGCCTCGATAATGCGAGATCCGTGACGTTTATCGGTTTAGGTATTGTGGATAGAGGATATTAGTTCGGAAGGTTTGGAGGTAGAAGAAATGGTAAAAGCGACGTTGCATTACGTCGCACTCGCCTCGGGTCGGCCCCAGATTCGCTGGTATCGTTCGTACCTTACGTCAACTTTACACGCCTTTTAGCCCACACCATGCACACGACTACGTTCTACTAAATAGGACCTGTGAAGATACATATTTATTTCCGTGTTATAGAACCTAAAATCATCCTCTAAAAGACTAACGGCATCTGGACTCACTCCTCAGACCCCCTGTTGGTCCGCGATGAAACCCCGCCGCATCCTTGTCGCTTGGTCGAGGCATCGTGCCAGTGAAAGGAAGCACCTATAGAACCTTGAGGACTTCCGGCATCCGACAGCCAGTCCCGCTGGTGCTTGGTCCCAGTCGCCTGACGGTAGTAGGCTGCTCGTCAATACCTAATCATCCGTTCCTCTTGTACCCTGACATACCCCGCGACACTGTGCCTGGGCGTCCATCCCAGACCCCACGGCATTGTGCTTGGGCAGCATACCTGGACTCACAATCAGTTTTAGACACGCCGCACTCTGTAAGACGTCTGTTGAAGATGTTATCATAGGTAAATTATTAATCACCTAATAACCTTACGGCTTATGGTTCATTTTCCCACACGTCCCATGTAGCATCTGGAGGCTGTAAAGGTATAGAAGACTTCTCGAAGAAAGGCATACCAGCGTGGATAAGCTTATTCTAAAGAAGGATAACGATGCCTCAATGGCTGTTTAATTTCTATATGAGTAAGAAATAACTGGCGTCGAATTTATACATTTGATGTTGTCTTTGTTGCTCTGGAAGCGCGGATAAGGACAGAAGTTTAACTGAGGCGAGTTTGATAAATATCGAAACCATGTTTAGTCTACATATCATATGAGCAATTCTATCTGGCTGGAATATTTGCCTCGCCATGATGATGGATTGTAATACCGCAGCGGGCACTCTTCAGCGGATGTAGCCCTACCAGCGACGTCATCGACAAACTAATGGCTTAGTAGTGGCTAGACAGCTACGTGGTGTCAGTACAATTTACGAATCGATGTCTGAAACCAGATATCTTGCTAGTGGGTATGATGTATTCGAGTCACAGGAGCTGATGGGAGTAGTTGTGAGGTGACCTTTGAGTGCCAATGCATCAGAGGTGCTATCCTGCCACATTACGTTCTTTCCGAGTAACGAGACAACTCACGTAATTACTTCAGCAGAATGGCCAAAGACCAAAAGATTCTTATACGTCGGTGGACTCCAAGTCCTCAGGATGGATGAATGATTCGCCCCTTCATTTTCTTCGGTTTATTACAGCTCATTGGTCAAATTAACCACGGGTTGTTACTGAGACTTATTAAGACTACAGAGACTACAGAGACTACAGCAACAACCAAACATGCGAATCCTATCCTTTTTATCCAAACAGTTGTCTAGGGGTCCATTCTCCAGCAAAAAAGGTCCAAGTTCAAGATTGCTTTCTGCCCAGCGTCCATGCTTCGCGAAGGCAGACTCACCAGACCAGGAGGCTACTGCTCCAGACATATCCATCATGGACGCAAGAGAGTTGGCTCATGTATCACAAGACTCTGTACCATCTGTGGCGCAAGCAGCTGTTCATCTGCTTTTAATGGATACCATATGGACATGGAAACATAATATAACTACTGGCGAGACTGCTAACAAGTTGCTTAGTTTACCCACAGTCGATGGGTTGACTTCGCAATGGGACGACGAAAAAAGGTCTCTTCAATTATTAGCCGGAGTAATGGAGGCTGCTGTTCCAAGGTTCTATGCGTGGTGGATTACTGTGGACCACAGGCTGACAAAAGAAATCCCTAAAAATGGGTTCCTTGAATTGCCTGCAGATCTTCTACCACCATTAGGTGCGTATCGTTGATAATAATGGCTTGTTCATTTTTCTTATCTCGGAGCTTATTCAGATGTTATGATAATATGGCATGCATATATGTTGCAACCAGGTCTCTATGCGGACGATTGCTCTCGGTTGCAAGTGCCTGATATGCGCCGTATACTGTTCCCCTGGCAGGCTATAGTAAGTTGTCCATTGGCAGTAGGAATCTATCATGCTGACCTCCTCAGTACAATGCAATTGATATCATGACGCTGGAATATAAAATACCATCAGTTGCGGAGGACTTTTTTGAATTAATCACCGGACAGTCAGTAGATCTAGTAGAGGAGCTTGTTACGACGGCAAATCTTTGGGTCTACCGCATTCGATGTCCCTATTGCCAGATCACCAAGAAGATGCCAATCTTGAATAATGTCCAAACGGATGACATTCATCAAGGCTTTGAGCTGGAATGTGATTGCGGATATATACCATCAGTGGATGCGCTTCGTCAAGACCTCCTTCATTTACAACAAACGGGAAATATGTGTGTGCGGGGAGCCTATTCAAGTTCATCCTTAGGACACGCTCTTCGTCTGTTGGTTAGTAGAATCCCAGAACCATCTCTGCAGCCCTTCGCCAAACGAGAAGACCTCATTCGTGCTATTCAAGCTGCGAGTTCAGAGACTAGTGACTCAACATGGGCGGTTGAGAGGCTCCTTTCATTATATATACCCACATCCCCTGTGACTGAGGCTACTTCTGCTCACTACTCATCGGTCCTACGCGCGATGTGCTTCGTCGATAAAATGCACCAATATTGCTGGTTGCGCTCGCCCGCTCTCTGCTATCGTGCTAATAGCAACAGTATCTCAGTATCCATTGGCACTTTGCCCCGAGCACAGCAAAAATATCAGAACTTTTTGCAAGTAGCTCGGCAGCCGGAAAATATTCCAATAACGCCAACTTCAGATGTGGGTTTATTCTGGCATACTCATCAGCTATCCCCTGGTCCCTACAGGCAATTCTGCATTCGACAGTTGGGTCGATTTATGGACTATGACGATAAAGTAGCTCATGAGGTTCTCGATAAGAACTTTGCTGCTACACAAGACAGTTATTCGCGCGAGCTCAGCGGGGAGTACGATACATGTCTTTGTTGGGCATGTGAGCTCGAACGGAATGATCATGAGCTTGCCATTGATGATCCTGGCATTTCATCAGGTTCGGATGATCTCCATGAGTGGGCTCGCCGAGTTGCTGTTGTTTTCTGGAAAGAGGTCGAGGATCAGCGGCAACGAGGACAGCCTGGCCTGGCACGAGAAAGCCTGAGGGAAGTACTTGCTAGGACGCGCCAGGAGAGGATTGTATCGCGGTTTGGATAGGGATTAGGTAGGTTCAATGTTCACCGTTCAGAATGTTTCAGACAATCTCTGTGGATCAATTTTGTTATCACAAATCACCGTACCCTACTTATGGCCTTCGTAGTTGAGGCCCTGAAATGATGTATAGTACTGTTCAGGTGTAATAATCTTTTTCAACTGAAATGATAGTTCATTCTGCCTAGAGTGATGATAAGTCGCCACCACCAAGGCCTCTGTCACCTGACCTGCGGTCTACCTTCTCTGCAAAGGGTCAGATTACAAAGCCCATGAAACAAAATAAGATTTGGTCAAGCTCAGTTCGCAAGACAGCAGGGCCGAAAGACTGCTCTAGAAGATCCGGTGAAGTTATTCTAGCATCTTGAGCCCCACCTAAAAGACAGCTAACTAACACGAGACTCTGGACGAGTACTAGTCTTAACCGAGACCTCCCTGTTGCATGTCTCCGGACCATAATATGCCGCTAGGGTCTCGCGGCCGCTAGTAATCCAGTGCCTCTATGGAAAATGAGCGATTGTTGGCCGGAGAACCCATCTCCAAACCAGCCAGAGAGACCCGTTTCAATGCTGGTGACTGCAACGACACCCTTATGCATCTTCACACCGACCCTCTACTGCTCGACGATGACGAATTAGACGACATACTAGTATCGCAGCAGACTGAGGAGCCTACACGCGACACACATACCTGGATGTGAGGGAGATGGCCACAGGTGAGTATTATTGAAGCAAGTGCAAGCACGCCTATACTCCTGTGACCCTCAATTATGGATAGATATTGTGGTTGCTACCACTTGTTCTGATCTTTAAGATGATTCTTGTAGGCCTCGCCGTTCCTATAATCAACTTGACGACGTCTCTATTCTGTCGCGATTACGTCTCATCGTGAACCTTCAAAGATCCCAATTTCATCCCTTGACCTGTCGCCGTTGGAGAACACAATCCACAGTGCCGAATCCCAGATATTTAGTCCAAGGCCGCCCAGTTCCAGCTTTACGTCAATATCACATCTGGAATATGATCAGCCTTGTTCAGTCCATGGCTTGGCCTTTTGTCCGACCTCCATGGCAGGACCCGGATGATCGCTCTAGGCGCATTGGGCGCTGTATTCGACACGGCCATCGCCCTCATCGTGGTATCTTATCCACAACAAATATCGTTTAAGATACTTCTGGTTGGGGCCGCGATAGGTGGGTTAGGTGGGTTGTTTACTGCGATGCAGGCTCTAATCTACTCCTACACCTCGGATTGTACACCTCCGCATCCACGAAGTGTGACATTTGGACTACTTCAAGGCACCCAATTCTGTGGAATTGCCTTAGGGACCAGTGGCCAAACCTATTTCATCAATAATACAGGCGGTACTTTGCCTGTCTTCAAAATTGGGCTTTTATTCCATGTGATATTTTGTCTGGCGATTCGTTTCATCGTCCCCGAATCCCTCTCTAAGGAGAGACAGCAGGCTGCTCACGATCAACACCGCGCTAAGAGGGCAGACCCAGACCCAAGTAACGCAATGTGCTTCTCCTGGAAGCCATTCAACCCGATGAACCTCATTGCATCACTCAGCATCCTTCTTCCTGCTGCTTGGAAACCCAGTGTCTTGTTCCCTAACCACCAAGGTGCCAGTGCTACCTTTTGTCGAAATATAATTCTACTAGCTACAATGAACATAGTTGTGTTTGGTGGTGTTACGGGTACCGTGCAGGTCATCATCGTTTATGCCGAGTACATGTTTGACTGGGGAAATGTGGAATCTAGTCTCTATGTATCGATCGTTAATGCCGTCCGCGCGGTGGTCCTGGTTTTTGGTTCTCCCTAGTATCTCGTGGTTCTTTCGGACCCCGTCCGACGAGGATGGTACCATTTGAGGGTGTGACACACTGGTAATTGTCCTCATCCGCCTGTCGATCGTTTGTGATGTCGTGGGCTACATCGGCTACGCATTGTCGAAGTATTCATTTATGGTGATTTGTTCTGGCGCAATCGCCTCGCTTGGTAGTATGGGCTACATTCATCTCTGACCAAGCATGTGTCTCACGAACGCATCGGCCACTTGTTCGGGGTCATGGGGCTCTTGTATGCTCTCGCTCGCATCATCGCGCCGACATTCTTCAAGCTAATCTACAGTTTCACAGTCGCAACCTACCCCCAGGCGGGGTTTATGTTCCTCATAATTTTATTAGGGGTCTTATCCTGCATGGGCTTATTGGTCCAACCACATGGTACGTGTTCCCTCACTTCTTTGGAAACATCAACTAATTGATGGCATATTTGAGTGTCGATCCCAATGAGCCTAGAGACAGCGAGCGTGACCCGCTCTTGGCGAGATAAATCTGTCACCACTTTGGTTGATTCACTGGGGTCCGTAGCACAGGCCGAGTGGATGGGATCCAGGTGGACGTAGATTATTTGCACTTTCAGGAGAGATCGGTCCAGCGCCTCAGACACTCCCGTGTGCCACTTCTTATGCAGCTTCGTTGTCAGGAAGATCTCTTCGCGAGGCACGCCCGAACCAGGGATTCCAGTGCCTACTTCGGCTTCGTTGCCATAGGCCGCGGCGGTGTTGATGTGCCGGTAGCTGATGCGGAGGGCGGCCTCGATGATCTTCTAGATCTCTTAGTTTTGACTGCCATGGCCTGAGTCCTATGGTGGGGATTGTATATCCAGTGTTGAGGCTGAGGGCTTCCCTGTCATTGATAGAAGTGTGACTATGCATGTGTCACTGAAATTTGTTTGCTTACTTGCTCGGGTCAGTAGAAGGCATTTTGAACACATAGCAGGGTGGCCGATTCTGGGAGTCAAGGATGAGATAGCCTACCATAGCCCACGCATATGTTTATGGTTCCCCGAATTTATCTTAACCTGCTGTATAGTAGGGTATATATCACTATACTAGTGTGGATCATCCGGGCACCGGAAGAGTGGAAAGCCGGAGGAGTGCCACGAGTGCATACGCAAGTATAGATTCACATGACTTGCATATCGAGACGCCCGTTGGCCTTGACTCCTACTCCTTGACGCCTACTCCTCCAAGATTCTTAAATTTAGTTTCAAGTACATACAATCTTCTCTCAGATATAATGGGACATTGCCATTGTCGGCGGAATAGCGTTTATTTCAAGGTGAGGTTAATTTGTGCACTGGGGATAGACAAACGTATGTTAATGCATTTCAATTGATGGATCACTGGACAGCAAGCCCCTCGTATAAACTGGCATTCTCTCAATACTCAATGAGTCTATCTGAATCGCGACGGTTAGTCCCGTCTGCCGCCTTCACACAATCATTCCATCTAATTGTAACTTTACTGTGTAGGACGGCATAATATACCGTCAGTCTGAGGCTATCACACCGCAAGCTTCAGAATCTCATTAGTGACTCCCTTGTATAAACGGCTGAGATCATTGCCTGGCGCCCATTGTGCCTCGATTGCAAAATGCCTGTTGGCCACCGTGCCATAGAATTTGAAGACTAGGGGTCTGTTGTCGATCAACGCATGAGTGTGGATGCCCACCTCGATTCTCTCAATGTGAAAGATGGCGTTGATTTTCTTTTGGATCTCATTGACCACGTCCTCCAACGCGTGCATCCCCTTTTGCCAGTTCTCCTTGAGCGTCTCTAATCCAGCCTGCATTTGTTGGATGGTGTTGTGTACTTTGTTGTGGATCTCAAGCTGATAGTTATATTTTCGCTCAAGATCTGCCAGCATTGCATCCTCTTCCAGGGATTTGATGTTCTCATCGGCCTGGGCGATCTTGTCTTCTAGGTCGGGAGCGTTCTGGTCAAGGATGTGCTGCGCCTCCCGAATAGCCCTTTGATACTCGTTGTTCTCATTCTGCATTGCCTCGAGAGCTTTTATAGCTGCTTCGATTTTGGCTTCTTCTGTATCGATAAAGGATCTAACAAACCCGTCAAACCCGCCTCCGCTGAGAAGTTTGTCAATTCCATTTGCCGCGCGTTCCACCGCCTTTTCTGTATCTTCAATGGCTGTGACGATGGATTGAAAGGCGTCGGAATTAAGGGTGTCTTCAAGGACCTTGGCAGCTTCGAAATATCCACCTAGGACAACCTTTGCGGCCTCATGAGCAAGTTCGGCTGCCCCGAGTTCCGGCAGCTGTTTGGAATACATTAGATATGATTTACCACTAAGAGATAGTGTCAAGGACCTACCAAGATTGCCTTCTTAAATCTATTCCTACCTGTCAGCATTCTGCGGGCGTTGCATGAGAGCTGGGGACAGAGGGGCACCTACATATTTGCATCATCGAACTCCCGACGAAGCCGCGCAACATTCTCCCACGCTTGCCGTAAGATCCTTTCTTTTTCATGATAGGCCCCTTTAGCAAGGTCGACCTTCCTGAGGAAATCGGTGCCGAATTTATCTCTCTGTCGTTGCCTCAGCCGCTCTAACTCCCTCTGATTGTTCGCACGTTCTTGCTTGGCCTTCTCCAGCTTGTCATTATACTCCTTTCTCTTGCGTTGGATAAGGGATTCCTTTTCGAGTTTAAGCTTTTCGACTTCTTCTTTCAGTTCATTTTCGGCCTGAGCCTTCTTTTGCTTGGCTTTGGTCACATTGTCCTGCAGTTGTTCGATTTTTCTCTTGGCCTCGTCGCGTTTTTCCCTTTCCTTTTCCATATCGCGGTGGCGCGCCTTTCGCCGCTCGTCTACCTTCTGCCGTGCCTCGTCCAGTTTCTTCTTCTCTTGGTCCATTTCGGCCTGCTTCTCGGCAATCTGCGCTCCAATGAGGTTCTGAAGAGACTCAATACCCTCGGTACCCAGCTTCTCAAGCGTCCGGAGCAGGCTCTTGATACTTTCACAGATCATGTCAAATAAACCCCCGTTGATCTGGGCTTGGAAATATAGATCCTTTGTTGCTAGATCCTTGAGCTCCTTAAAGTCCTTCACCGTCGCCTGCAGGTTGATTCTAAATGCGTCGGTAAACGCCACGTCAATACGCGCAGCAAAAGACGGGGTTTCGGTTCCTATTTGGATGTCGACTAAGGTGGCAAACTCAATTTCAAAGCATTTTACCATTCCGTCCACCTTGATCACCTGCTGGTCTTTGGTCATTACCACGACCATCTTGGCGCGGGGATCTCCACTGGCGGATGAGACGACCAAGGGCCCGAGACTGAAGTTATCGATATACGCTTGGAAATCTAGACCGGCCTTGCCAATGGTTAGGTCAAACTGGGCCGTCTTCCCAAACGCCGTCAGCTTCCCACCGGCTGATATACCCTGTGGATACTCCCTTCCGGCTATGGTCCCCCCAGAGGAGAAATACATGTTGGCATCGGTAAAAACAAACGTATCCTCACCACCACGGATATCTTGCAAGACTTGGATTTCGGCGACCTGACCGGCAACACGGATGATTTCGACAAGATCAACCTTAGAGATATTGGCTGATATAACCTGCTCACCAGGGTGGTGGCTGATCTGCATAGCAGCTCCAGCAGTAAGGTCTCCTACCTCGATATCTCCAGCAAGGCCCAGTTTGCTACCCCATGTGTTAGTCAACTCACAAATCGTAGCTAATTTGGGACGTAAAATGGTTGGCTCACGATGGTCCAAGCTCCATGACCGTGGCGTAAGTAATTTCAATCTCAACTCTGAAGTCGGCGATGGTAACATGTTTGCTGATGTTCAATGGATTCACCCATGGCGACTTGGTGGCACTAGATGTAAAGATCAGCACTGTTGGTGCTTTAAAAGGGGGAAACAAGTGACCATACATCGAAGCCGATGAACTGAGTAGGCCAGCTTTCACCATGCCCTCTAGGAGCAAAGGATCCTGGTCTACATCCATGACGATGTTCAAAGTGCCCATGACCATCAAGCTAGGAGTCTTGCTGATTTCAATGCCAATTCCAATCTCACAGAGTTTGACACTATCAGTAATAGTGACCTATTGGTTGAGATACTTAGCAATTGTCGCAGGTGCACAGCGTATTAGGCATGGATACTCACATCAAAAGCCCTGGGCAACTGGATGCCGAGCTCCAGCTTTTGCTTTTGTATAGTTGCAACGAGAACCAACCCATCCACGTTCTGCTTGGCGAAATTATTCAGCTCAGGCAGAGGTGGGATAGTAGCACACAGTGAAATCCCTACCATAAAATTGTCAGTCTGAAACCAAACGGAGATGATATCCCGACTCACCCTTTCTTACAGGATACTTAAGCGTGTTCAACGCCTCGATTGTCTTGTTTTCCCCGGATGCTGCGATGAGCGCAACGTTTTTCAATTCGAGGTCGGCCATAGGGCCTTTCATAATATCGCACATCTTTCCCAGGTGCAAAGTGCCTTCATAGATACCAAACAAGACCCACTCCCGCTCAGACGACTTCTTCGATTTGGCGTTGGTTTCATTGCGCTCAGTCATAAAGGCAACTGTCACAGTTATACCACTAAAATCAACCCTGCCTTTGATGGCAAATTTGCTCGCTCGATTGAAGACCTCCACCTTGCCCTCGCCAGCTCCTTTTCCGCCTTTGCTATCTGCGTCGAGTTTGGGCTTGGTTTTCTTCGAGTTATCCTTGGACTGTTTTGGCTTTGCTCCAATGAAGATGTCGATACTGGCTTCTTTAATTGTAACATCAGCATCCTTGATCTTGTAATCCTCGACTCCCCCCTGGATAGTGAGGCCAGAGATAGTGTCAATTTTGATCAAACCGTGGACACTCTTGCAATCGTTGAAGCTGACTTTGCCGGAGAGTTCCAGGCAAGTGGAAGGCTCTTCTTCCTTTTCTTCCTCTTCTTCCTCTTCTTCCCCTTCTTCCCCTTCTTCCCCTTCTTCCCCTTCTTCCCCTTCTTCCTCTTCTTCCTCTTCTTCTTTCCTTTTCTCCTTTACATCCTTCTTGTCCTCTATTGCCTTTTCCTTACACTTCAGCTTGCGGCTAATATTCAAATGCAGCTCTTCAAAGACTAGATCATGCTCTTTGGCTTCCTTTGATGGTTCAGCTCCGGTGATCTGAGCATACATCTTCAATACCGAATCGAGCTTCAGATCTCCCACCTTCGCATCAAAATGGTAGTCCTCTAGAATATTGTCAGTCTGTATTCTGTTTGCATGATCAACCTGGCTCACGTCTGGATAGAACTCCCTCAATTGTTAGAGTCGCATTCTTGGGCTTCTCCCCTTCCTCCTCTTCCTCGTCGTCTTTCTTGTCAAGACACCCTTGGGCAAACTCGAGGGATCCAGTCACAGACAACGTGCAAGATTTCCGGAATTCGCCGGGTTTGAAAAATGCGTGCAACTGGGCTTCTTTCATCTTTTGTGTTTTCAGTATTCCGCAACTCATTTCTCAATACCGCTTCCATGGTACATACGTCAAGATTCGAGATGGCACAAAAGTCCTTCCATTCGCCGACCGCGATCAACACTGGCATAAAATCAGCTGTTTTGCTTCTACCTTTTATAATAGATAAACTCACCTTCGTATTGCTTTCCTCTTTCTGCGGGCCTGTCCTCTTCCAGATCGTCATTTTCGTCCTCCCCACCTGTTTCGTCAGTTTCCTTACCTTCTCCGTCGTCTGGCTTCTCTAATTTTTTGTCCTTGTCATCGTCCTCAACTTCATCCTCTTCTTCTTCTTCTTCCTCCTCCTCCTTCTTCTTCTCCTCTTTCCAGTCTCCCATACGAATCCAATATCTTGCCTCCAGTGGCACCGGTGACTTCGGTACTTTGGTAATATTGACCTTGCCAAACAGCCCAAAACCTACCTTCCATTTTTTCTCCTCCTTGCTCTCCTTATCATCCTTTTTGCGCTTTTCCTCCGTGGCATCATCCTTCGTCGTGGGGGCGTTAGAGGCCTATGCAGGATAAGTTCTTGTATTAGCCATCTGTCACGAAGCAATTGACCGTGGGACGCACCTTGTCTTTCCTGGCTACAATTTCCTTTGACTTGCCATCTTCATCCTCTTCTTTTGTCTTGTCCGTATCATCTTTCTTTTCCTGCTCCGGATCGTCCTCGATGTTCTTTTTCGCGACTTCCTTTCTAGCAGACATCTCGATACCCACCGTTTGAAATTCCAAAAAGTCCCACGCGGGTAGCTTCATCTCATGGAGAAAGGCTTGAAGAACGATGCCTTCAATCTTGGGCTTCTTGGTCCAGTCTCTTTCCTTAGCCAAAAGGGCACTAACCCGTATCTTCGACGGCAGCTCTGTGGTCTTGTTACTGCCAAAGACATTCTTCAAGCCATCTGAGATCCACTGCAGTCCATCCTTCAACTCCAGGTCACCTTGTAGACGGAGTCCATCCGGGAGCAAAGTCTCCTTTTTGGTGTTGCTGAAAGTAAACTCCAGGTTCTTGAGGGGCAACGTTCTGATCGTCTTGTTTTCAATCTCGGGGAAGAATATTCCTAGGGGCGATTCCATGTCTTGAAGCTTAACCTTTTCATCGATAGGTTTCTCTTCCTCGTCCTGATTCCCCTCTTGTTCATCACTCCTGAAACAGTACAGCTTGCCTGTAACCCCCTCGACGCCAAAGAAATTCTCGATATCACCACTGAGAACATAGGAATCAACAGCCGCCACACCGACCTTCCCCTTAGACTCCTTTATTGCTTTTTCCAGCTCTGCCAACGGCAAAGCCTTGCTATCATCGGAAAACGAGAGATCAGAATCCGCCTTGGCCGGTAGCAAAAGCATCGGCTGAGCAGCGATCTGCTTAGATTCTCCGACCGGGGCAACAAGCAGAGATCCCCCACTGCTCTTGGCCCCCGAAACGGGAACAGGCATTACCCTCAAATCATTGTAAGTGCCGTGCTCGTCTGCCATAACAAGTGACACATTTTGCACCTCGGCACCTCCAACAATGAGCTGCTCGGGAGATTCAGGAGAGTCTGCATATACTGATGTCGCAGCCGAAAAGGTCGACAGACCCATCCATGTGGCAGGACTGGCTCGCTGCGGCGACAAAGTTTCATCCGGGGCAATTTCCAGGTTTCTGCGAGGGGGGCCTTTGAAATTTTTGTCGGCAAAGCTTGGTGCGTCCAGAGATGTAAAAAAGCCGCTGGCCAGGAGGTCGTTTCCAAACGAGGAAAGGGAGATGATCTCCTGGTCGCGTGCCATTTTGTCGGTTTACTAGGAATTCGTCCTGCGATGTGAAATCAAACGACTAGAGCTGTAGTGGCAGCCTATCTGTCTATATAAGTACTAAGTACCAAACTAATCAGCCAGCCAGGCTCCAGACCCAGTTCCATCCCACCTTTGAGCCCTTATTTTGTACCCCTCAATATCCCCCGAGGTAGCCGGTCAATAGCTGACCCATTTCGTGTTCAGCTGAAGGGGCATCGTGACACATTACTGCTCTGATTGCTGTATGTTGCCAACTAGTCTGTGAGATATACCCAATACCATCATAAGTAGTGGGGCTACTCCGCTACGATCTACAATTTTTCTTTACAGAATGTGGGACTTGGCGATATCTATCCATCAGCTATGACTGCTGATCTCGATGATAAGCCTATCAATCCCCCCATCACAATTGACGATGGGGATAAGGGCGGGCATTGGTGCCCTAGATCTCACCGCAACTCATAATTTACCACAGGAAAAGTCCTCCGGTGGGTCCAGCTTTCAGCTCGGTTGTGGCTTGCGTTCTTCTTCTCCCCTCTCGTCCTTTTTTTAATTTTTTTTTTTTCTCTTTCTTTCTCCCTACTCAGTATACACACTTCACAGCCAACCCGGGCTGTTTACTTTCACTCAATCCATTCGCAAGAGGTAGGCCAGCTGCTCGACAACCAGCAAGACCATAAAACCGATATCTGACAGCCAGGCAGGTTAATAGCAGTGACTGAAGACAGTTGGCGAAGGGTAAGGAACTACTAGACAATGTCTCCTGTTCCTGTAGGTTCCAGTCGGATTTTAGCCCCTAGAACCTGCCCCCGAATATTGCCGGGTTCGGGTCGGGCCTAGCCGGGGACCCGGTCCACTCTTGACTATAGCCAACCCAGGCTGCGGGAAACTAGTGAGGGAAGGACACATAGAAGTAAAAAGGTAATACATATGATGATGATGACAATTGCTTTATCGACAGGGACGGGTTCAAGATGCTGTATCAAATCATGTAAAAGAAGGGTGGAAGTAAGAGAAGACGGGACCGCTATTACATAGCCTCGAACTGAGGAGAATACCATGGTCGAAGAGAGATCCGAAATCGCTCCTCTCCGCAGTAACCGTAGCGAGAACATCTTGCTGGGTGATGTTGGGAACAAAACAAAAAAAGAAAAGAAAAGAAAAAAGAGAAAGAAAGATGGGTTTAAGCACGACCCGTGTCTAATACCATGATTGGCTCCCATGGTAGGCGCCCACAACTGATCATTCCATTTACACATCCAACAACAGTGATATATATTGCTCTCTTCCTGGTTCAAACTTCTTTTCGTTCGACTTAGCTACATGAGCCCACGTTGAGGAACCTGTTGTCATCATCTATTCGGTTGCTATGCCCACATGCTTTATGCTCTGTCCTCCGTAAGAGAGGCATACCACTCCACCAAAACCAACCTCGCTGCGCGTTCACTATCACCCTATACAAATTGGAGATCACTTTCATGATCGATATCGAATAATTCATAAGCTGGGACATGGCTCCTGTATAACTACATAGTTGGCTAGCGATGAACCAAAGAATAAATATGTTGCAGTGAAATTTTGCAGAGCAGGCTCAAACCCAAAGGAAGTGGCTATTGTATCCACCCTCACTCATCCCTCATTATGCTACGGTCAATAAGTCCCGGGAAGACAATTGTTCCTTCGGTTCTAAATACGTTCACTATTCATGGTCCAAATGGAAGCCATTCTTGCTATGTTACTGTCCTAGCCAGAGCTAGTCTCTCTGGTGTGAAAAATGGCTCGTGGATCCGCTTATTCCAAATTGATGAAGCCCGAGCATTGGCTGCGCAATTTGTTCTTACTGTGGACTATGTACACACCCAAGGCATCATCCACGGGGACATTCATATGGGCAATATTCTTCTCAAATCTATACTCGAGTTGGATCTGCTCTCAATTGACCAATTGTATGAGAAATACGGAGTACCTAAGCTAGACCCAGTTATCCATCTGGGTGGCAAGCCTCTTCCTCCTGCTGTCCCATCCCACGGCATTGCACCTCTATGGCTCGGGGTAACAAGTGAGGACATTACACTTCCAGAAGCCAGAGCCTTACTTAGAGATTTTGGTGAGGTCTTTCTATACTTAAAACAAGAAAACTATGAATCTCACGCCCCTCTCGCCGTCCGGCCCCCCGAGGCTCGATTTGAGCCAAACAAGCCTCTGTCTTTTCCATCAGACATCTGGACTCTCGCTTGTACCATATGGGCCATTATTGCTCAAAGGCCACTATTCGAAGGATTTCTCACGACGGAGGATGACATGGCCTGTGAGTATGTTGATACTCTTGGTGCTTTGCCACCTGAATGGTGGAAGAAGTGGGAGGCGCGGCAACACAAGTTCACCGAGGATGGTATGCCAATAAACCGTAACCCATACCGGTCTTGGCGGGGGATCGGTTTGAGAATAGCGTGCAACAGCCCAGGCGAGCTGCCGGAATGCCCTCGTTGGATGCAAAAGAGATGGACGCTATCTTTGACATGCTACGACCGATGCTCTCATTCAGACCGGAGAATCGAAGTACTACCAAGCAAATCCTCATGTCATAATGGATGGTGAAGTGGGCTCTACCTGAAGATGAGAAGGTTCGAAAATACAACTAGATGATGAGCCTGAGTGATTCTAAGGGGTGGATTGCATGTCTTGTACCGGAAAGACGAAAAACACCATGGCCCAGCTCCGAGGCCCACTGATCAGATGTTTCACGTTTTGACACATGCCTAGAATTTCTCTTTAACACGGCTTGGTTTTTTTTTTTTTTTTTTTGTTGATATAAGAATTTGAAATCATTATTAATGCATGCTTCCCCTCATCATGAGGTCGAGGGCAAAGATATGCCCTATAGTAAGAAACATGGCGTATCCATTTCTTCCAATATTGTTGAAAATGTGTAGCACGAAAACGACGTTATATCGAGCCATCCGCCACACCGCCTCAGATCCCCATTCAAAGACGGCTGTCCTCCTTTGTTGTCTACTCCTTGTTATGCAGGAATTGCTCCGTGAACATTACGACAGTGCGTACAAGCACCTACACAGTGGTGTACGAATTCTCAGAGATTTGAAGGCATATATGCAGCCTATCACTGTAGAAATGGCAAAGGGACCCTTAGAGGAATGCCTTGTTGCGATTTCCTTCACCTGGACAGCCAGCTGATGCACGGCGGGGTTGGAGGACCACTCCTTAGTCTGGACGGGGAGCTGGAAACCGCCCTGGACGAATCACAGAATGATATATTTAGCGAATATACCAGCCTCCCAGGGGCGCGACATGCGTTTAGCTGCCTACTGAGCAAACACTTTCGGTTCCTCTCATGAACGCAAGAGTTTGGTTACTTCGTAGTTGGCCACATTTCGAGGGGGCTTGTGATTCGAATATGGTGGCTCTGGCGGCTGAGGAACTGGTTGAGGCTGAGCAGATGATGGAAGAAGCGTGTCAACCTGTGAGTTGTGTGTCAAATGATCAGATGGAATCAAACTCGTCGGGGGAACGACAAAGACAGATCGCTGGAGACATTCACTGCAAAAGGTGGTCCACCGCAGGACGTAATACCTATTCCCTGGACTAATGCCTGAGATCCAATAATTGCTTGGAAAGTTGGCCTTGTATTCAACGTGTTTCCTTGACACGCTGTATGATAAGCCAGGCATGCGCCTACCAAACATGATGGGCTAGAAAGATAGTTATTGCTTGTTGGTATCCTATGTGCTCGCTCTGCTACATGGAAACTTTTACGCTCTGCAATCGCCAATATACAGAGACACTGGCACATACCGATCGGGTCCAGCGCGAAATACAATTATTGGAGGGTAGCATCATTATGATATGGCGTTCTGACATCACGGGGAATGGATGTCGATGTTCCAGACCAACCGCCCAGTGATTATAAGTACATACGTACAGGGATTGAGGTAGCAATTGGCAACCTGTTGGCAGGTTGTGATACGTGCATCCATCATCATTGCATGATATCGCTGCAGATAGGAGCCATCACCAGTGGTACCAGAAGGTCTAGTCACAGACCATGCAGGGAGTTTGAGCAAGAACGGACTAGAACCAGGTCTTATCGCAGTGAGTCGCTGAAAGGAGAAAGGAAGTGAAAAGCCCGTCGATTAAAAGTGCTCGAGACATGATTATGACGTCTGTTTGACGAGATACGGTCCAGGGGAACAACGAAGCTTAATCAAATCGCGGACCATCACGTTATGACAGTGCGATGTTTTCATGTGAACAAATCGCACGAGGATATCAGTCCAGATATCCCATTATATATGGTGCAATGGTGCTGGCTCAATCCTGATTTATCGCAGTACCCAGATAGCGTTCAAATTCTGAGGATTCTGATCGACATCTCTACCTATCGTCTTGAATCAACGGAATTATCAATAGTGCTAATGACCCACAAAATGAGCAAGGAGGATGCGTCGCGCATCCAGTCCGGACAGGTATGTTGACCTATATATTGGATGTGCTGGAAACATCTCACAATTCAGGCACGAGGTGGTCACGACATGTCCTCCGGTGGGTTTGCTGCCAGAGCCCAAGCAGCCGCTAATCGAAATGCGAATGTCGCATCTCAGGCTCAGACCCAGTCAAAGCCTTCGGGCGCAGGGTACACACAATCTTCTCAGCATGGTGGATTTAAATCCTCGCAGGATAAAAGATAAGCTGCCATGTATGGACGTGACGGTGGAAGCTTTCTTGTTCAGTTGCCTGTTGGCAGTTGGGGTATTCAGTTTGTTTGATTTATCTAGATGTATGTCCTAGTGACTGTTGAGGTCTTGTTAGTCCATTAATAGCTTTTGAATAATTTATCTCGAATATAGACTTCTGTGAGGTACAACGTAATTGTATGTAGGTCTCGTATGTAACACCAATATTGGCTGGTTCTGATTGTTGCTGTACACTGTCGGACACAGCCTTCAACTCTCCTTTCGCGAACCTTTTAGGTAAAAGCCCTTCATGGACTCTTCATGATTGTTTCAAAGTCGAGCAGAACGCTTGACTTCTCATTAAAGCTGTCTAGCAATTCGGCCTACAGGATTAGTTTGTTTGAAACCATCCATCCCACAGGGGTTCGCTGACCTGCAATTGTCCAACGCTTGCAAGCACGTTCTAAAGAACTTATGAGCGGTTCTAGCACGTCTATGTTACGTTTATAGTGGGCATTAAGAACGATTGCCATCGTACCAGCCTTCTCGAGCAACAGCACGGCTGCCAAAGGCATCCTTTGGACATCCAGGATATCGTCCATGCAAACAATGTCACGGGTAAAATTGAGCGCCATTTCGATAGCAGCGATTGAAGACTCGGAAATCAAGGGAGAGCTGTCCCCGTGGGGACCGGACGTTGACGCGGTCTCATGTAGTTCAAGAAGAGCGCTGTAGCAGTCAGCAACCAGTCATCAATGCCTCGAAAGAAACTCACAGTAAAAGAATAACAACTGCCCTGTATCGAGGTTCCCAGTCTGCCCCAGAAGAATTCAGGGTGTCTCGTAATGTCTTCTGGATAGCTGTATCAAGCTGGTAGAAATTGTCATTTGACAGTCTCTTAGATCTATTGACTCTATCTCGTGTCAGTGCCATGACACTGTCTAATAGAGACATTGCCTGGATTTGCTGCGCAAAACATCCAAGTCTCTCAGTCGGCGTGACGGAAAGTATAGGCATATCTGGGACCTGGCGCACAGCACCTGCATGATTGGTCCACATATCATCGTCCATTGGGAGTGAATCGCCAACACGGGCGGATTGGGTAAGGTGTATACGGTTTGTCATCTTGTCTGAATAATATACAAGCCGATCAAGGAGATACGTTGCCCACCATACACGATTCCTCTCTTCTCCACGGCTCGTGTTGCTATCAGGAAGTTGATGCAAACCGATTGCATAGCCTAAACTAGCGCAAGTTGCGAGCGTTAAATACGCTTCGGAAAGATGACCACTCCCTTGTTCGTGAACCGCCAACAGGAGGCCCGACTGCAAGATGCAAATTTTGTCATGATGAGAGGTTTGAATAAGCGAGAATATGCATTTACTTATATCATATACGTATTGCACTATCGTGGGATCAAGCACAAAGGCAGTAATCGGCGGGTTGGAAAGCAAGATATTTAGCACAAGGGATGCCAGTTCGGCAGAAGGACTCTGGCGTAGAGATGGAGCTCGTTGTGAAAGAGACCTAGGATGAATAATAGGTAACCAAGGGTGGATATATTGTACATGGTAACTCACAACATCTTCCAGTCCACAATTGAGCCCATCAAGGATGCGGAACATTTGCGAGGTGCAATGGAGGTCAATTGCTTGTGTATCGGTCAAAGGCAGATGGGACAAGCAAAGTGGGTGCAAGGGCAGTCGACCTGAGTCACCATAGCCAGCCCTAGGTTGGGTCCAATTATAGCTCAGGTGCATTCCACTATTAGAGGAGCTATATTGGCATAGAACGTTGTTTCTTGCCTTGCATCAGTATCAGTCTCTGATGGTGTTTAGGGTGATGACTACTTAGCACATCGACCACACACTGGAGTCACTCTGTCACACTGGCGCTTTTGAGAGGCACAGATAGCACAGGCATTAAGAGCAAGATTGATTGTCTGCATCCCCGTAGAATAACTATTGATATAATGCTGAATAATTGTAGATGCTGAAGATCCAAGCCCAAAGCCCAATCACTAGGGTGGAGAACGTGACCGCCTGGCAGAATTAACATTCTAGCGCTAGTCCGCTAGCGTCGGAGTAGCGCCTTGGCATTTCTGTCCCGTTTGGGAAGCCGAATTAATGAACCTTCTTGAATGCATCCTAAAAATACACATTGCCCAAACAAATTGTCGAGATTCACACAAAGAACCTGATAGCACGATTACTTGCGTCATATTACTGCTCCACAACAACTTGTCTAACGAAGGTAGTCTCGGAACTCTCAAGCGCGACCGCCGTCCTTGGCAAAGATATATAAATCTTCAATGCAGGCAGTCATGAGCAAGAAAAAGCTTTCAACTATACTCTTCCCTTCCAACCATTCTTTTGCCTACAAATATGAGTCCATCAAACCTTGTTCGTGCACCATCCCTCTTTTTATCCCACGGGACTGGCCCATTCCCTCTCCTTGATCCCGAACAAGAGTCGTATAGAGAAATGATCCGCAAACATGCAAGCAAGCTCGACGGCGTCAAGGGCATCCTGCTTTTCTCGGCTCACTGGGAAACCGAGGAACCTCGAATCACCGCCTCCAATGATCCTGGGATCTACTATGATTATGAGGATATGCGTGACATGCTCCCACCAGCTGCATTTAAGTTCCAGTATGCGGCATGTGGCAACGCTATATTGGCCGCCGAGGTTGCCGACCGTCTCCGGGATTGTGGGTTCAACCCTATCTTGGATTACCAACGCGGGTTTGATCATTCCGTTTACGTGCCAATGACACTACTACGACCTCAGGGCGATATTCCCATCGTCCAGATGTCGATCCTCAGAGGGCAAGATGAGGAAGACTCGACCCAGAAGAACATAAAGCTGGGACAAGCGGTCGAATGCTTTCGGGACGCGGGATATGCCGTGATTGGTAGTGGGGGCTCCTATCACGATTTCCGTGCAATAGCTAATGCATTCTTCTCTAACGCGCCCATTCCTGCAGGACCTGAGAAATTCGAGGATTTCTTGCTCTCGGCAGCAACCATCGTCGATCCAGTGCAGAGAGAGACCGTACTGCTTAAATGGAGGGGACATTCCGCTAGTATCATTGCACATCCAGTGGGTGAGGCGGAACATTTGATGCCGTTCATGATTGTAGCTGGGAGCGGTGGAAACAGAGCAGGAGTTAGGTTCGACATGTTTGTGTATCGAGGTGCGCCGATGAGCTTTTACAGCTGGTGAATAATGCTACGGGTTGCTCTCAAAGTCTCCACTGCCAGTTCAATCCATTGTTGTTAGCCAAGGGACCATCTGAGTCGGAATATCAGTAGGGTACTATTATAAAGAGGAGCCAGGTTGTCATACCGCTCCTAGTTCAACTGCCGATATTTGATGGTCGTGTCGTCTGCCGCCACGTGCCGGCCAATAAACAAGCAGAGACATTGAACCCGGCCCTGAGCTTTTTTGCGCATTATGGCTTAGAGATTCAAAAGTCTGACTACAGTGATGCTAAAGATAAAGCAAATAGATATTCAACTGAACTATTTTCTCTCCTAGTATTATCTACCGCACATATCCTAAGAAGATGGCCTATCAATCTTTTAGCTGCTGAAGAAAGCTTACTGAGTCAGCAACAGCCTTGAAATGAGTCTCGGTAAACTCAGCAGCGCCATCAATCACAGAAGCTCCTTCAGGGTAATTAGCAGCGGCAGCACTAGTAGCATGTTGATAGGCCTCAATAGCATGGTTGAGGGCAACTTGAGCACGCGTACAAGCTTGATTAGCAGAGGTAGTAGCATCATCCCTAGAACTTGCCCCATATATATCTTTGTTGATATTTTCTGCTGTACTATTCCGCAAAAGCCCTTCCACGATATCAACCGCACAGCGGGCAGTTCCAATTCCCAGTGTCCATCCAGACCCTCCATGACCGTAGTTATGGACGAGAGGGAATTTGGCTATTTCATCTGCTCTGACCTTGGCGTTGTTTTTAGTGAATGGCCTCAGACCCTGGGCAAAAGGGAAATGGTTCACAAACCCCGCATGGCGTAGGCGGGGCATGAAGTCTCCAGCACGATCCCACATCTGCTGCACCTCGGGTGATTCCTCGGTCAGGTTTAGGTTCCAGTTATTGGGCTGAATGATGGAGCCGACGTAAAGGATGTCATCGTTGCGGGGAACAATGAAGACTGTCTTGGTGGGTTTATTGTCCGGGCCTTTTTGTGCAGGAACTAGGTAGGCGTCGTTGAGGTGGCGGAATTGGCTGCGGCGGGTATTTTCGACGCGACGAATGGCGCCCCGAACGGGGTAGACATCATTGTCTCCGACTAGGTCTTTGGAACCGAGGCCTGTGGCGTTGACAATAACTTGCGCGCCAAAGTCGTTCAGCAATTGCTGTCCGTTTGCGTAGAGGTCCTTGATTTCTCGGGTCTCGAGGGTTGCGCCCTTTCTCTGGACCAGGGCCATCAGATATGCGAGAGCCTTGTCCGTGTTTAGAATCGGAGCCTTGTGCGTATAGGCAGACTTAAATTCCCCTCTATATCTCGTATCGAAGATGGTGTTTCCCTGAAACCCCGCAGTGATTGCCTGGTTGTTGTTGTAAGCTGCTGTACCGAAGTCCATTGTATGCGTGTCCATGATATTGTACTTCTTGTAGTGTTCGGTGTTCCTGCCTGTGCCGTTGAAGATATCATCGTAGAAGAACTGGTGCAGATCGGCAATCTTCAGACCAAGCGACCAGCCTCCCTTTTCATGCGGGCTGGCTAGCTTTGCATAGTCGCAGTAGAATTTGTAGCTCTGAATGGCCCATTGTTGATAATCCTCCAGGTTAGCATAACCTGGCTTTGCGTTCGCGATTTCAGTCAGTCCACATCCACCAGGGGGCATCTCCCACAGAGCACCTGCAATCTGGGACGTAATGCGAGACCCCTGGAAATCTTTGGTCCATGCCCAGTCTTTAGCTAGAATGGTTACTTGGTAGCCTCTGTCAAGGAGCATCCATGCTACAAGCAGTCCACTCACACCGCCACCAATGATAAGAATATGTTTACCCTTTAATGAATCGTTCCCTATGTTCTCAGGGTCTGCAATCTCATCGGAGGTGGAAAGAAAGAGTTTATTGAACTCTCTTCCTCCCCTCCATGTACCATCTGGGATGGTCAGATGGGCATTGGACGGAGTTTGGCTTGACATCGTGCTTGCATCCAAAATAAAGAGAAAGCTCAGCTTGTAGAGAAAACGATAATGTTGGGTTTATAATCCAAGTATGACTTGACTTTATCTGATCTGGTTGAGTGATAGAAATGAGTGAGAAGGGTAGATATCTCAAGGAATATATACCACATTACTCCTCAGTTCTATATTTCTTACATAGTATCGACCAAGGTAGTTTACTGCGATAGAAATTAGCTGTGTTTCGATATGCCAATGTCAACTCCACCGTAGACTGTCCAATAAAAGATCTTTGTTACAAGGTGCATACCAGCTTTGTAGCGGCCAAATTGCAAGGCAGCAAATCGGATATACGAATATACAGATGAACCATTCAAAATCCTTCCCTAAACATTTCTGCCAGCTCCGGCTACCTCCATCAAGGTGGTCTATTCGCTTAGGAATGGGGGCTGTCGTCTCCTCTTCCCCAATCGGAATTACTGACCCAGCCAGCCCCCATATGAACAAGTACTCGTTTGCAAATGACGTGGACCAATTCAACATAAAAAGAACAGATAAACTTTCTTCGCTACGGCCCTTCCGCTATCAGGGGCGGAAGATCCCCGCATGTTACCACGTCTGCCCGATTCGTGGATCCACTTTTCCTAACGATCGGCTATATACGTGGCTTGGATCGGCAGATCGCTTAGGGATAGTTCAAGCGCAGTGGCAAGTCACACTGCATTAGTGTAGCTGCGAAACACACAACTAGTATTTCAGCTGAACGATGCATGGAGTGGTGAAATTTCTATCTATCTAATTGGATGATTTCGTCAGGCCGATAGATGTCTCTTTATCACGCCTAGTATGTACTTGTATCGCCTATTACACTACTGCAGTTGACCACATAGTCGTCAGCCTTATCTTATTGGTGTTTATTATATACATAGGGAATTGAATAAGCGTTGCTTGAATGTAAATCAGCTCCGCCCTATATACATGGATATTCTCCTATGTAGATATAGATAGATTTTTATGTGTAACTAATATTATGCTCTGGCTTACGCTTCTAGGGTATAGAGGAATTATTGGTATCCTAGATCTAGTCTACTGTCAATATCTCCGCGTATTTATGGATCTGATGAGGACTAACATCAATGGGATAGTAATAATTTGTGGGTGGGTCTCAGCACGAATAGTTAACTTAGCAGCTTCAGAACCCCTCCTAATGACGATGTCGATGATATCAGCTATGCAAGGCAGCCAATAAAGCTCATGTATTGGTTTGGTCTACAGCTACCTGACTGCTGGATTATCAGAAAAATCTGCAAAGTGGGTCTCGAGATAGCTGTCGGCGAGTTGGTCTGCCGCACGGTACTCGCGAAGTACTTCAACTCACGGGGTTTCTTTCCGCGAGGTGTTACCGTCCTCCTCCTTCTGCTGCTCCTACTACTTTTATTGTGCTTGGCTAAGCGTATTATTGGATGTCTTGAGGTATATACATTGCTTCTCATACATTATTGCTGATCTCAATCGTCATCTTAGAAGGATCCAAACCGATCGTTCATTTCATGCCGGCCATTCTTTTTAAAAGAGGGGTTAGAAAGTGTCAAGAGCGAATATGAGGGAATTTCTGAGTTGGTCATTCGCACTGTATCCTTACAAATAATCGTCGACGATCAGCCTTGGATTAATTAAAATGAGGTGCTAATTTGGATCTGCACCTATAGTCGGATGCACTCAACCTATCAGTCAGTATGACATATGCCGAAAACCTCACTCTACCTTGGGGCTGGCTGAAGTAAACCGAACCGAGGCAGCTGAACCTGATTACTCTGCTGTGACCCATTGAATATATCTAGTTAACTAGTTATATAAAAACCTGGTTGATTCCTAAAATTTTGCTGGAATATTGGCTATCTTTTATAGCCTTAACTCTTGCATACGCTGATAACTCCGCTGTTGGCGAAGGATTTACAGGTAAGCTCACTCTGTATCATGAAAACACAACTTGCTGTTACTAAACTCCGACAAGGCACTCTTGTAGGCGTTTATGCTACAAGCAATGGAGGGGATGGGACCACTCCTGCTTATTTTTTCAACTGGTCTTGCACTCGACAGGGTCAATTTCTGGATTGATTGTTATGCATCATGTGATACACCAAATATATTCACAGCTCTTAGGTAGTTGAGTAGTTTTTACTGATATTGGCATTTCTATAAACCTTGCTTTAGTCTATAGTAGTTGAATCACAACGTCGTGTCATCCAACTTAGTAAAATCATATGGATATTAGATGAGATGATTTCATAATATAACTAATTAACACCGCATATTATTAACCTAGAATCAAGATCTTGCTCTCCCATGAATGGTTGATAGCGTGGACTGCATCCTTATGAACCAGCCCTATTCCTTGTCGGTAAGCAATGTCACCGTGGTATTCTACCAGCATGACATTATAGAAGCAGACATGAGGATTGTCAACGACCTGATATTTCCTATGAATGGTGGTTGCATAGTTCCCTACACCATATTGACTGGCTTGTTCTGCATGGCAGAGCAGGACCAATTCACACTCCCGTCTACCTTCCTTTTTGAACTTTCGCGCCCAATCTCGATTAGCAGAAGGGAGAAACCCACAAGGATCGCCTTCATGATCAAATATAGTAAAATATGGGACAAATTGCATCATATCAGTTAACCAATGGGTCGCATGGCTTTCTTCTGAGTTGAGGGTCATCCTGATAGAAATCACCCAGGCAATGATAAAGGTGGGATTATCGCGGATGATTTTGATATGAGAATAGAGTAAACCCAATGCAAAAGAGGAATCCTGCGGTACCCTATCGGGTATGCATACCAAAGGATTGTCGTCAGTGCTGTATCTGTACCACTCGTGCATGGGATAGATAATTCTATTTCCTCCGAGGTGCAGGATGTCTAACTGGTAATCCACACTGCCCACCCATCCGGCCCAAGACCATGATGGGTACGCGGGTGTGCTGTCGTTGGCTAACCGTCTTCGTGTTGGGGACGTTGGGTACCATAATAATGCCTGATCAAACAGGGAAAGTGGCAGGCCACAGAACATTCCTCGTAATGGCAGGAATGCTTCAATGACCGCCATGATGCCTTTGAAGGCGTTGATCACATCCAATTCAAATGTTAATGATCGATGGGAGAAATCTCGAACCAGTTGCGCGTACTCTATGAAAGGGTTTCCATTGCGAATATTGATAAAGAAAATTGGGGTTCAAGAGCTGCTCAACACCACTCTGCCGCAAGCGCGGCTTCGCTGGATGGAATTCGTAGCTTTTATTTCCTTCGGCATGGACATCTTCACTGCGGGCATCTTTTGGACAGCGAAAGTACATTTGGTTGTTATGGAACGCCAAGCAGCGCTGGGCAAGCACGCCCTCTTGGAATGTCCATCCCCGGGTCGCCCAGCGGCTTTGCTCTATAGCGTTATTATAATCCGGGAGGGAAGTCAAAAAGCGAAGGCCTTTCACGGTGCTAACTGCTTGACGCCGTGTACGAGGTTCTCCTACTCCAGGTATATAGTAATCGTTCTCTGGATTCGCAGCCGTCGCCACGACAATGTTCAATGCAGCCTCCGCGTAGATTTTGTCCATCATTTCTATCAATCCAGATTTGATAGTCTGGTCATCCTGCACAATGCAGAGAGCATCGATCCAAAGATAACGTTCATCAAGACCGTGTGCCACTTTGATAGCATCCTGTAAAACGTTTGGCAAATGGCTCTCAGAATTCCCAAATGCCCCTGGCTGCATAAAGCCTTCCTTATTATATTTGTTTAGTTGAGTTGTGCCAAAACGAGGCCACACATAGCTGAGGGTAATGTATATAGATTTCGGAGGGATCTCGCATTGACATCCTTGCTCAACATCGTTGACAAGGAGGTGGTGATTGGGATCCGCGCGGCGTTTGATTTTCCGAAAGACCTCTGAGCAATCATGGTGTTTCTCGCATTCGTTCAGCCATGCTCGCGCCATGCTTATATCTGCTTGTCGAGATGGGACCAGCCGACCATGAAAGAGAGGGGATTGTCCAAGCTTGGAAGCGTCATCGGATAGGAGGCGGATACATACGTCCACCTCAGCCAGGCTACGAACGGGATGCAGCATCTGTGCGCAAAGTTGAAATTTCCGCTCTTGTCGACTTCCCATTGGGCAGTTAGAGCAGAAACTGGTAAGAATGATGGGGTAGCTGGAATATAACCCAGCCATTTCCTGGGGTGGCATTCCAGTTTCAATGGCAAACGCCTGGGTCAAAAGGTAGCATATAGAACAGTTATGACAAGAGAAAATTGCCCCTGCATTATGAAGTGGATACTTACGACCACTGCCCAGTCCTCCCAGTAAAGCACGGATATTGACATCCTCACATGTTGAGCAGAGATCCTCATCTGCGACCTGATGACTGATATCGGAAGCAGCTGGTAGCTGGGCAGTAGCAAGGGAGAGGATTGTACTTCCAACCCGTGTATGAGGAAAGTCTACCACTGACTGATGGTCTTCAATGGTTGTCATTAGACGAGTTTGCTGGGTGATACGTTCAAACTCATTGAAATGAGCTTGTTGCATTCCTATTAGCCGACCATTTTTAAACTCCGTAAGGCTGTAGCGGTGCTTTTCCTGCCCAGCGTCATCCATAACATACGTTAGAGATGGATCTGCCATTATTCCTTTTTTTTTTTTTTTTTTTTCGTATATAAATTCTAACACGAAACGTCTGATGCTTAATGTGCAACCAGGGAGATGCAAAATCAGCCCTTCAGCTTCTGGGTAGATGCGCTTTAGTGCTCGAGTGTAAGGGGATGAGATTATCGTGTTACTTTTCAGGCAGCCTTGTTTGCAGACGACGCTTGTTTGCAGATGCTTGTTTGCCCAGCCTTGTTTGTGTCGCCTTGTTTTTGAGGTAGCCTTGTCAATCACATGGCTCCGACAAGGCTGGCTCTTTGCCACGTATAAATCCCAGTGATAATGCCCACCACACTCTCTCGCAGGAACTATCCCAAAATGCCTGTAACATTGACCGCAGCTGATCATGGGGCGGCAGCTTGGGAAAAAGCCAAAGTGACCACCCCAAAAGAGCTTCTAAAACAATCATGTCCTAAAGAATACCGGAATTGCAAGAATATTGTCCAAAGCTCCTTCAGCTCGCGATTGCTTCGGCAAAGCCACATCACACCATCCCAGAATGGCTTTGTAAGGGCAGTATACCACGCATACAGCAATCATCACCACCTTACCCTGCGGCCAGAGGATGTCTGGTTTTCTATCCTCTGCCAACTCAGCTTTTATATTAACGCCCACGCGGAAGAGCTGCGGTCTTTTTTCGTTTCGCATCAAGGAAAAAAGCATCTTGAGGTTGTGGATGCAGCCACAATCGAGTATGCAGACTTTGGGGCATTGGCAGTCCGGATGACACAGCTCATTGAGAAAGAAGTGGTAGACCCTGAACTGCGCACTTGGATTATGCCAGCTTTCAGCACAACTACCTAGTCAGACAGGGTTGTGGCCGCTATATTGATGATGGGCAGTCTGCAAAAATACTTTTCCTATGGAATGACCCTTGTTTGCGGGATTCCAACTGTCACGTTGTTAGGCGAAAAAGCAGATTGGGAGTCGATGGTGGCAAAATTAGACAAGATTCCCCAACTGGGGGAGCAACCAGCAATATTTACCCGCTTGCTTCGACCAGTCCTAGAACGTTTCGTTACTTCATTTGACGATCCCTCTTCACAACACATTCGTGACTTTTGGAGCAAATGCGCCCACGAAACAGGTGGGAGTGGACCTTACTATCTCTCGGGGTGGATCACTGCCTTTTGCTTTTGGGATGAAGATGGTAAATGTCTATACAGGGATGGTCCGATCGGACCTGTTACCTTGGCAGCGTTTGCAGGCAATCGGGCAGGATGTGAACTTGATGGTATTTTATACCACCGCGTTGATACCAGTGACATCCCTTGCGGCTTTGCCTCTGTCCCAGTGAAGGTCAATGACAATGGAGATGAATATAACACGAGAATGGTTGCGGGTCTGGTTGGCATCCAAGCCACTTCTTCAGCAGACGATCGAAGGCCGCGTCAGAATACAAGTTTAAGCTCTATACAGCCAGTTTCGGGATGGTGGATGTATGAAGAGAGAGATGTGGGGCCTGATGAATCATGGGAGATGGAGGAGATGTCAATTGAAGATCAGTCTAAACCCTTAAAACATATCATGCGTCGAGGGAAAGAAAGGTTCCGTAAACGAATTCTAGGAATCCTAGTCTACTAAGCGTTATCACGGTAAGCATAACACAACAGCTAGACCCCAGGCAGCTACTACATCATATTAAACGCTTGTACTAGCAATATCCTATATCATTCTCGATTCTATTTATTTTTATAAATTGTCTCCAAGTTATTCGAGATATTCAAACTTAGCAAAAGTCAAAATAGAAAAGATATTAGCTTGACACAGAGTAGCTATCTTATACCCTAGTACTTGAGATATGTATTTAGACGCAACCATGACCCTCAGGTGGCCCTGGTTACTTGCAATCACATACATATTGCATAGTTATTACAACCAATAATGTGATAAAGATGTGCTATAATGCCCTGATATGATGCTAGCTTTCTCAAATTAAGAATTTGGTTCTGTTTATACTCCCAGCGGCTTATTTTCTACATACCCTATTATGTGTGATCTCCCATACTATCACGGGGATTGCCTCAAGCAATGATCACCCGGATAGTAGTGGACAGTAAAAAAAAAAAAAAAAAATGAAAATATTCACCTTGCCCATTGGCACTTGCGAGAGACCAGGAATTTTCAGAGCCGATAAGGTATCAATAATTTGTGTTACTGGTGAGCGCCAGAGGTCTATCTCTGTCTCGCAGAAGATGGGCATATCGTCATATACAATTTCAAGCTGAATGATTTAAAAAGGTATTGAATGTTTATATTTATTGGCAATATACTCGTTTCTATATCCGTTCATCCACCCGAGCCTGTATCTGCCGAATCTCATCTCTATATGCCATCAATACCAGCGAAAAAAGCAATGTCAGAGCCAATCCAACACCCCCATAGGCATTCGCAAAAACCGCAACTCCATATCCTCCAACGTACCCCAATTCCTTCGAAATCAGGTTCAAGCCTGTGTTCGCTAGCGGAATTGTAGCCAAAGCGCAGGACCCCAATAATCCAATCTCAGCACCAGAGGGCTGGCCCTCACGGAGACGCGCAAAACTCAGAACATAAACGGCGCTGAAGATATGGCCCACTATAAATGCGGCAGGAGATTTTGTGCGTATGGACTCTAGGACACCGCCGAGGAAGGAGAAGAGAGCGATAACAAGAGATGTGTTTATAGGGAGGGATTGAAGGGATTGTTGGACTGTTCCTGTGCGCGTATACGCGATCGCAGCGGTGGTGAGGAGAAGGGCGATAGTCAGAGCACCCGGGTTTAGTCGTAGCTAGGAGATTTTGTTAATTACTCAGTTAATGTGCTAGGAGCTAGGAGGATCAATTTACCATTTTATTGTCCCTTGTGTTTCATTTTCTTTTTGATCTTGCGGTTTGTTGAAATTAAGAATCTAAGATTTGCATTGTTTGACGTGATGATAAGCTAGCCGTCTCTTAGGTCAGCAGAACCACCTGTAACGTACTGTATTTTACAAGCGGGCAGCTGCAGATCCTTATATTGAAGAAGTATTCCCGTACTGTTGATAAAGGCGTTTGGTAATATAAGGCATGGAGATAGCCCTAGTAGTATAGTATACAACTTCTCTTTTTAGTTGAATAATTACTTTAGCATTTCGTGGTCTTTTAAGAGAGAGCTGTATTATTTTTGCAAGACATCGATTTTAATTTTCTTTGCATTGTAAATTAATCCAACCACTGAAAACTGTTTATATAGTTAATAGTTACCCTCTTATGGACAGGAAGCCCATTAATGCTTTATATTTGAATGCCTAAGTCTCTGTATTATGTCTATACCTTCTTATTTAGTGCCATGATATAATTACCAGATTTTCATTGAATTTGTATCACAGAGGTTCACTGGGACATAATATCACTACGGGATCTCGTATAATCACTTCCTCTCGAGATGTCAATATCTTACTATCCGAAATATATTCGTTGCTCTACTTAACAAGTAAAGAGTCAGGCAGCTCCCAAAAACAGCACTACTTGACACTGCCTGGCAGCTCTTACTGGCCGCGCTAATCTTGATATAATCTGTATTCAATTCTACAGTCAGCAGTCAACGCTACGAGTTGTGCTCAGGGTCATTGCTGTGAGTTCATTCCATTAATCTTAAACAAGGCATCTTTTGAGTACTGGATGTCAGTAAAGTGCTATAAGCGAGACACCGATTATAGAGGGACGCACATAGTCTGTCAGAGCTACAGAACAGCCAGGGATGCGAGAAGCGTTGTCTGGTGTTCCCTAGGATTTATTCAGATAGACCGTACTTTACTGAGTAGTCTACTTACCCCGTTCTATCTCACCTGGCCATTTATCTCTCGCGACTCAATCCCAGATATTAAACACTACTAGTCCCTCTAGTCAATTAATAGGACGGCTATAATCCCGTCGAAACGCCGAGCCGAGCACAAGTTCGTTACATATTAGTGCTTATTGTCAGCAACGTCGAGTCGGAAAGTCGATAAATGGACTCTCTCAGTATATAGGAAGCCACTATTATCGCGTGGCTTAGACGTTAAGACTTGCCCCACAGCGATATGAGGCATATGATTGCACCTTAGCTTTCGCCCCCAAATGGTGAGGTTATGACGTTGATTCCAACAATTACGAAAGTTTTTTTCATAAATCTACCCATACCACGACGGCGATCTCTTGTGTCAAAAGCTTGTACCTATTTAAGCCTGTGTTGCTGTAGCCATGAAACCAACTATTGTGTTCGTGCCGGGTGCATGGCTTGTTCCCGAGTTCTACAGACCCTTCTTAGAAGCGGTTCAGGCAGCGGGGTTTCCAACAGCTACAGCTGAGCTACTTTCACTGGATCCAGTTGATCCTACTGCGGCTGATTGTGCGACGGATGCCGCGAGCATCCGACGTCTCGTGCGCTCCTTAGTGGAGGACGAGGGTCTTGATGTGGTGCTAGTAATGCATTCATACGCAAGTATGCCGGGAGGTGCCACTGCCATAGGGCTCTCAAAGTCCGAGAGAGCCAAACAAGAGAAGAAAGGAGGGGTGCTGGGATTAGTGTGCATGGGTGCATTTTTGGTCCCTGAAGGAGTCAGCTGTGCTGGGACGCAAGGTGGCAACCTACCACCGTGGATTTTATTGGATCAGGTTCGTATAGAATTCGACGATAATGATTTCCAGGAGGCTAACCAGAGACCTGTAGCCTACTACCGGCCTCAATGTGCCTGATCAGCCAGAGAAGACCTTCGCTGCAGATGTCAGTGAGGAACAGGCGCTAGCGATAAGCAGTGTGATCAAGCCGCATGCCAGCCTCGCCTTTTTCTCGGCCCAGCCTTCCCCTGCATGGATTGACCCCGCATTTACCGGGAGGTTGGCATATGTTGTGACCACCGAGGATATGGCTGTTCCTAAGGTCGCCCAGTACGGCATGATATCGGGAACAGGTCAGCAGTGGCATGTGCGGGAAATCGAGAGCAGCCATTGCGCGCCGTTCATCACTAAAGTGGCGGAAAGTGTGGAGATCTTGCAGGACTTCATTCAGGTATTTGAGAGACTATGAGCTAAATCTGCCCGCCTCCGGCATGATTTGTCAATGGACGGATGTAACCCATGCTATGTCAATTTGACCTTGCGTACGGAGTACAACCGGACTACATAGTTTCTATTTTTGTTCCTCCACATGTTTAGAGTACCGTACAATCTAGGTAGCTGCTGCTGCCCCAGAGTTACTTTGTTCTTATAATATACTCTTATTACCATTTTCCAGCTGCGGTGTGATGAGCTGAGCTTGGGCCAGCGAAATTGAATACCTAGATCTGCTGCCGTGTGTTCGTCCCCTAAATATGATAGGGCTGAAAGTGTGATCATCACTTGCTTTTGAAACACCTGCAAGACATCACCAAGACATCACCAATTGTGACAGCGCATTAGCCCATCTGCAACATGAAGTATGTGATACCCTGGCTGGTTACGCAGGAGGTAATCTCAGGCCCAGTAACAGAACGGGTATCACGGTGCACGAAGTAAGACCAAAAAGACACTAAAAATGAGAGGTGGGAGTGGGATAATAAAAAATAAGATTGATAATAAAAACATTTGTTGACTGGGGAATAAAGGAGAGGAGTGTAGCTGAAACATGAGGTATAAATACTACCCTTCTCCCTCTTGAGTACAATACAGATCCAAGACAAGCATCCTCAATTCTCGCGTTTCCTATCTCTTGAGCATAACCCAAGATGCATTTCTCAGCTCGTTTTTATACCCTCCTGGCCTTTCTGGTATTCATTGTGCCTTTTTCCTATGGGCAAGGCCCCGATGATTGCTACATCCCTCCCGCCATTATTACCAAATTTTCCTGGCACAATAGCACTCACAATTGTGGGTGTGATGATGGTGGTTGCCTCCCAACGGGTCTTCATGGTGGTCCCGGCTGTGGTCCACCCGATACTGTGGAAGCAACATTCTCCCAGCAATCTCCAACATACAATGACACGTTGACCTGTGGCGCATCCGACCCTGGCAGTGTTCCCGCTCGACCGATTCCCGGTGGACCCTTCAACTGTCGATCACTTGGGCGACACTTCTTCTTGGCAATTAATGGCACCGAAGGAACACTTACCTATGTGGAGCCTAATTTTATTTGGTGAGTCCGGGAGGAAAGCATGCTTTGTTGTACCTTGTGGTGTACGTCTGCTGCATTCTTAGGATGATAACTGATTGTATTCATATAATCAGCCCGAAAGGCAGAGCACAGGTTACTTACGTCGGCTCATTTGAGATGGACTGCGTATATGACAGATTTCAAAATTCGACTTGTGTGCAGAGCGAACCTACTTTCCAACTTGAACCGGACGAGGTCGTGGGTATCCACTGAGCTTCATCCGTCATTACCATCGACTTCTATACTATTGTACATATATGATACGTGAACTACGGTGATGAGCAAGTGCTATGGAATAATGATGAACTAATTCCAGAAATCATATTTATCATTATGTGTATACCATAACAAGATCCAGTATTCATCTATCCGGTTCGGTTCGGTGTTCGAAGGTGATCGATGGCTCATGTTAATTTGAACCCAACCAACATGATTTCATGACAACATCATGATGCTACTAGTGTTCTAAGAAAGATCGACTAACATAGCATTCATCTTAACCTTCGATGGCGTTGGCAATACCTGTCACACCACTTTACCCGGTAGGTGGGAACTGAGAAGGAGGGTTACTGACAGTACTTTGCCTGAGTTATCACTCCATCAAATAATGATAAATCACAGCCCTACAAGGTCGCAACTTACAACATGAGCTACAAAACAAATTTAAAGGTGCTCGCATGCATTTGCTCGCTGCTGCGAATTATATTGAAGAATCCGTGATGGTACCAAGGGTCAAATTGTGGGTAACCATAGAACCTCTGGCCTTAAGTCTCCTGACCTTTAAGCAAGGTACCTAATGGCTGAGCAAAGTCTAGCCTAGTACCTACTATATGATTTACGCCGACATCCAATAGGAACTCCTCATCCAAAAGTGCTCTATCCTACTATGTCACAGTATGTATTATCTCTGGGTCCTGGTTGTCATATGATAGCTCTCAGGCGGTATATAGTTTCAGGGCCGCCTCGGCTTCGTACAATCCCTGTGTCTGCTCAGCTTTTAATGATAATGGGACTATGAAGCCGATGGTCCACGAAAGAAATCCACTCAAAATGCCCCACAAAGAGAGTTCTAATCGACGAGACCCTGGCAATGTTCAGGCATGGCTGATTGGCGGCGGCATCGCGTCGCTAGCAGCCGCCGTTCATTTGATCAACGATGCCAAGGTCCCAGGAAAAAATATCCACCTACTTGACGAGCATAGACGTGCTGGCGGCGCGATGCAGAGCTCCGGTGATGCAGAAAATGGCTACGTGCTACGTACTGCCTGTCTTCCATATTTCCATGATATCTGTGTCCAGGATCTTCTATCCTACGTACCCAGTCCCGGGAACAATGGTCGATCCATCATGGATGTGGTGCGAGACTCTGAGAGCGGGGAGGGGGTGAAGAAGCCTATTGCGTCAACTCGGCTTGTAGAACAACGTTCCGAGGGCCTTGAGAAGGTTGACGACAAACAGTTCCATTTGGGTATTAAACACCGATGGGATCTCATCAAGCTCATGGTTGAAGGTGAGAAAGCGGTCGCCGGCAAGGCTATCAAAGACCTTTTTGATGAGTCGTTCTTTGACTCAAAGTTCTGGACACTGTGGTCTACAACGTGAGCGGGCACTACCCTCCTCGTTTTACCAGCTTGGTTTGATTAACTCTTCATAGCTTCGCACTGCGACCCGAACACGGAGCGGTCGAGTTTCAGAGACACCTGCGCAAATACCTTGAAAAGATCAAAGACATCAATAATGTCAGTGCATTGGATCGCACCCAGTACACTCTCTATGACTCCGTCATCCTCCCTATGATTGCGTATCTGGAGAAGGAAGGCGTCGACTTCCGGTTCAACGCTAAAGTAACTGATCTCGTTATGTACCCGGAGGGCGACCCTACGACTATCTCTGAGATCAAACTCGTTCATGATGATAACAGCCCCTCGCTTGTGACTATTGACCCCATGGACATTGTTATCGTTACTCTTGGCTCAGTCAGTTCGGGATCGGTGGTCGGATCCAACCATGCACCACCCACATCGGAGGCATCTCTTGAGGATACAATCATGGAAGACTGGTCCTTATGGAACAAGGTTTCTACGTTTGCTACGAGGAAATTCGGTGATCCCGTTCCCTTCCGTTCGCATATCAAAGAGTCCACGGTCGAAACATTCACTATCACCTTGAAGGATCCTTTATTCCTCGACACCTACGAAAAATGGACGCACAACCAACCCGGCTCAGCCGCCTTAGTATCATTTGTTCATAGCAACTGGAACTTGAGTCTCAGTGTGCCATGCCAGCCCCTCTTCGCCAATCAGCCGGCCGGCGTTCACGTTGTCTGGGGATACGGCATGGATCTGGAGAAACCGGGCAATTTCGTGAATAAACCGATGCGGGAGTGCAGCGGGGAGGAGATACTGATAGAACTGCTTGGCCATCTGGGTCTCGATCAGGAACGAGTTCTCCCCTACGCTAACACTATCCCCTGCATATTCCCAATGGCCACGGCGTCGTTGCTGAAACGGGCTCACTTTGACCGTCCCGAGGTAATTCCCCATAATACGACGAATATGGCGTTCGTGGGTCAGTTTGTGGAGATCCCGCACGATACGACGTTCAGTATGGAATACAGCGTGCGTAGCGCTCAGATGGCGGTATATAATTTGATGGGGCTTTCGAAGCGTCCTCCGCCAGTTAGGACCAACGTGTTGCTGGAGGTGTTTGGATTGCTAGCTTAATGGTGGGTCTTTCTAAGGCACTTTCTCTCTACTGCTTCCAATGTCTTCCAGTTTCATATCGTTGGGAAGTACTTTTTTGGGTGTACGAACAGTCTCATGTGCGTCTTGCTTTCTCCCCTCTCCTTTTCTTCTCTTCTTCTCTTTTCCTGGATCCAGGCGTGTTCTCATGTAATCGTCAGAATGGAACATATTTTAAGTTGCATGAGGGCAGATTCCGACGGGCCGATTAAAAAGCCACGGCTGTCAGATGACCTTCAATTACCCCGTAAGAAATAAAGTAGGCTCCACTTTTCCCATAAGCGACTAATTATAACAACCCCAAGTGCTATGCTGGACATTACCTGACCCCATCTCTACCAATCTTTAGTTTATAACAATGCATGATTGGCCGGGCTGTTCATACCATGTCTCTGCCTGAGAGTACTTCACATCAGCCCACCCGCAATCAATAACCACAATCCACATTTCGTCTCTAACACTTAGTCTCCAAGGCATCGTACAGGATTTCAATTCTTCTATTCTCTAAAGCCTCCCTACAAAACCCCACCATGCTATCCACATTCTGGCCGCACACAGAATATGCCGAAGACCAACCCTTCCCCAAATTAATCCTCACTGGCCATGTCCTCGACCGCAGCTTCCAAACCGGGGCACTCCTAGGAAGCACTACCGGTCTCATTCGAGTAGGACTATTAGCGTATCAACCAACCTCTAATAACAAGGTCTACACCAGATTCATTGTACCCCCAGGATCCACCCCAGCTACTCTTCTTATGCGATCGACAGGCACGGGTGCCATCATAGGCCTCGGGGCAATGGCAGCTATGCTCCCTTATTATCTGGTTAAATGGGATCCGATCGAATGGCAAGATCGCAGTTGGAGACTGCTGGAGAACCCGGGGCAGGTGGAGGTGGATACTTGGGGGTTTACGGGTGCGGTGCTGGGATTGACCGCGTTGGTGGTTATGGCGCGGCGAAATGGGAGGATGTTTCAGTTGACGGGCCATGAGGAGGTTTCCTCGTTGGTTTTGCTGAGGGCTCTTGGGTGGAGGAATGCTTTTGCGAGTGCTGGGATGGGAAGTTTGTCGGGGGTTTTGGGGTATTTGGGATGGAGATATGGTGTTATGGGTGGAAAGCGATAATATCTATTGTGTTGTTACTTTATTCCGGCTTTTGTATATCGGGGTTATGATATGTAAATGTGCTTCTGCCGTGTATTCAGTCTATAATTGCGAGATTGAGATGGTCTCGGGTGCCTAAGGCTTTTCAGTCGATATAGCAGTGACATCAGCGTTCCCTTAAGACGGGACAGTAATCTAGCCCAATTAAGACTTAGCGCCGTAGCTCTTCCCGAGCCAATGGGAGTTTTCCATCTTTGCTTCTACTACTGAGGTACAAGATTCAATTCGACAACTATCCATATACTGTGTGTTCATCAGTTCGGTCATCGGTCTATCCAGTTCCAAGATTCTCCCTTCTACACTTTTACCGATCTACTATCTGCTAATATCAGCTCAAGAATGGGCCCCACAATGGCCTCTTCATACCCCAGCGCCATCAAGCGTCCAATCGTCACATTAAGAGGCCGGTCCTGATACCCCTGCACAACATCCCACAGCTTGTTCTTCATGTGGAACTCAATCTGATAGTCCCTAATTATTTCCTCGATACGAGTAATGTGATCTATCAAACTGAGGTGGGGGTCAGGCCCCAGTTCGATAGTGATAGAGTATTGTTCATTTGATACGGACGGGCACTTGACATTTAAATTTTGTTCTTTGGGGTAGGCTTCGAGATCCACAATGGCATCATCTGTTCGGTCAAGGCCATTGATCAATACCCTGAGGCCTTTTGGCACAGAGGTAACGCCAAGGAAGCAGAATCCCCACACTCTGTCGGTGACCTCCGCGGTAAGCTTTCCTTCTGCCTGTGCATACCGGATGGTGGAGACCCGTTGCTTTCCATCCGTGACATTTTCATTCTCCTGTTGTCTATCATCTCGGCTATCCTCAAGAACATCAGCATACCCATCTTTACCGATCACGATAAAAACTTCGAAGGTATCCGGATTGAGGCAGCCGTTCTGGGGAGAAGCGTCTAGAGGTATAATTGATCCCTGACGGGCCAGAACGGGGTACTCGAACAAGGTCCGATAAAGCGTCAACTCGCGATTCCCGTCATAAACTGTACCAGTAAAGATATCAACGAGTCGTCCGACGGGCGGCAGCCAAGCTTTCACCGATGCTAAACCAGTCCGTTTGTCCCGTGGCTGCACAATTGGAGCGATTACCAGGTCAGATCCGAAGAAATATTGGTTCGGAATGGAGTAGGCCTCTTCACGTCCTGGGTACTCCCAGTACATTGGCTGTACAAGTAGTTCATCCTCTGTTGCGCAGATTATGTTCCGTGTGTAGAGGAAGGGCACAAGTTTGTGCCGAAACCTCAAATAATGTGTCATAACTGAGTAACATTCCGCACTATACAGCCATGGTTCCTTAGACATCCACCGTGATGATGTTGAGTGCAGTCGCATGATTGGTGAAAAGACCCCAAGCTGCACCCATCGAGTGACAAGCTCGTCATCACGGCCGCCATGTATGTGGCCACCAATGTCGTGGCTCCACCACCCGTACCCAATGTTTGATGCAGTCGCTGTAAATTCTGGTTGGAACTCGAGTGAGGCCCAGGTTACCACCGTATCACCGGAGAAACCAAGAGGATATCGGTGACTTCCGGGGCCAGCATATCGGGAGAGGATGAGCGGGATTTTGCCATCCCGTCCATGGTCGAGATAAGCGAAATGGTTTAACATCCACAAGGGGTCAATTCCAGGGATTTTGGAGTACGGCCCCTGCTGCCAATCAATCCACCAAAAGTCGCATGCTACGGCTTCAAGGTTTCGGTGCAGAATGTTGAGGTAAGCATCCATAAACTTCGGGTCCGTTGAATCAAATAAAATCGGACTTTTATTTCTTGTATCGCGACCCAGGAACTTTGCCATTTCTTGGTAAGAATCTTCGTGAGAATGAATCCCATCGTGGGGATGGTCATTCAATGTTATCTTCAGGTTGCGCTCGTGAATTTCACGGGCGAACAATGCCGGGTCGGGAAACAGCTTCTTATTCCACGTATACCCCGTCCAGCCAGCATGCGGGACTCGCTCATCCGACACTAAATGCCAATCCATGTCAAGGACGGCTACAGACAATGGAATGTCCTCCTTATAGAACTTATCCATGAGCTTGAGATACTCTTCCTGTCGATACGGATAGTACCGGCTCCACCAGTTGCCTAAAGCGTATCGAGGTACGACTGGCTGTTTGCCAGATACAGCATGAAATGCTTTTATCGCTGCCTTATAGTCGCGACCGTAGGCGAAGAGATATCCATCTACTCGGTCTCCGGCTGGCCGGTTCGCGACAAAGCCCTGTCCATCAAAGAGCATGGATTCAGAATCATCGATCACTGCGAAGCCAGCTTTCGACAGAACTCCGTCTCCCATGTCACATCGGCCATCGCATAGGTCCAATGTCCTTGCCGTTCCTCCTAAGTTGAGAGTGGACGGGGTTCCAAATCGCCATGCGGTTCCATACTTGGTCGTTTTCGCGCTCAAATGAGCGACCATCCCGTTGGAACTGAATCTCTTCTTGTCATAACTTAGGTGAAAGTGCTCCGTGATAATTTCTAACCCGTCGTTGTCAATTATCCTAAACTCTGGGACTGGGAGATCACGGTTGATGGCAAAAGTAGAAGCTCGATCTTCAAACCGGTCATCTTCGGCCCATTCAAAACGCAGCAGACGATCGGTAAGGACAGTAAAGCGATATTTGGGGCCAGAGATAGTCGCACCCGGGTTAGCTTTGGGCTTTGTGGGGAATATGTATTTTTCCATTTCGGACTACTTCAGATGTCTATGAGAAATGCTTGTTCTCTTGGTGTGGGAGTTATCAGATTCTCCATGGCTTTAGCTTGGTTTATATGCGCCATACCACGTGAGACTCCCCGCATTTCGTCCAAACTGTTCGACGTGTCACTCAGGATTGGCCCTCCAACGATATCCACCCATGATCTTGATCACAATTCTGTTTTAGCTCGTTTGAAAAGGTTACGGAATGCGTACAGGGTATAGTTACACAATGGTCTCTGGTTGCCAGGCAGTTCATTTCCTACATTCTGAATGTTTGCTTCGCCTTTGGAAGTGGGCGTGAGCAGAACACAGAATAGTCAGCAAAATGATGCTTAAGACAATTATATACTACTACGTATACTTTTAAGGTCTGTTCTGTCGCTCCGGAGGTCTACTCTACCTCATCACTTGTAACATTTTGGGGTGGGCAATGAACTAGTCTATCGTCTCAGGTGTTCTAGAAGATCTTCCGGACTTTGAGATGACTAGGTTTTCCTAACCCCTTCGTTATTCAGTGACCTGATCTAAGCTTCTGACGATAACTTGTATTTCAGAAGCCAGGGATCAAACGCACAGTGAACTTGGTATCTTGATATCCTGTTCGAACGAGGGATTTTGCTCGGAAATACCGCTCCACTGTGCTACATGGAAACAAAGTGGAATGAATTCATCGGAAGGTAAAAGAAAGTCACAGTACTGTTCCTTGTCTAGTTTCCTCAAAACGTTTCTATGGATATATTTTGGTATTTTATCCAACCGAACCTGTCAGTTTAGAAGTACAATAAATCAACGAACGACATGAACTAGCCTGCGTTCAAGCAGGCAAAGAGACACATGGCAAAGGGGCAGTTGCAGGATTCAATGAAGCTCAGAACACGTATAATGAGGGCTTTGGGCATTGTGAAACAGACCACGTGTTGTCTCTTTCAATGTATGTGTCGCTCTATAAGAAAAAATTCAAATCCTTAAACATACCTCATTCACCTTATCCCCAGGAAATATCCGCCTGTCAAAGATTGGTATTCCCTGGTCTTTGTCCTAGCCATAACCAGCCATTGGTTACTGGGATCACTGATCTACCGTGCTCTAGAAACCATGCCCCGTGTATTGTCTGGCTGGCTTTTTTGTGTATCAACTATCTCCTAGTGAAACTGCAATCGATGCGTAAGGTACTTACCGACATAAAAACAAAGAAAGGAGCCATATCGGATAGTTCAAAGACATTTTCCGTGATGGATAGTGGTATATGTCGGCTCATGACAATGTGAGTGTTCATATCTAAGAACGTTTGCTGATCCTATGCGCAAATAGGGCCCCCTGAGGCCCTGCAAGTAGGATAACCTAAGGGGCTTGCCACTTCACAGAGACAGCGTCTCGCCTAGTACAATGATATAAAGTGTAGAATGCTGGACATCTGAAGTGTTAGGTTTGCAACCTTTTCGAGCCGTGCACAACAAGCCCAAACTGCGGTCTCTTCATTCAAAACGCTTCGGCTTCCCTTGTAGCAGTGCCGTTGTCATTGTCTTTTTCTTCACCCATCCCTTCTCTGACAAGAAAGGCTCTCGAGATGAAGACCGAAAGCAAGTCCCCATCAAAACCATCGACCCCGTTGAGAGAGTACACTCCATCATCCGACGAAAGTACATCCCCTCCATGGTACATTTCAGAATTAAAAGGTGCTATGGTCAATTTTGGTAGTCCTACAGAGCTTCCGCAGGTATACGATGAGTATAACAGCCTTTGCTATAGAGAACCGGTTCAGTTAGTCCCAATAAGTATGCTTGGCCTTTTAATTTGGATACATCTTCTTAGTTTTATTTCTTATTTATTTCATCCCCGCCTTCCTCCAACCACCCCAGTACCTCGGGTCGGTGATACAGCAACGTACGGCCTTAAAGCGGGATGCATAACTAACTGTGGAACAGGGTCAACTTTTCTTGGGCCTCATATCACCAGCACTCCGACAAACTGGAAGACTAGTTCTTACCAGTGGGAGCCACCTTTGTTCGCGGTAGACCATATAAGGGCTACACATACCTTAACTCTGACTGAATTTAGAGTTGAGGTACTGACCTGTGGACAATACATTTACCAGGTATATAGACTTTTCGGATTAAATATCTTAGAGAAGGTCATCCTAGCGCTAGAACACCCCAGGGTGTTATACGGTAAGAATTCCCTGATAATCTCTGAAAGTTCTAGTACATGTATATTCTAACAGTCCTATCCAGGCTATGGAATTATCCGAATTAGCGCAAGACCAGGCTGGATCGACGTGCTATTCCTACAAGACATCCTATGAATGTATACCATGCTGATGTGGTTGTGCTCGGCCTTCCGCGCGCCAATTCCAGAGATGGTGTCCCGCTCATATGGTACACTGGAAGACACCAATGGTTTTGAGCTACAGCCTTTAGAACTGTTACCCGTCTCGTCTAGCATTCATCATTGCTGTTCTGCATTATTTGGTTCCGCGGTCATTGATGCGAGACCAGAAACTGACCCTACTAGAGAGCTTCTGTTAGATATAGATAGAAGTATCGTCAAGGAATATGTCAGAAGGGAATACGCCCAGGTGTTGGGCACAAACCTTGCCCATGATGGAAGATTCCTGTGTTTTCTTGAGGGCGCCCCACCTGAAGCATACTTTTCAGCGGGTGGTAGATATGCCAGAGTGGGTACTGAGTGCAAGGGTGCTCTCACAGTTCTGTCTGTTGTGTTTCATCGAGCAAAGAGTGGTCGGTAATGGGGGGGATATAGCCGTATGTGAGATCCTGAGCTGCACATATAATGATGGGAGGGCAGAGAAGGGGATCATGACAATCGTACTTTTTTCCAGACTAGAAACGAGGGGGGGAAATATTCAAACAAAAATTTTGAGGAAACCAAGCAATGATATTTATTCGTGTTAATCGAAAAAGAAAACAAAAAAGAGACCAATCAAGTTCTTAGCGCCATTTGGCGCTGCTGGGAATCGAACCCAGGTCTGTTCGGGAATGTCCGTTAGGACCACAACGAACCGTACTGACCACTATACTACAGCACCTTGAATTGGTGATTGCCTGGTCTATTTTTGGGACCAAGAGTGCAATGTACATTAGTCGATCATCTTCGACTTCCGTCTCTCAACTAGAAAGTGCTGTAGTGGATCATGACATTATTAACTATACTAAACTCTTCGAATCGTAGCATACGTTGTGAAACATAGTTATGGAGTCATCTCGGTCAGAGAGAAATTTACACAGTGTGGACAATTGTTAATAGATGATAATCGCTTGTTATGCCTCGAGCATAATGTACAATTTGAAAATATATATTCCGCATACCGTCCTCCTGCTTTCGCCATATAGTAACCTCCCCACGCGGTTGGAATACAATAACGTATGACCTTAACTCCCTCTCGCTCCGATAAACATTATTTGGAAAGCCCTTTAATCAGCCAAAGCTCGTACAGGTGTCACACCTTCTACCCCAAGTCCCTACTAGCAAGACGACCACAAGACATAGCCCGACGGCCTTACTGCGAGACTCCTAGAAGAACAAAAGCGACAATATTCCTGCTATCAGTCCCTAAACAAGATGAGTTACCCATCCTAGATTGAGACAAACTCTCATATGAGACGAGAGAATGATAGAACATGAACTGGTGGATTGATTGATGGATGTTTGGACATAGACAATTACCGTGACTGGACATGTAAATAAAATACATTTCCGTGACAATACACCGTATGTATTGTATGGATATCGTTTTATATAGTCTTGGCATTACGATACTGTGGCACCTGTAGCCCTACTAAACTCAATCTTATCTAGTGGTATCAAATTTCGGCTACTGGACTGTAATAACGGATACTGGAGATTAGACGCGACGAAGAAGAGGTACATAGCATCCCTGATCAAACTCCACCATAGCAGCAACTAGTCACTTCCTAAGTGAGCTGGGCATGCACCACTGACAAATAATTTTCCGAGATATCACTCTGCCAACGTTACGGCATGCCCTTTCGCGGCGTCCACCAAGTTGTGAGGTTTCTGCGGCCATGGGGAACAGCACCTGCAAGCTAATTAGGGCAGTGACTAGGTACGAGAATCGGTGGGTAATAGAACAGTTGCGCCCACTTGAAACAATATTAATTCCACAGAAAGATTTGCGCTTCAGAGTAATAAACAAGAGCAATTAAATGTGTTGCGAATGCCAGGGCAGCTATGTAGGAATTGTTCTATACATCTTAACGCACCCATAAGGGTACTGGGCATTGTGACATCTTCGACGAGGTTCAGAAAGAAAAGTCATTGGTTATTGGAAAGATAGCCCGTCGATTCTTGTAGGGAACGGAATATGGGAACAAACTCGAGTATGGATCTTGTCTGAGTGATTAAATTTGCGGGCGCATACTTGGGGGTTGAACTGATTGTCATATGAGATTGATATAATGTACACCGAATAAATTTACCTAAACCGACGGGAAGTTCTAATCACACCCAAACCCAGCGTCCCAACAAATGCCAGTATTATTATCCATCGGTTCTGCCAGACGAACTCCTGCAGGCGATTCTGGACAAAGAATGTTCGATGTATCCTCTGGCGGCGAATAGCAATCAGTTGAGAAAACGTCGACCAGAAAGAGCCGATAAATGATTCCGTCTGTACCATAACAGCCGCCTCGACGATAGGCCAGTATGTGGCTATACGCCATTGTGTCTCGTCAGAAGGATGGGCGTCTCGAATAGCGGTTGTACATGTCGCTGTAATCTCCATGAAATGTGCTCTGGGCCCAAGACGGCGGACAAGATCAACTATGGCGGGGTGTTCCCTGCTGTCGGTCGCGATTATGACGGGCTGTGTATCGCTTTCCTGGACCCGTAGAACGTTGTTGTACAAATATGATCCTGTCCAATCACATTTGGAAAAGATATACTTAAGGACGGGGACCTGCCCGTGGTAGCAGGCGTCGTTCTGACCGAAAGATAGATCGGACGGCCACATCCGCAAATGCATCGCTATAGCGTGTGGAACAAGGTCAGGGAGGACGCTATCGACGCACTGTTGCAGCGGGTGGGTAAGCTGAAAGCGACGCGCCGCAGAGCGCCATCGATTCGGTGTCCAGGGAAGGACAAAGCTTTCGAGAACGAACCTGATGGCACTCCATTGCCAGTAGGATTCAGTATGCGCTTTTGCTTCGATGATTTGGCTTTGACCTTCCGCGATATCGGTGTAGTAGTCCACACGTTTGGTGGAAGCTGCTTTGGCGGCAGGGTCTGACCAACGTTGGAAGTCAGTCTCGTAGCCTAATGACTGGAGACCATGTTCGTCAAAAACGTCAGTGACGGGAATAACCGTTGCTTCTTGTACACCTCGTATGGCCGGACAGGTGATACCAGGGGAAAGAAGTTTGCGGGAGGGAAGGGGGTTATGGACGGCCGAGGCGAGATGTAGTATGAATTGATTGTTGAAGTATGCGAAGTCTGGTGTTTCCCACTAGTTCAACGAATTGCAGGTTAGATCACAAGATTTGCTGAATGTTCAGGAATATATGGATCACATACCGTGAAGTACTTAAGGTTGTGAACCTTGCTTGCAGGACGGCCAGATAAGAGTGAGCGTAGATGAAAAATCTGAAGAATGAGAAAGGCGGCGGCAAGGACTAGATAGATCTTCCTTCTTCTGTTTACCAGATACATCACGAATAGCATTCAAATAATAGAGGATGGTAACTTGTAAGCATAACGATAATAAACCGTAATCAATCGTGCGAAACCTGGCTTCCGTATCCCCCTATACGTGATAAGAATGCATCGTAGACCTACCCGGGGCACCATAGGGCTATGTAGAAAGCCTTTGTGCAATTGTGTTTTACTACTTGACCCCTCACAGCCGGACTGATTGATTCTTACTGACTGAGTTCCCCACGCTAGCCGTAGAGGCAGTGTTACGCTGTCCAACATGTTCCATATAAATGGCCATTTCAGATACCAGGACCCGAGAAATTACGATTGGGCAATAGCCTCTGGAATTTACTCCCACCATAATAACTCCCAGCTACGGGGATTATGAAGGCATATTCTTTAGTATTGCCATAACCATGATGGGAGAAAAGCCCATGGAGTATCAATGTACGTTCGGTGGCCTGTGGAAATAGATGTCGCCAAGCGTCCGTCTTGACTTGCCGGGCAAATCCTTCAGTGCTTCAATGTAACCTACCAGCATGCGCGTTCTCGTATTTAATTCGCGCAGTGTTCTGTTTGTGGGTTACCTTTCTTCTCTATGGTTCCTGACTTCAAAGGACTGAGACATATCCACATATAACTTCTGCCAGAACTGGCATTCTGTGACCTTCATAACCAAAAAAAGATCAGCTGTTATGAAAGTGCGAATAGCATGATTCATACACGGTCTTTGGCCAAGACTAAAGGGATGTTTAATTGGGCGGAAGTATTCCGTGTAGCATGAACATCGAGCGTACAAATATCGATATCTCCTATACTACGTGATATCCTACTTGTAGAGAGCCATCCCCTATTGTGGCTATGTCCACTACCAAACCTAGGTATGGTGGTTTCACTTCAATTTACTCATGTAGTGACGAGATTTAGCTTTTATGGGCCCTTGCCCCGACGGTCTGACAGGCGGATTGCATGTTCCACTCAAACCCTTGACTTGCGTGTTGCGGCACGTTATTTCCCCTTGCTTTATAGAAGGCTCTCGAACTTAAGATTTCTGCAACGAGATATCATGTACGTAGGATGTATGGGGAATGGGAACAGTGCCCTTCAAGCTTAAGAATGAAGAAACGTACTGTGAGCAGGAGTATTGTCCTATATGCACGTAAGCATGACCTCTTTCGCCCGTTATGCAAAGCACATTGTAGGACCTTTTGTGACTGGTGGGGACTTGCTGGATCCCACTGCCCCAGTAGAAACTTGCCCATTCCGTCTATCAGGAAATAGGAGCAAAGTTTCCTGGGCACGTTTGTTGGGTGTTTCATTTTCTTCGTTCCAGAATTCCCCTATCTTTCCCACCGTCTACTATTTTATTTTCCATATATGTTGATTCCAATGATATTTTCCTTCGAATCTATCCATCCACCCACAATATGATACTCTCCCAGTTTATTGCGCGATTTCTTTCGTTGTGGTTGGTGCTGTTTGGCACACCGACCGCAGCCCTCTCACTCGATATCCATGATAGCGGTGAGTGGCCTCGCACTTAGTACATCCCTACCTCACAATTCCCCCACTCATGCAGAAGAGATAGAATCCCTGAAAGATGCAGCGAGTACCGCAGCCCGCGGAATGCTGAAATACTATCATGGCAACGAACCCGGCCAAACCCCGGGAACACTGGAAGGAACGTGGTGGGAAGTGGGGGCTATGTTTATGACACTGGTGCAATACTGGCGTGTTAGCGGTGATTCTTCTCACAATGATCTTACAACACAAGGGCTTCAATGGCAGGCTGGAGATGACCATGACTATCTCCCTGCCAATAGCTCTGCTTACCTGGTTCGTGGCCTTTCCACCCTTCTCCCCCACCATGGACATACTGATCGAATGCTAACGATCTCATATCGATATGATAGGGCAACGATGACCAGATGTTCTGGGGCCTCGCGGCCATGACCTGTGCGGAGACGAAATATCCTGATGTCTCTGATGGACCATCGTGGCTGTCCCTTGTGCAAGGTGTCTTCAACAACCAAATCCCCCGCTGGGAGATGCAGACCTGCCATGGTGGTCTGCGATGGCAAATACATTCATGGCTGCCCGGGTATGACCTCAAGAACACGATTTCAAATGGCGGATTGTTCCAGATAGCTGCCCGCTTGGCTCGGTACACAGGGGACCAGAAGTATGCAGACTGGGCGACAAAGATCTGGGACTGGATGGCTAGTAGCCCACTGCTAGACACGAAGACGTGGAATGTGGCCGATACAACCTCTGTGACTAACGATTGTAAGACCAATGGCAACGAGCAGTGGACATACAACTACGGGACGTTGCTTAGCGGGGCGGCGTACATGTACAACCTGGTCAGCGGTTCCTGTTTTTAAAGCCATACGAGATAAGAGCCGCGCTAACAAAAAGATCGCAGACAAATGGAGACCCGAAATGGCTCGACGCCGTCGATGGACTACTCAACGCCTCCCTTCGAATTTTCTTCCCCCCGATGTATAACAATGGTACGGTCCTATCCGAGGTGTCCTGCGAGACAATCGAGACCTGTGACAGGAATCAGATGTGTTTCAAAGGGTTCCTGTCCATCTGGATGGCCTACACAGCCACCCTAGTTCCCTCCACTGCGGAGCGGATTATCCCCCGGCTACAAGGGTCAGCGGAAGCCGCAGCGAGGCAGTGTTCTGGAGGCCAGAGTGGGACCGAATGTGGGGTCCGATGGTACGAGGATAAGTGGGATGGGAAGAACGGTTTGGAGACTCAGATGAGCTCCCTGAGCATTTTTACGGCAAACCTTATGCTTCAGTCGAATGAGCAGCCTGTAACTTCGTCAACTGGAGGCGAGAGCAAGAGTGACCCAAATGCAGGGACTGGAGGCAAGTCGAGGGAGCCTGAGTCACCACGCAAGATTACAACCGGTGATCGAGCGGGCGCTTGGATTATAACTTTAGTGGTGGGGATTGCATGTATTGCTATCATAGTGTGGTTGGTTTGGGAGTAGTGACCCTCCTCACTGCAGTTATGTATACATACACTTGTTCTTGCTCCGACGATATACTAGACCCTGCTGTGCGTGTAGCACAAGCCACGAAGCTAGCCAAGCGTGTAGAAGATGCATCTTGGGTTATCGAGGCCAGATACAAAGCCAGATTGCTTCCTTCCAAGTCTTGTTTCTTCATCATAAGCGCTTTTATATCATTCTAAATGCACGATTATGTTGGACCATTCAGAGCTTAAGATGAAGTTTCCTTTTGTATAGTTTTCTTCAGCTTTCCTTGTACTAGTTAATCAATTGATTACAAAGCATTGTATATTATAATTTAGAAGGTTGTACGGATGAGCTCAGTACCCTACAAAGTAAATTAATTATTAAAAATATACCAGTATTTGGTTGATACAAGACGATTGTTATTATTATTATTATTATTATTATTATTTTCATGTAATCAGCGGACTGGCCGCTTATAAGAAAATAATAGGTGTGCTTCGGCTGGATACCGGAAGGTTAGCTTCATAGTCGGCAGCTTGCCGATACTATCGGCAAGCTGCCGACGCCCAGGGAATACAGGCTTGAAACCCACATCGTCCGTGAACTAAACAAAATGCCTAGCCAAATCATGTAATCAAGACACATTGGAATAACTACTAATCCTAACGAACCCCGAGGCAAGATATTCGAGAGTCGCCTCGCGGGACTAATAATCAGGTTAAGAGCCACGGCCCCTGAATATGGTATGAAATAGGCTAATAGCATAATACGTAAGAGGAAATGTTAGCTTTGTCAATGGCAACCGTTCCTTGACTGGTTGAATGGATCAATTAGCTAGTCAAACGTCTGCCAAGCGTTCGTGAATCGTGTGCCACGAATAGGCGCGATAGACAGTATCGTGAGGTGATTGACGGAAATCGTGGCCAGTGCGCGCTCATAACGAGCATCCGCACAGATTCCGCCTTATGAGCAGAATATGTCTGCCTGGTGAGGCTTATTTTCCAGAAGCCAAGAAAATATGTGGATCTTCCAGCTTCGGAGAGATGAGTATAGCCCGTGCTTGGCGGGGCAATCCAGCCCCACAGAAGGGCAGTGCTCTAAAAGAACAAACATCAAATATGGTGTGTTTCACGGAGCTTTAGCGTTTCAGATACAGAAAATGGTAGATATCATGAACTTTTAGCATAGTGTCTTACTTGTGTTGTGAATACCGGTCATATGGGCAGGGCTGCGACAGATAGTCGTGATGCTACGATCAGGGTAGAATGAGGGTGAAAGTACCACAAAGGTCACAAAAAAGCTTCTTGAAATTGAACTGTTTTGTGTATCAAATGTACTATTAGCTGGGTTGAACTAGGTTACTTTGCGCCGTATTTTCTTTGGGCCTGGTAGGTCAGAAATCTTAGAGTTAGTTGTTACTATCGGGTCGAGTCGACCTAAATTGGTCCGGGTTCGGGGTGGGTCAGAGTAGAGGTTGTTACTTGTTAGGCTTGAATGCGGTGCAGCGACGATACAGTACAACGCCTAGAATGGCAAAGGTAGTTGAGGCATATGTTTTATGGATGGTGCATTTAATGGTAGTTAGAAAGAGAAGCAATAATTCTGAGATAAGAGCCGATTGAAAAGCTGCTATGGCAGGACTGCCGATTCTAAAAAAGCAGCACGCGTATCCTTCATAGATTTAGCCTCCTTTTTCTCCAGCCTGAGCCGAGTTTCTTCCTGTATGTGAGGAACCTCTGGACTTGTTCTATCGTTGTATTTCACCTCCACCTTAGCGTTCCCCTCCTCACCGTTGTACGAGACTCGCCGGTTGTCGGTCGAGTAGCGGTTGATGTACACACCAGTCAAGACGAAGCTGAGCTCTCGACAGTTTTTCACCCACACACCTGGATTCCTGCCATTTGTGGCGACCTTACGGGGGGTCAAAGTAATGACAAGGTGCGTGTTGACTCCTTCATCGGTCTTGCGAAAGCTGAGTATTGGGTTGAAACGAACATTTGAGAGCATATACGCCCCTGGGCCAATATATGACTTCATCAAAGCGGCGCTGCCATCCGCTTTGGGGTCTTTGAGGGGTATCGTGAACCTGAGATACTCGAGATGTGTATCGAATGTTGCCCAGCCACTTTGCATAACGATGTGGAAGATGAGGTCCTGGGGGATCTTTGTCATGTAGATACTCCGGCTGCCTGGATTATCCATAGACCGCACTTTGTATACAAAGTATGGACGGTTATCGAGAGGCTCAGACGGTGCAGGAAGAGTGAGAGGAACCGAGGACTCAGCTTCTTCGGCGAAGGGATTAACCCGCTCAACCTGGGTGGCCAGGGAGTTTTCACCGTTGATGCCGATCTTTAACCTCCACGCGAACGAGTTCATCTGGGTAGCCATCAATGCTGATGTTGCAAATTTATCATCGAAGCGACTCGTGTCCATCTCGTTTTGTGCGGTCTCCAAGTAGAGTTGAGCATAATACTCCATTGACAGTCGGCGTATCTCAACCGATGGGTTGTCGGGGTCGGTCCAGTGATAAATAACCCCGGGCCCCTCTTCAGGGTAATTGGGATCACCAGGCTCGCTAGACCCATCGGGCTGCTGTGCGTGATTCCAGAGAAATTCTTTCATGGGCTCATTGACATCATCTCCATCCTCTTTCCAGAGATTAGTCGTATATGCTTTTCGGAAGGGGATCAAGATCCTGTTAGCATCTACCGTAGCTCCTGCGACAAATGATTGTTGATGTGGAGGCTGTGTGAACCAAAGTTCATCCCACGTGTTGGCAGAAGGGCGTTTAGAGAACAAACAGAACATCGTGTCCACATTCACGATGTCATGACGGAGTAGGATGAGCTTTTCTTGTTCTATGGGTCTACTACCCCGTCGGATTTCAACCTTCAGGTCAGGAAACTTGGTTATCAAGGCGGATCGAACATAGCATCCATAAATGGGCAATGGAGGTCGTTCACCATCGAGCTCGGAGATTGGTGTTGTGCGGTAGAGATTGATGGCGTGGAAAATTGCCTTGCGAACCTTGTCGTCCTCCTGATCGATGTAGTTGGCCAGACTCAAGGCTCCATCAATCATTGCGTTCATCCATCGGGTGTCAACTTCGAAAAATCGAACACTCTCCTCCGGGAGATGACCGCCATCGGTGACCAGGTAATGGGTGGGGATGTTGGAAAACACGAGCCGGTCAAGCACCCATTTGAGAACAGTCATCCAGTCGGTCGAGAACGGGGTGTTGAATTCATTATACGGGTCCTTGGATGGCGTATCAGGGCTTTCATCATCACAAGCACTGGAAATCTCTCTGGCAGCTCGAAGAAAGTGGGGTTCAATTGCGTCTTCTTCCTCCCCATGGATGTTGATACGGGATCGCCCAGCATAGGATCGATCGACTGGTTTCACTGATGGGCGAAACCAACGCCGGGATCGCGATTCAGAGTTGGTCACAGACAACTGTCTACTGTGTTGCAAGGACTGGAGCGACTGCACGAGGGATGGAACTGCCGCAATGATCTGCTCGCGAGAGCGCTCAGACAAGAGTTCTAACTGGTAGTAATACATCCCAAGGTCGTAGATGTTCTTGCGTACCAGCCCGAGACTGGTGACGAACGATTGATCGGCAATAGCCATGGTACGACCAAGCTGCCAAGCTGCCGAGTAGGTGATATCCATGATGCCTAGCTGTTTGTCGAGAACCTGAAGATCACTGCCGGAGTTTGAAAGATGATCCCAAGTGTCTTCTGCGGCAACATTGGCGACCGGGATGAATGCTCCTCGTGTAAAGCAGGCGGTCGATTCGCCTGTTTTGACTCGATAACGAGCCATGGTATAGCCATTCTGCAAGCGGATCAAAACTCTCTCCTTGACATTAGGCGGAATATCGGGGTCTGGTAGGTCTTTTGCCTCTACAGCCGCACGCAACATCTGGGAGGACTCTCCCAACTTTACAAACTGGTTGTAAACGTTTGGTGTTGTCGACGGATAGCAGCTGTAAGACCAACTGTATAGGGACGACATGGCCACGAATTCAGAAGTATCCGACCAATTCATATGCTCAACATTGTAAATCGAGACGAGATGAGCAATACAGTTTGTTGGTTCGGTTGCCGAGGTCGGTCCCGTTCGGTGCGAAAGAATCACACTGTAGGATTGCTGATCGTCTTCGGTGGCGGTTTTGGCAGCAACGGCCATGCCGGTGGAATTGATATCCCGTCGATGGGCCAGGAATCGATAAGGCCGGACATCCGGGCCGCTACCCTTCTTCAGGTTGCCATCTTGGTCCTGCGCGCAGAAAAGAGTGGTAAAAAGCTCCCTCCGGAGGAAGATGAGCTCAGTCGTGGTGTCCTCGGTGGTGGTGGGTGTCGGCTTCACTGGTGATACCGTCTTCTGCAGCTTCTCAATGTCCTTCACCCGCACCGGTACAGTTAGGCCTTGTGTCTGCCTGACATCCTCTTCGCCTTTAATCTTTCCAAAGATCCCATGGCTTTCGGCCAAATCGTCCCTCGATAACTCGAGCTCGTCCTTGGTGAAAACAAAGACGGCCAGCCACGGGACCCGGTTTCGATTTGCCTCATAATCCGGCTCCTGATCACGATTGCTGGCAGCCCATTCCCACGGCGTGCTGGGTGTGTTGAATACAATATGTGGCAGGGCCTCTGCCCATTCCTTATGCCCTTGAGGCGGATAGACCGAGTGGATTTCGCCTTCTGGCAGTTTAAACAGGAACTTGTCGACAAAGAATGGCTGGGTATCCGCCAGCTTGTCCGCTCCGTCGATCTCTTGCGTGGTTTTGATGGTATAACCCCCCCCGTAAAGGCCTGGGGTCATATATGAGTGAAGACGCTGGTGTCCTTCCTCAAGATGATCCTCGTCAACAGCCAGCAAGCCCTGGCTTCGAAGCAAAGTTCGTGCATGGCGAAAGGCAAGATATCGTGGAGAGGGGTTTTTGCGTCTTCGGGCCACCATGATGCTATTCAACACCCTGAGCGAGCAGCACTGAATTGATTTCAATGAGGAAGTAAGTACAATGGACAGTCACGAGAAATTGGTCATCGGCTGGCATTGACACAGATATCGGCGTCCGCTTTTCTGTAGATCCGAAAGCCAGGTGGGAGGATTATCCTTGGGGTGTACGGGGAGCCGGGCAAAAGGCCACTGTGCATGATGAGGGGAGAGGAAGCTGCATTCATGAGGGGAAAATAGAGCTGCATGATAGATCACATACTGGAGCATCATGCAGGATGACGAGTGATACGAGGTAGTCATGTCCTGTCACGTCAGCTCATGCAATGTTGATGTAGCCACAGTACAAAGCGAATACAGCCCTCGGTAAGTGAGGTGACCATACCACAGTGTATTTATCATTCCAGTGACGATGAGAGCAGTAGGAAAATAGATATAAGCGCGCTTCTCCCCCTCCTTGGGCTACAGGCATCTATCTATCGCCAACTTCTACATCCGATCCAACCCCCCCGTCTCAGGATGTCTCTGGCTGTGATTCAAAACCCGCTGGCTCCTCCGTCAGCTGCAGAGGCACTCGTCTTCTTCTATTCCACTCCTAAAGAAAATGTTGTTAATCTCGGTGTGCGTCGTCCGACGTTGTTGAGCGATGCGGAAGCCTCTCCTTACAGGGACTACAATACTGAGACTCATGTGGACGTCGTACCTAGCGCGGGCCTTGAGATTGCATTCTACAATGGCGCAGTATGTCTTGAGCGTTCCATTTCTATAACAGAAAAGGTTGTCCTAACCTGGAAAACTTACAGCCTCGAGTGTTTGGTTTCACAAAAGCTGAGCCCGATGACGAATATGATGAAGAACCCGGTAGTGGTGAAGCTGAAGAGTCCGAAAAGCCAACTACTTATAGGCGCCTCACTCAGCTGAGCCCTACCGTGACTCCAATTGACGCCCATAACTCAAACTCGGTGGCCATCTTCACAAACGCACTTACATCTGTCTATGACAGAAAGAATGCATACCTCTTTGCCATAAGGTCGGCCGCATTGTCGAAAAGGAAGACAGAACTCAGCAAGCTGACAGTTCTCACAGACTCATAGATGGTAAAGATGAGGAAGTGGATTTGGTTTATTATACTTTGACCGCCACAAATGCCTATGCCAAGGTCTATCCTCTGACAGCTCGGTGGGATACTCAATTGGCCGCAATTATTACACCCACTGGCGAACATCGATTCTTCTATCAACCCGATACAAATACCATTAGATACAGAGATGTTGAAGGAGACGACTGTAAGTCAATCTACCTTTCTCTCTGTATATATTTATATAGAAAGAGTTGACTGAGAATCGTAGTCAATGACGTTCCTGGTGTGGAGGCTTGGGAAAATACCCCAATTGCCGTGACCCACGCGCATACTGAAGCCAATGGGAACCCCAAATACCTCTATCTCTACTATGTGGCACAGAAAAACAATCGCGTTCATCGGACGAGATACGAGTATGAGAAAAAGGTGGAAAAAGAAGCGGATAAGTGGGATAAGGCGCCACTCCAGCTGGATACCAGAGAAATCAAAGAGCCTTGGAGGTGGATCAAGGTGATTCCATATGATGACGAGAAGAATGTTGCTTTCTTCTTCGATCACGAAAACACCCTCTACAAACTCGAGGACTATCTCTCCAATGCTCCCGCTCGTGTGGTGCCTGTGAAGCCGGATAACTAAATAGCTTGCTTTCTCTGCTTTGGTCTGTAGATTGATCGTCCTATTCTCACTCGATTCACTCCCTCAATCAATGGAATTACCGGACTATCTATGCATATCTTTTTCTTGCCACCCATGTAGACTCCTCAATGTCCACTCTAATGACGAAATTCCCTCATGCCGCGATCTTCCGCTCGATTGAGTGCGCTAGGCCGAGGATGCAGAGTCCCGTGCTGACGTGAAGCCCTACGGCGACACGGACTGCGAGCCACGATGCAAGCCCTGGTGGGTCTCACCATGGACAACGCATCATCGGCTGCAGAAGGCCATCACCATCTGGAATCATGGGAAGACGAAATCTCCGACGGGCCGTCCCTAGAGTTATCCACAAAATAATAAAAAGCGTCAGCTTGTCCATCATTGAGGAACCCCCCCCCCCAAGTAGCATGAGGAAATTCCTACGCTCCCCATCGAAAAAGAGTCAGATCCCTCATTCAGTACTTTCGATTCTCTTCTACCTCCAGCATGGCTTCCTCTGATTCCCCTTTGCTGCTGCCGGTCAAGCTGGATGCATTTGTGCTGAACCCGGCGGTGTGCGATGGGGTCGAGGCCGACCAGGCCAAAATCGCGCCGATCACGCAGCCTAACTATAGCTATCTTCGCCTTCAGCCCAACATGCTGCAGAATGACGTGATTCGCCCGATTGAACTCCACGCTGCGGCCCCGCACGACAAAAATACTCGCATCGCCCACTTGGGGCTGGTCAATGGGGATGTGCCAGACACCCCGCAGCTCCGCAAGGAGCGACTGGGCGTGTATCTGCACTGGATGATCCCTCGCCTCTATCGCACGGGAGCAGCTGCCACTGGACCCGAAGCCGACCGATCCAGGCGCCGACGAGGATTGACTCCTCACCTGGGGCTGCATGACGAGCCAGCACTGCAGATGCCCCTCTTCCCCGACACGCCCAATCGGTGGCTGGTCGTCCGTCGCGTCCGCCAGGATGAGCCAGTGGTACCGACAAATGCGAACTACAAACCCGTGACAGCCTGGATGGTGGAGAGCGACTGGATGAGAACGATTGACGAGTTCAATGACACCAACGATGATCTGTGGGACATTGAAGCCAGCGTGTCACCCTACCTAAAGACAGGAGGCCTCGATCCCAATGAAGGATCCACCCTCAATCAGCAGGCGGAAGTCTTCATCGGGGGCCGTGAGAAGGCCGCGGACTGGGATGCAGCAGTCAGTGCAGAGCGAAAGCGCGTCGATCTAGGCATCCTCAACTCCTCCAATCAACTCTTCGCCGATTACCAACCCCACAACACCAATGTCTTTTCGACGATCGACACGTTCCAGTGCGAGGATGGACAGTATCTCACCCAGGCCACAGCAGACTACTTCGTGCTGGGCTGGCATGCTGAAGAGCGTAAAGATCCCTTGCATCTCAAGGACCCCATGAAGCGAAGTGATCGCCTTGATGCGTTGTCACTCGCCCTGCATGGAGCCGATGCAAAACACCCTGCGGAAGAGGTCAAGCAATGGTTGGAGGCGGAGGAAAGCGCGAGAGTGCTGTGTCATGGCGCCATGTATAACGTGAAGTGGGATTTTAGCAAAAAGCCCACCAACGTCCCTGCCGACGAGGCTGCGCGAAATTTCCAAGCCAATGAGCCGGTAGCTGTCGGCACAACTGCTTTGGACGCGTTACTGGCATACGTCAGACCCCATCAAGTGAAGGATGCGGAAGACGTGTTGGCACAACTCGGCCCATTGCTGCAGGCGCAGAGCGAGAGCATTGAGGACCGTCGTGCGGCGGCGGATGAGGTCCAGAACTACAACTTTGCGCGCTACGCCGGGGGTTCCAAATACATGTTCGAGATCGACCAAAATCACCCGGCTGCACCCCCGTCGCCTACCGCTGCCAAGTTGCTCGCCAAGCTCAACGAGAGTCAGACACTGCAGGACTCTACAGCCAGGCAGTTGAGGCAACTTCGATGGGACCTATTCGCGCTGTGGTGGAGATTCTCTACCGACAAGCAGCGACAGGAGCAGACGGAGAAGTATCAAGCGGAGACGGACGAGCTCCGGAGGAAAATCGTTGCCCTGGAGGACGCCGTCAAAGTCCAGGAAAGAGTGATCCAGGAAACCAAAAGTACGATCGATGAGGACGTGTCTATAGAGCTCAAAGAGGCAACCGGGCCGGCCTTCAGCCAACAGCAGGACCCGAGTATCCTCCTGGGCAAGGTCCAATCGGGCTGGCCTCTGGACTACCTCGATGCTCTCAAAGTACGCCTGGCAACCCACATCGACCACACTGACTTACCGGAGATTCCCGAAACGGATGACTATGGGTTCCGATGCTTACCGGACGACACGGCACTAGAGAAGACCGCAGCACTCCTGGCACGCGAATTCCTACGCTATGGCAGCGATCAAACCCAGAGCTACCTCCAGGAGTCAGAATTCACTCCCCCGTTATATCACGAGGATGAGCGCGATCAGTGGAAAGATCAGCAGCCTTGGTTCCCACTTTTCTTGGAGTGGGAGGCCGAGTACGTCCACATCGACTATGAGCTGTGGGATATGGAAGAGAAGAGGACTGGGAATGACGACCCGAAATTCCGATACACAGTCAAACCAAAGCCTCTCTGGGATCTCGACATCACAGATAGACGAACGATTACGGGGAGAATTCTTCTCCTTCCCCAGGCGGCGTTTTCGCTACGGGCGCAACTTGAACGTCTATACAGCAGCACGCCTGAAGAGGTCCTTGACAAGACTGGTACCACAGAGGAGCAACGAAAGGCCCTCCTGAATGATGTCACTAAGCTGCCCTTTATCTCAGCTCCTCTGGATGGATTTACAAACCATCTTCTCACGCTGGCGGAGGGTAGCCATCTTAAGCCGAACAACCGACACCCAGGTGGACAGCCACAGCCTCTAGAAGATGCCTACATGTACTCAAAGGATATTGGCATTGGTAAATCGGAGGTCGCAAAGATGGGACTGGAGACCGATCTAACCCCGTACGCATCATTGGTCCGGCTGTCCTACACCGAAGACAATGACCTTCCTGCCTTTAAGCCAGTTACCCACGGTCAATTCAAGTTGACCAAGCTGAATGTTTTTGACAAGTTTGGCCAAGCCGCCGCTGTGATTGATCCTCGTCGAAATGTCGACGCATATGTATGTCCGTGTATTGGGGAATACTACGAGCCGCAGGTGTACAATGACGGCTCCAACGATTGGCCCAATGTGGTCGATGAGCCGAGGAATCCAGGAGAATGTGAATTTCTTCAGATGCCCCCCAGCATCAATCAGCCATCACGGTTGCATATGAACTTTGTTACTCTCGATGAGTATGAAGAACGGCCATACTGGCGGCCAGTCACGGAGTGGGAGAATCCAATTTGGGGCTGGGTGTTGGTTAACTATGTCAACTACGGTATTCAATTCTTTCTTCCCGATGGTACCTTTTATCGCGAAGTCCGTGTTGCCGCACCAAATCACCCTAATGGTAGCGCCGCTACGGACAAATGGCTCCCTTTTGAGCCTCCCTGCACCGATGAGCCTCGCCAGCTAGACCGATTGATCGATCAGTTTACCAAAAAGGAGGTCAACCAGGAGAGCCGTAAATATTTGCTTGCTTTTATGGACCTGATCACTGCCGCTACTCTGCGTGCCAAGTCTGTCCCTGGAGCATACAGTCAGTGTGTCAATTCCCTGATCGGTCGACCACTCGCCCTGGTCAATGCTGGCATCTCTCTCGAGCTTGGAAGTGACGCCAAACATGGTCAATCTACATTCGAAGACCAGGAGTTTAAACGTCTGCCACGGACCCTGATACCGGAGAAGGGAACCTCGGTGAATCCTCCACCGCAGTATGCATTTCCCCTGAAGCTAGGCGACAAAGATCGATCTTACGATGGTCTAGTGGGATACTTCCGCGCTTTCGACCAAGCAGAAAAAGAAAACGCCCTAGATCTTGGAGCCCTCTACACACCATATCCCCGCGAGGATACGGACAAGTTCCCCTCGGAACAGATCCATCTGATTGGCAACGAGAATTTCCCAAAACTTCGAGCCTTTTGGCTTGATCCCGAGGAATACGTGGCGAAGGAGGACGGCGCAGCCAAGTTTACCATTGACCGGCACAGACAGCAAACAGCCTATTGCTTTCTGATGGACCCGTTCAGCCCAGTTAATGCTTATTCGAGTATTCTCCCCATTGAGCCGTTATCCCTACCGCCATGGACGTGGGAATCGGCCCTGAAACGCATGACGGCCTTCTTCCACTTTGGCCCTCTCGTGGTAGCCGATGATGTTCCCAAATATATTCCCTCTAAGCGCTTGAAACAGAACTACGACCTAACCAAGGAAGGAGAGGAGAGTGAGACGGTGGCTGGGAATAACATCAAACTGCCTTCGTTGGGTGTGGCGGAATGGAGTTGGCTCCAACCCTATCCCAACCCCGATGCTAGGGGTAATACGGCTGTGGTTTCTCCGGCAGACGAGGATGATAAAGCGGAAGAGGTGTATATGGCCCTAGACATTGGAGCGATTGACCCGGTGCCTACGTGGGAAAAGGGACCTCTGACGGCGGTGGAAGGGTTTTTGCAGATGAAGCGTGCTATCACGGCGCCAGAGGTTTAGAATTTTTCCTCTTTCCTTTTCTTCCCTTCCTTCTAGTTAGCCAGAAATAGGACCGCAGAGCTGAAATTGACTATGGGGTTCCCTTTCTGTTTCCACTCCTTTTACTGTAGACGACGCTTGTAGGTGCTTCGAAAACTTCTATCTGAGAGATAAATTAGCTTCACATCTCCAGACCCCGGGGGTACGCAAATTCAAAGATGTAGTGACCTATCACAATACTGTAAGGTGCTCTCCTAAACTTTCCTGTTTAGGAAGAGCCGAGCACATTGCCTGAGATGCATGATTTCCCTGTTTCTGCACATGCGGGCTGAATGACAGCACACCTTACAGCTGTGCAATTGTCCATACTTTGGAATCATCTCCATGCGTTACTTGTTCTTACGGTTTTCTTTCACAG